GTAGGGGTGGGATATGCTTGGTTGATGATTTGGCAATCGAACGACTGCACCTCGTAATGCGCCGGCGGCATCTGATTGACAAATATTTCTTGAACTGCTTTGCCGTCGGCGACAACATTGCCGTTGAATAGAATCAAGGAGATGGTTTGGTTGTAAAAAGATGATATCGTACCGCGGTTGGACTGAAGGGCGGGGTAGAATGACTGGACAAATTCCGTGGCCGCTAGAGGTGGAATACAGATTAACGGAGTGTGCCAGAAAGAAAGCAGTATGCTGCAGGGGAAGTATACCATCCGTAGAGACTTTCGTGAGCGTATCTTCACTTGCGGGGGCCATTGTGAAAGAATCAAGTACTTAGCGTGGTACCTGCTAACGTCTGCGCGATCCAGATCGATACGAGGATAGACAAGCAAAACAGTATGTAGAGTAGGTGACTATATCGTGAAGAACAAGAATATATTTGGAGTACTGGTACCTCCGAAGAGAAGTAGAGAAAGGTGGTGGTGGAGAAGAAAAGAGACGAGGTACAAGCGGCAGAAAAAAAGGTACGGGAGCTTAGGCCACCCGGAGATTAGCCTCTCCAACTCCGATAAATTACCCATCAAAAAGTAGTCTAGAATTTGGAGTCATCATCCTCCTCACTCCGCATTCAGTTAGCAATGGCTCTTCCCAGAGCACGGTTTCGTGCCCTTTCATGGGCCAACCAGTTCCTGGCATATAAACGTCCAACTTGGCAGTGTGCTCCTTGCAAAACCCTTCGCCCGACTTCAGTTGTGGCTCGGCGCAGATTCGCGACAGCGCCTTCCGGAGAGCACAAGAAACCCTACTATGCAACGACACCTATTTTCTATGTGAATGCCGGTAAGTCTGTCTAATTCCCACATATCAAGGGCTATTTCTAACGATATATATATTGCTTCAGCCCCTCATGTCGGTCATCTCTATACAATGGTGATTGCCGACATACTGAAGCGATGGCGAACGCTCTGCGGAGACACGGACGCTCAACTATTGACCGGTACCGATGAACATGGCATGAAGGTAGAAGGGATATTCTTAATTGAAAACATTTCATGATGTTGACTGTACGCTACAGATCCAGCAAGCCGCCCTAGCCGCGGAAATGGATACTCAGGCCTTCTGCGATATGAACTACAAAACCTTTGAGGTCGGTCCTGCTTCCGCAGCTTAGTAGGCGGTATAGCTTCTATTACCTTGATTATTGACGTCCTGGATAGGATCTAGCCAAGGCAGCACATATGGATTACGATTACTTCATCCGGACGACAGAGGCGGCGCACAAGAAGTCCGTACAATATTTCTGGGTAAGTGATGGACGGGCCTTCTAAGCGCTCCATAGTCGAACTAAACAGTCATAGGAAATGCTGAACCACAGAGGCTACATTTACACCTCTAAGCACGAAGGTTGGTATTCCGTTAGCGATGAAACATTCTATCCTCCGTCGCAGGTACAAAACTCGCTAGATCCTACCACCGGAAGAAAGAGAATGGTATTAGCCTACAGCACTATTACGTTTGCAATGAACAACGAGCTGATCTAGAAATGCAGGTTTCCGTCGAGACAGGGAAAGAGGTCGAATGGTCCTCTGAGACAAATTATCACTTCCGCCTGTCTGCTTTTCAGGAGCGTCTGTTGGACCTTTACAAGACAGGCTTTATTACACCATCGAATTACACGACAGAAATTGTCAAATCGGTGTCTTCAGGGCTCCAAGATTTGTCGATTTCCAGGCCTGTGGAGCGGCTAACTTGGGGCATTCCTGTCCCTGGCGATGATACACAGACCATCTATGTATGGCTGGACGCACTTGTCAATTATTTGACCAAGGCGGGCTACCCTTTCCCCCCCGGTCAAGAAGGTGGCCTTGGGTGGCCCGCAGACGTACACGTTGTCGGCAAGGATATCGTTCGGTAGGCATAGTTCTCCGTAGAAGCACTGTGAGCACGATACTGATGAGCGTACAGCTTCCACTGTGTATACTGGCCGGCGTTCCTCATGGCACTTGATCTCCCCCTTCCTCGTAATGTCCTCGTTCACGGACACTGGACGATCAACCATGAGAAAATGTCCAAGTCCACGGGGAATGTTGTGAACCCCTTCTTTTCTTTAGACCGTTTCGGTGTTGACACAATGCGGTTCTTCCTCGCCTACCAGGGAGGCTTGGCGGGAGACGCTGATTATGACAATTCCTACATCATTCGTGACTACAAGAAGCTGCTCCAATCGGGCATCGGAAACCTAGTGCTCCGAACAATTGGCTCTTCGAAAGGGAAACTCCATTCTTACATTGTCAGCGGGACGTCGGGCGAACTTCCGGCCGCAAACGAGCAGGATTTGCAATTTGAACAACTGCTGAAGGAAACCCCTGTTAAAGTGGGGGATCATATGGAGAGCCTTAACCCTCGAGCCGCTTTGCAAACCATCATGGTGTTAATCGAGCAGGTGAGATCAGCCACTGTTCGTAGTTGAGACATATTCGTGCTGACACTCGTGTTCAGGGTAACAAGTACATTCATCTATCGGAGCCGTGGAAGGATGCTATCAAAGCTCAACGAGTTTTATTCAATGTCGCCGAATCCCTCCGGATCGCCGGCATTCTCCTACAGCCCTTTATGCCCAGCAAGTCTAAGGAGCTTCTAGATGTTCTCCGCGTCGATAGTACCCGTCCCTCCAAACGGGCATTCTCGGCCGCAGTACTGGGGTCTGATGCAGAATATGGAGAAGGCATTAAGAAGACCGTCTTGTTTCCCCCTCTTATCGTGGAGCAATAAGCGTCACAAGGACGTACGGGTTGATAACAAGAAAACCCACGGAAGCCAATCATAAAAGTAGATTAAAACACCATCTTGCGATCTGATTGGCACTATTCTCCACTGACGCAAGGGTCAGGGAAACGTCGCGAAGCTTTTCCCGATTTTGCTCGATGAAGCAGGCGTGCAAGGTTTCCTTTTCCTCGACGCTCGACCCCATGAGCAGGGTTTATGTTATGTCATGGCCAATGGATGGTTTTGCTCGATTCCACAAGGTTATCAGCGGAAAAGGCCCAGATCCACGACGCTGTGAGTGATAGATATCGGGGCGGAAAACTCGGGTCTTTCCCGCGGCAAACCTACTATGGTGGTATCGGAAAGACATCCGCTTGTATATCAGAGATACTATGGTGTTTGATACGGTGTATAATAATATAATGGAAGGGTTGGTATTTTGTTGTGCTTGCTTATCTCTCATTCCTTGTTTGATTCCCCTTCTGCTACCAACCATTGTTCCATGATACATTCAGCTCATCCTCCTATACTTCTTTTAACTCTCTCCTCTGTGGCAACTGTATACAATCAACTTATCTCTCATATTCTTCAAGGCATCCTGATCACGTATTCTCAATCTACGCTAGCCTAAACCCCGAGTACCGATCCTCTATCATGGGTAGCATCGCTTTGGAGGAAGCCCAACCCTCCTTCAAGACACCATGGGTGCAAACCCCGCTGGTGGAATCTGCCTCCCTTTCCCGTGCCGCAGGATGTAGGGTATTCCTCAAGCTGGAGAACGTCCAGCCCAGCGGTTCATTCAAGTCCCGGGCCATGGGCAATCAGATCCTGTCCCACCTCATCAAGCCAGAAAACGCCAATCGACCCGTCCACTTCTATGCCTCCTCAGGCGGAAATGCAGGCCTCGCCGCTGTCTGCGCAGCCCGCAGCCTGGGATATCCCTGCACAGTGGTCGTGCCACTATCAACGAAGCCCCTGATGGTGCAGAAGCTACGGATGGCCGGCGCAGCGGACGTAATCCAGCACGGAGACACGTTCCTGGCGGCCGGCGAATACATGCGAGAAGTGATCATGAAGAACAAGGACGACAACGAGAGCGAAGACGTGGCGAAGATTGCTCTACACCCGTTCGATAACGAGCCCATCTGGGAAGGAAACAGCACTCTCATTGACGAACTGGCCACCCAGCTCCCTCCCCCCGCCGGTGAAGACGAAGAAGCCACCCACCGTGGCCGTCCATTGCCCGTGGACGCTATCATTTGCAGCGTGGGTGGCGGTGGCCTGCTGAACGGCTTGGTCATGGGCATCGAGCGACACCGTCAGCTCCAGAAGATGAGCCTCAGTTATGCTTCCAACCCTCTCTCCCACTCCCAGTCGAACCCTATCAACCTCCTCGCCATCGAAACCCTCGGTACCGATTCCCTTGCCGCCGCTGTTGCGAAGAAATCCCTCGTCTCCCTCCCCAAAATCACCTCCCAGGCTACCTCGCTGGGCGCTATCCGTGTCTCCGAGCGCACTTTCCAATATGCTATCTCCCCGCCGCAGGGTATCGCTGTACACAGTGCTGTGCTTTCGGACGCTGATGCAGCAAGGGGTGTGCTGCGTCTTGCTGATGATCACCGGACGCTTGTCGAACTTGCATGCGGTGTATGCATTGAGGCTGCAGTCGGTGACGCGGCGAGAGCCCGGTCATCGACACCCTCCGACGCCCTCACATCTGGAATGAAGAAGCGGAAGAGAGAAGATGCCGATTACCCTTCCCATCGGGATGAAGGCTACGGGGATGATGGGTCCTCGGCGACCGAGAACGAGACGGAGTCGGACGCAGGCAGTGAAATCCAATCCAAGCTCAAGCAACTTGTGCCTGGCTTGAACTCCGACAGTCGAGTGGTGATTATTGTGTGTGGTGGAAGTAATATTACGATTGATATGGCGGCGGAGTATAAAAAGCTGCTTAATGAGGGTTGGGGAAACTAGTAATTGGTTCTTTAATTTTTATGCTTATTGGCCGGCCATTGCGTTCTTGTTTCTCGGTTATGTTAACGTTTTCTATCATGATGGTGTTTAGATTGGCGTTTCTTTTTTTTTTTTTTAGATTGACTATGATTTAATGATTTAGCGTTTCAAAATAAGATACACTTCTTGAGCATGCACATCATTCCAATGTACGGGCTTTTTCATTGTAGGAAAGTTGATGGTATTTACGCGGCGCCTCATGCCGAAGTGGGAATCTCTTGGCTCCACGTTGCAGGAGCAATCATACGAATCCGATAATCCCAGTAATTCTTCCGGATGGGATCATACTTCTCCTTCAATAAGGTAAACATCTGCACTGCCTCGGCAGTGGCTTGTTCGCCTTCTTCTCCATATGTGTCAGCCAACCATTCTAGAGCATGACTGCTCTTGACCTCAATATCCACCACCTTGCCGTCCTCGACCTTTTCCTGGACAAACTTCTTCGCAAAGTCTTTCCACTCCGACAGTGGCCGGCCGGATGCCCGCAGCATGCCGCGGGCATATCCCCACGGGCTACGATTTTCAGGGGCTCTAATGACCTTGGCCTTGGTGTACTCCAGTTCAGCGTCGACAAGGTCCTCGTCAACCACGGCTAACCTGCCCTTCTCAGGCGGGGGCGCGGTGCTATTCGGCATCCCGCCGTCTGGCTCATCACTGCGTGGACCAAAACGGAGCATGAAACGATGATTCCAGGCGGAGTTATTCCTCACGTCTTGTGACAGGAGGAGATCGACGTCCTGGATCTCTCGGGGCTCGTCCCACAGTCTAAAGTGTCGCACTAGCCAGTGGCGGTAGGTCCAGACATGATAGTTTTTGGCGTCTTGCTTGAACATCTCCATAAGGAAGTCCAGCTCCTTGGGCGGGAGTGTCGGGAAGTTTTCCCTGGATGACATGAGAACCTGTCGGTGGTGCCTATGGGTACATTGTTAGAGACCATCTTTGGTACCCGACGATTTCGGTGGGTTAATGCATACCATATTTGGTAGTTCTTAAGGTACTTCAATGACATTTGGTTCAGCCATTCAAACTCTTCAGTGAGGTCTTTTTTGAGAGCAAAAAGATTCTTAACGCGGTAAATCCTAAACATTTTGTCGTAAGTGATTGGCATGTATACTAGTGTGAGAGTACGGCAGGGAAGCATTTGCACTTACCAAACAGTGTAGTGGGCCGGGTTCATAGCGATTACATCGTCAGTGAGTTTCAGTGCCCTGTCGGACAGTTCATTGGCAGCCATCACTGCTCTTAAGTACGAGGTAGCCTCGAGATATTCATCTGAGTAGCAATAGTCGCCAGGGGAAGGGTTCCTGTTTCCGAGCCGTCATTGAGTGGGATCGGCTCAATAGAAGCCCATGTCGGGTCTGAGGCATATTTTCCGGCCATTTCTGGAACTGAGGTGGGTTCTTTGGCAGGGTAAAGAGCCCAAGAAGCGTGATATTATCCAATGAATGTTACTGGAGAAAGATTTAGGAAAGATATACAGCGACAACCCGACCAAACAGCATAGACTCAATGTGCCACTTCCTTGGGTGGACAACTGTGCAGATAGCAGGATTATATGAATATTAAGACAGTTTTCTGCCCTGACTTGAGGATTGTCGGGAGCCTGGAGAATGGGCTTTAGAATGGGAAATCAATGAATGAATGGATTGAGCTATGGTGGGGCTGCGCCGGCCTCAGGCACCCACCAGAACAATAGGACATGGACAATGGTGCAACCATCATTGATCCCTTCGATTCACCCATTCCACGAGTCCACGACGATTCCAATGGACTTCACCTCAGTGAGTCTCTCGGTGATTCTCTCCAGGACTCCTTGCCTGAGGTGTCCACGACACACACACATGACTTCCACAACGAGTCTCCAAATGCCCCAAAAGAGGCAAAGTACCCGGACAGGCTCCTATTGGTTCCACCGCATCGAAACTGATAACAGCCAAAATTTCCCCGCACAAGAGGAATATTTCTCCCCCCGGGAAACCATCATCGCTAACTCGACATCATGATGTCGCGACTCTCCTCGGCACCTTCCGGAACCTGCTGTGAAAGAATCGGGTGACAATGCGACGTGTCAAGAAATCACGCAACGGTTGTGCGAGGTGTAAAAGCAAACGGGTATGCTCTCAAAATCAAGATCTCCGCAGCATCCGCTGATCTCCTCATGCGATACATCCATGGGACAGTGAAGGTTAAAAAGGACCCTTCAAAGAAGATATGTTGACGCAGTTGTCTTGTCCCAATAGGTCAAATGTGGGGAGGAGAAGCCTCACTGCAGTCGATGCACCCGCTTGGGCGTGAAATGTCCCGGTTACGCCCAGTCTCTGCGCTGGGTGACCAAGTATCCATCCGCTCCTGAGGAATACGATAGCAATGCTCAACTGAATAGGTCACCGCTGGGCTCCGATCATTCGCCAGCTCCGGGACCGTCGACCGCCTCCCCCCGACCATCGCAATTCCCCGATGCCGTAGTGGAGTCCCCATTGGTCAAGGGCGATGCGAGCCAGACAACCACACACGAGAATCCGGATCCAAAGGGATTGGGATTAGACGAAAGCAATGCATTGAGTGACAGTTTATGGGGTCTCCCAGAACCGGGTTCTCTCCCAGAATTAGCAGATTTGGGGCCCTCACCATCTTCAGCATCAGCCTCGGTGGTTGGACACGAGCGAGCGAGCTCGATATTTGATCTTGATACCCCAAATGAACCGGGAAACCCATTGAATTTGTTTTCTGCGAGAGCGCCTGAATCTCACCATGAGCTGCCCAATTTTTTCGGCTTCTCTCCATCGGCCATCGTGCGGAAATACCCTCCATCAAACTCACAGCCACCCCAGCGCGACCTCACGTCAATCCCACCGCCATTGAATAACCCGTCCTGGACCCTCATTGAGTACTATTTTAAAGAGGTAGCAGCTTTATTCTCAAGCTATGACAGTCAAATGAACCCTTTTCGGTCGACTGTGTCCCGCCTTTGGGGCTCCTCGTTGGCCATGTGTAAGACCATGCAGAGTATGGCAGCGGCCACGCTGGTGAATGATTTCCCGCAGTTTGGCCCATTGGGACGTAAGCTACGTAATGAGGCTGTCGATATCATTGCAAAAGAGACTGTCTTAGATGATAAGTCCGTATTGGCTTTACTCATGCTCGGCCAGACGGCCAGCTGGCACGATTCCAAAGATCTAGGGATCTCATTCTTCAATCTACTGCGGAATCACCTTGAGACCAAGCCCTTGGAGATCGCCAACTCAGAGCGTGGCAATAATCATCAGTTCTTCCAGGAGGCTCTGGTATACTGGGAAATGCTCCTGTCGTTTGTTGCAGATGACACAGCAGTCCTATCCGGCAATACAGCTGCAGACCCAGGCGGGCCGCTGGTCTTGCAGCGGATACCACATCCATGGACTGGAATCGCCCGCGATACCCAGTTTACTGTGCAGGAAGTAGGAAGAGTCGTGCGTTGCGAGAGAAAACGCATCCGTGCCAGAGCATTTACCTCGCAGGCTGATATCGCCCAGGCCCAGAAAGCCATTGAGAAAGCGCGAGAATTAGAAGAACGACTCCTCGAATTGGCACATCCGGCTGAAGCCGAAATAGTTAGCCCCGGAGATGACGAGACTCCGGTGTGGCACCTGTTAACCATGGCGGAGGTGTATCGCTGTACAGGCCTCATGCAATTGTATCGCGTCTTCCCAGACCTCCTTTACCGTCGACTAGGCTCGCAGCACCCTTCTTCCCAATCCTACAATCAACAACCAAGTGCAACCCCCCGCGATCCATTCCTATCCGTAGACACGGCCCCAGACCTGATCAACTCAGCCTGGTTCGAGCCTATGTATCTGCGACCCGAAAGCAACCAGCCAGACGACCCGAAAACTCTCCCAGACACCTACTACGACAGCTGGCTAACAGAGTTCGCTCTGACCACTCTCTCCCGTCTAAAGACAATCCCCATTGAATCTCGCACCCGATGTCTCCAGCCGTTCTTGCTCGTCGCCTCCAGCAGCGAGCTCCGCCTCCCCCGCTCAGAAGTTTCACTCGACAGCAGCGGGCCAAATATCTCCTCGCATGCCATCGAAGTATCTCGTACGCGTCAGTTCGTCCTCGGACGACTCACTTCGTTTCAGCATGTGCTCCCCCCGAAACCGATCGATGTCTGCTTGCAACTCGTGAAGGAAGTCTGGAAACGGATGGACGCAGGGGAGTCAAATCTGTACTGGATGGATGTGATGATCGAGAAAGGTTGGGAGACGACAATGGGCTAATGGTGGGTACGAACCTGGCACTGCGATCGATTGGATACATGATACCCCGCTTCGTAATTAAGCGTGTATAGTTACAATAACAAATTGGATAATATTTTATACGCCCTCATGTAGAAATGTTTCAATCATTCAACTGATGCTTTGTTATTCATTCAATGCCTATCGCCGCAACACCCACAGAATGGGATCAAGTCACATCAGTCGTCATATGAACCCCACCCAGGTTCGATCCCAAACAAAATGGCCGAAAAAGGAAAAGTAAAAAAAAAAAAAAAAAAGTGAGTTATATAGAGGACTCGATACGAAGTGAAGGGAGAACAATGCAGAGGTATCGAGAGGTGGTAGCCAAAACAATAAACACATGAGTCAAGATTATACAGAGAATCGAATATAGCGAATAGTAATGAGACTCAAGAAACATGCGAAATGGGTGATTAAATGCATATCGTGTCAAGTCCAGTTCCTGTCAGAAAAGAATGCTGAATTAAAAGAGAAAGAAGGAGCGAAGACCGAAGAACAACTGGGACCGATTGGCGCAGTTGGCGTAAGTTGAATGTAAAGATGAAAGCCTTCAACGTGGGTTAATGGAAGGCGCCATATTAATGCATTGCTCGTTTCCAGAACTTCCAGCCCTCTCTCTTTTCCTGGGTGCCTACACCGACGAGACGCTCGATACCTTCAGGGCCATCTGCTTTTTCGAACTTCTGCTGGTCGATCTCTTCGCCACCTTCCTCATCGGTTCCATTGCGAACCACGGCAGGCCACAGGACACCGACACCATCTCCTCCCAGAGTAGTTTCGTACTTCGCGAATCCTTCTTCGTCCAGCTTTTCCTCCAATTGGCGGATAGCACTCGGTTCGGCATCCGGACGTAGGAGGGTGATCGCGCATCCTCCACCACCAGCACCGGTGAGTTTCGTCCAACCAATGTTCGCAAAATCCACAAGCTCCCGAATTCGCTCAAGTCGAGGGTGAGAGACTCCTAGCGAGACTAGCAAGCCATGGTTGATGCGGATAAGCGCACCAATACGCTCGAGCGTATCCTTGGAGATGCCTGACGAATCTGTTTCCCGAATGAGCTCCTGGGCGGAAGTGTTTACCTTCTCGATGGTATCGAGAATCGCTTCCGTCACTAGCGGTTGCTCTTCTTTCAATTGGCCGACCTTTGCTACTTCAACCGCCGTGGAACGGGATTGTCGAGTGTCCACGAGCAGTAGAGGCAGCTCGGGGAAATTGGGGAGCGAGCTAACGGCCGGTGGTTTGGAATAATCGCCTCTTCTGAAAATCACGGCCTTGCCGCCTGCGGCGACCGTGTTATCCACCCCGCTGGGATTGCCGTGAATACACATCTCGCCAACGAATGCCCATCGGTTGATGCGCTCGATCTGCACCTCTGCCTCGTCAGGCGGTTGGTCGGGGTGCGGTCCAGCTAGAGTACGAATCTGAAGAAGGAGTGCAGCACTGATACAGACACATATACTGGCACTGCTGCCCAACCCCGCGCCAGTTGGGATCGTCGACCGAAGGGTATAGATCGCTCCCGGGTGCTGGGGAGAACCCAACGCACAGAAGAGATAGAGGAACGCAGTCGCAGCGCCACGCTGATGTTTCTGCTTGTCTTCGGGTAGGTCTGGGGAGATGCGCTCCACGAGAGGCAAGATCGCGTCGAGAAGTTCGGGGTCAATTGAGGTGACCAGATCGTAGTAGTACTTCTTCTTCGTTGGTTGGTGAAACAGGTCCCATGGCAGCTCGTCGATGCTCCAAGTGTGATTCAAACCAATATCTCTGAAGTTTAAGGTGATGGTGCGTTGCGATTTGGTCAGGGTTGTGACAAGGAGGTAGGATCGGAGGGAGATGGCGGCGGCCATGGCAGCTTTACCGTGCACGACGGCATGCTCACCAAAGACAATGACCTTACCCGGCGCGGAGACCATGAAGGCGGGCGCCATGGGAGAAGAAGCCTTTCGAGCCATCGCTGGTCGGTGAACACCGTTGGTGACAGACTTTGTGCTCGGCGGACTACTGCTGAAGGAGGGAGCGGTTGAGGTGTCGTCGGAGGTATCGACGCTATCGTCGCTGGCCACCGAGGATTTTGAGCGAATTGGAATGGACTGTTCCGAGATTAAATGTGACATAGTAGGGCGCTGACGATTCTTGGGGGCTTTAATACTGCCGTTCTTTCGGCGTCCACGGCCGCTGTGCATTACGGCCTCCGAGCGCGTCAGGGGGGAAGCAAAGCAGTTGAACAGGGATGACGACGACTAATTGGAATCTTCAGCCGAGAGAGCGAACTTATTCATGCAGGAAATCCAAGCGCATGACGATGCGAGGCAGCAAACATGGAGCAAGACGGAGAAAAGACAACAAAAGCAATAGAGCAGGTGACCCCCCAGTGTGTGAAAGTCACGACGGCGTACACTGCCTGAGGCCCGTCGTACGCTGCGGGTCGACCCAATGGGGCTCATTTCAATCCCCCCCCGTCCACTTTTTTCCACTTTGGATGTTTCCAGTGCCCCTTCTTTCTCCCCTTAAAGGCCGTCGTCCACATCAGTTACCAATCATATCTCGGGCAATTGTCAGTCATTACCAAACCGAGATCCATCCAAATCTCTTCCTCGCTTTGGGAGCAACAGACCTAACCTGCATCGAGTTCTGGTTCTAGTGCTCGTTCTGTGCCACAATGACCCGGGGGCATCCGTATTACAGCGCACACACTGCTCAATGGGCCAGGATCACGTCTGTTGAGATCCCATACCATATAGTACAATGGCATCCATGAAAATAGGGTCTCCGCGTGCATGTGCACAGAAAGTGTCTAGAATCCGAGATCGATCTCAAGCTTCCGGCCCAGCGTTGCCGTGGCTATTTTTAGTGGGTCTTTCAGAATTGATGGCCCAAGGAAATTATGTTGCCTCTTATTGCATACGATATATGCAGTTACACAGCAATCAAGTAGTATCTCTCCAAAAGATTTCCGGAAAATCAGTTGTGATTCGCTTCTTCCGATTTTCAAGAATCTATTTACATCTATCTCATTGTCGAGACGACAAAAAGGCCTTGTCTTTCTATGACCCACTCTCAGTTTACAAGCGGTAAGGCGCACGAGCCAAGACTGGTGTAGGACAACAATCTCAGAGGCCTGATATCCTAGGGAAGATGCATCAGTTCGCAGGTAGAAGGTTCAAGTCTTCCATTGGGTCTCATCTCTTAGACTCGATATGCTGGAATGGCGGGAAATTGAAGAAAGAAAAAGGGGAGAACTTTATCTTGCTTGAGACTTCGAAGATATATATTCCACGTGTAGTTTTAAGCCAGCCCAATCCTCTGTGCACTAAAGCATGCCGGAGGGGAACTGAACCGACGAAGTGAACTAAACTAAGCCCAATCTCCAAGGTCCTAGACATATCAGATACATCATTCTTCCTTCGTCATATCCTCAACTATCTCCTCCACACCATTGTCCTCAGTAAAAGGCACACTCTAAGCTATGCATTAGTACTCGGGTATAACACGGATTTTCCACTTTGAACAATATATTCACACCACCGTCCCTCCGACAGCATCGACCTCGACAGCACCTCTCATATGGGTCACAGTATCCACTTTGCTCAAAATAATAGCCTCGACGGCAGCGGTCACAGTGTGCCCTATGGCCATACCTGTCAATCGGATAGCATCTTCTCTGCGCGGCCACTGCAGTGAAAAGAGCAGTGCTGGAAAGGAGGACTATAGCGCCGAGTTTCATGGTGCTTGTGTTCCGCACTATTGGTAAACTTTGCTGTGGGCGGACGGGAAGTGATGTGCTTTGATTGTAACGGGGTGCTGGAAGAAGGTATGAGTATTATATTATCAGCACGGTCTGTAAGCTTGATATTTGTGAAACTGGAGATGCACAGGCTATGTTGCACGTCGTTATCACTCAGGGCCATAGTGAGAAGTATACAGGAATGCGGAAGTCCTACAGCATAGTACACGAATCATCTTGAACGACGAATTCGCCATCGACTTGTCTGACCATGTCTCATGTATAATAGACCGAACTCGTGTGTTGATCGTACAAGCGGCCGGAGTGGCATGAGTTCATACTGTATGTGAGAGTTCTTCCTAAGAAAGAACCGAGACTGCATAGCCATTGGGCGTCATCGTAGCGTCCCCTAATTCCGTGACGCCCTGAATCATACGAGAGCTGTGCCTTGTTCAGGCTCGTAGTAATTGAACCGACTTCATATCCACGGTCCAATAAAGCATTCGGATCCTGACTAAACAATTCTTCGGGGATGGCCAAGGGAGTGAGAAGATGGTGAGACTTACAGCGAAAAGGACTGCATGAAATATATACGTGAACATTGTATTCTCTAGAGTCTGTATTGCTACAGTCTCTCACGGTAGCCCTTTGATATTCAAGTGCCATAACAATATAAATTCCATGCTTGTCAATATATACTGGTGTATCATATATCTGTGCAGCTCAAAATACAAGAGATCTATTTCCATCATAGCATCATTACAGGTTCATTGTCACCGTCATACTGTTGCTATGTACGAGCAAACACGGTGGCAACCCCTGCCATAAGACTTCCAGGTCACTCAGATAAGATTCACTCGCCGCCTCACCTTGTGCGGTGCCTTCCATGGGAGACGGCAGTGTTGTAAAGATGACGGCAGTTTCACTGCTATGCTCTGCCATCAACTCATTCAGAATCAGGTGTTGTGCTCGGCTAGGAAGATCATTAAAGGACAAAGGCACAGACGCCCGCCGGGGGTATCCGGACGCAGCGCCAGACCCTACCGACGATGATCGACGCGTATAAATAGATTCACGCCAGTTAGAAGCCCGTGGAGGGGGTGAGCTTGGTGCGAACATGATCGAGGGTCCCGCACCTTCATCGGTGTTGACTTGAGCTTCAGGAATCGGCGACGAACTAAATCGATTGCTGGACGCCGAACGGCTGATAGGTGGTCGGGCTCCACTCGCTCGGCTCTTAGGAGAGGCATCAGGGGCAACTATAGATGGAACGTCGTGTCTCGTAGTATCTGGGGATGCAGGATCCTTGTTGATTGTGTCATCCTCTCTCTCATCGACAAAGGGCTCAAACTCGCTGTCGCTTGAAGAACTGTCGCTTGAGTCGTAATCAACGAAGCTATCTAGTAAGCGATGCGTTTGCATGCCCAAATTCACACCACCAAGCCCTTTTAAGCTGGAAATAGAACGCCGACGCCTGGTTGATTCCATGAGCTTCTTTATCCCACCCGCAAACTGGGCTGGAGCCTTTTGTAAAGTGTCATGACTAGAAGCACCATGCCAACTGGAAACCCTTCCCAACTCGGCTCCAAAGTCGTCTGCGTTGGGTTGGTTGTGGGATCTCCTACGAAACTTTTCAATATCCTGCCACCAGCCTTCATCTTTCAAGGCAGTTTGCACCTTGTCCTGCATATCTCTAACCCCCGGCGACCTGTCACCATTTACAATGATGCGATAACTTTTGACATCGCCACATGCGAGCCAGAAGACCAGAATTTCCGCCTCGATTCTCAGCTTTTCAAGGAGCGCTTGGACCCGCCCTCGCTCATCATCAACATCCGTTTCGTACTCGACGAACACGGCTACCCGTAATTTGTACGTCTTCTTCCAGGAAGGCACGGTGTTCAGAATACACCCCAACTGGAGGATAAGGGTATATGTATCAAAGTTAGTGGTAAGAACATTCTTCTTGCTTTCGCTGTCAGCCCCAAGTTCTGCAGACATTTGAATAGGCCAGAGATCGATGTATTTTTTCTGGTGCCGTCCAGACGTAGGCAGCTCAAGATTTTCGAACCCTTTTGCCACAGCAACATTGATGCGGAGCTTGAAGAGAAGATCTTCTAATATTGTGACGTAGTTTGCGCAGCTCATTTGTGACCGAGGTACATCATCCGCCGCAGACTTAGGAGCCACGTCGTGTCTCTCATTCGAGTCTTTTCTAGGTTGCAATGTCTCAACCAATGACTGGCCATTGCGAAATTGGTCAATGACAACTATATTTGGCCGCATTCCTCCCAGACCAGAGTTTAACACGATGTTACGGATACCCCATTCTGCAGAGGGAGAAACTGCAATATTGACAAAAGCTTTCACTTTTGAATTCTCAACAAACTTGGTCCAGGTGGTTTGCTGGCGGCGAGCTTCGGGCACCGCGGATGAGAAATCATCAGTCACAATAACGTGGCCCAGTACGAATAAAGCGCCTTTCTTCAATGAGTTGCAAAAGGAGACCATCTTATATTGGTCATCGAGATTGGTCACAAACAGCAGAATTTGGGGCCGCCAGAATTTAACATGTTCTTGTCGAAGGCGAAGTAGATATTTGCGCACTTGATGATATATAAGGCTTTGACTCACATCGCCCCACGGCTTGGGAGGGGAAGTATAATGGATCAGCAAAAATAGTAGGATTAAGATACCGACACAGCCTGTGGCATAGACACCATCCACAAAGAACATGGAAGCTCCACAAACCAAAGCTCCTGCTGCAGCGGTCTGCCACTTGAAATAGTGAAAGGACGGCCGAAAATTAGGAGCGGATCCAATCTTTAGAAGAAAACATGCGAGGTTCATCACCAGGAATGTCATGAGATATGTCATTGTGACAAAGGATGCTATCTGATTAATGTCAAAAAGCATCGTCAATTGCGCAACAACAAAGGTTACAATGATTGCGTGGACCGGTTCATCGTTTTCCTTGGTGCCCTTGCTGAAAATCTTCAGGCCAGGGACCAAATCGTCCCGTGCAATTGCTTGTAAAAGCTTCGCAGAGCCGATTACGCCCATCAGTGCCGAGAAGAAAGTTGTCGCGAACTCTCCTAGAAGAATAAGAATTCCCGATGCATTTGTCTGGTTCGTTTTAGTCAAAGTCCGCAACCAAGTTTGAACATCTAAACTTACCACTTGGATGATATCGCTATTCTTGTACAGCGACTCCCTTGTTATAGAGGCTGCCATCGCAACTATTACAAGTGTATAGGTGACAAATGTCAGAGCCAACCCCGAAAGTGTACCCTTTGGGATCGAATGACTGGGGTTCCTCAGATCCCCCGACATGCTGGCACCACTATCACTTCATGAGCCTACGTCCATCATAAACCGATAATAAACTTACGCGAATATACCGCCTGTAGCAGGAAACAATATTCCAAAGAGGTCCTGGAAGTTTTCCTTTCCGTGGATCTGGCTGCCAGCCGCGCCCTTGGTGAGCCTGGGTTTAAGATTCTCCAACAGTGTCTGAAGGCGCACTCCAGTGAATGTCACATGGAGGTTGGGAATACTAAATGGCTTCATAAAGATCGCGGATGCCGGGATGCTGAAGGTCGCAACTAACAGAATGACGAGCAGACCGTTGCTTGCTCTAGAAAAAATGGAACTCCCGGCTAGGCAGATTCCAGTGCAGGTGAGAAGAATGATGGTACCCCAGAGATACTGCCACCAGAAACCTTCTTCAAGAAAATTGGATAAAGTGCCAGACTCTGTTCCAAAGTTTTGCGTGAAACAGTCAACAAGACCAACTGCGTTCATACCGGTATTCAACACATAGCCCAGGTAGAACACTATACCAATGGAACCGCCAAACTCTGGGCCCAGTGATCGAGAAATTAGATAGTAGGCACCCCCTCCTTTAACAGTTCCGTTGGTCGCAATGGCAGAAAGAGACATGGTGGTCACTAAATTGATGGTGTATGAAACAGCGAGCAAGCCTTCAGACCACGGTTAGTCATCATTCCAGGCTACACAGGCAGAGTAATTCAAATTACCTAGCATCCCTAGCAGGCCCGCTTGCCCAAGGATAAATCCGAAGCGAAGGAACATCAGAATGCTTAGGACGTTCAAGGTGGTCGGTACAAAAACTCCCGAGAAAGTTCCGAGTTTTGCAGCACTATCAGCAGCGCGATTCTTTGGGCCATCTCGTTCCTTTTGGTCCACACTAGAGTCTCGTAGTGGCCCTGTAGGAAGGTCAACTGGTAGGTGTACTCTGTTCGAGGTACCTTGCGGTCCATCATTGTCGGGTTTGTCCCACCAACGGGATATGCTACCAAAGAAATTCGAGGGTAACGAGTGGCGCTGACGCTCTGTTGTATGAGAAGAGGAGTTCAATGGCTCGTACGGGCGAAGTGAAAGCGCGTTTCTCCAATTAAGGAACTTGCTGTTCTCCTCGGGAGATGCAATGGGGGAATCGCTTGGAGCCAGTCTAGAGACATCCTCTTGAGCAGTTCGTGTTGAGAAGTTGGGCCTTCTCCGAGACATCGAGTCCGAGGTACGCTCGTCTCGGCTATGCGTCATCGGATACGTCCAACTTCTTATTGCAAGAGGGTATTCAGTGCTTTTTTCATACAATAATGCAAGTGGGGGCAGATTGTCACTACAGTAAACAGTGAAGTATCGTATCGATAAGGACCGACAGAACGCACAAACCCAGGAGAGTTAACCGCGGGAGAGAAAAAACAAACACCCCACTGTAAGAAAAGTGCGCGCTTCAGGAAAGAAAGGAGAAAACACGACACCTCATATAGTACGGAGTACGTAGTACTAGATCTAGGAGGCGTTGGCAGTGGTTGGCACTAGTAAATGCAATGAAAGGCATGGGTCCATGGCTGACGATGATCTCATCTGCCGAGATAGACAAACAGTGCAAACCCCACCGCCGGTCCGGTCCAGTGACTCCCATGGTCATCGACTCTAGGGAAAGCTGAAGCTTCCATCGTCTCTCAATTTGTTTGTGTTGCTGGGTGGCTGGGCGAATAGTGATTTCCAAATATTTTTTTTCTTTCTTTCTTTGCTTTTTTTCTCTCTTCGCTTGTTTATGAAGAGAACACAACATACAGTAGATTGTTTCTACTCTGTCCTGGTCTGCTGTAAACCAGCTCTTTCTTAAGATTATCCTACAAGTACATACGGCTCGCTATAACCCTTCGCGTCTGGCAACGCTAGGTAGAGGGCGTCAATATAGCAAAGCGTTGTTTTCAAACTAAGGAAACTTTAAGCTCTCCTGTGTTGCTCCATAATCCAATATCAAGTCATGGCTTCACCCTCACATGCAGACAATGGGGAAGGTTCCTCATCTCAACCTCGTCAGTCAACACCGCTCTCAACGAGCGCATTGCGCCCTGGCTCTCCCTCAGTGGAAGCTTCATCGAGGCAAATCTCAATTGCGCGGCTAGCATCTCCAGTACCTTCTCCATCTAGCTCATATCCCCATGCAACCAGACAACTGCCGGTACCGATCCAACCAGCGACAAGCACAGATGAGGATATCCGGAAAGTGGATAATTTAGCGTCTCTACCAGGCCCTGGGCAATCCATGATCGCATCTGCCCTTCAAGAAAGCCTCGGTCGCTCACCTCCGAGGCTTGGGACTCCGCCAAGACACACTGCTTCCCCTGCCTTGCAGCAGGCTCAGCCAATCAGGTCCAACTATGGTTCATTTGACAATAAGCCCGGGTGGGAAGGTTCAGAATACTCAGCAGGGCCATATGAAGACCCGGAAGTCGTCAAAAGACACTTGGTACTACCGCACAACACTGTCGAGAGTCGAGATGATGCTGCCTCTGGGGATGCTACAAATGACGAGGAATTCTCCAGCTTGCAGCTTCAAGGAGGTGACATTACAAGGCAGGTTTACAGGTGGGCGGAAGGTGCAGAAGCAGGAAGTCCTTCGAGATTCAATCGGAGCAAGAGCTTCAGCATAAACCGACCCACACCACAAGATGAGACGATGAATATCAACAGCATTCGTATACCAGGAGGATTCCGCAGAGACTATATCCGGAGAACTGTAGCTTCAAATATTCCAGGAAGCCCTGATGGCCCGGGACCACAGCCTCCTCTGCCTCAACACCAGCTCCCAACCAGCAGCTTCTTAGAATTTTTGACTCTTTTCGGCCACTTTGCGGGAGAGGAGCTAGAAGAAGATGATGAAGTGCTGGGGCCTGATGAGTACTTCTCTGACGCCTGGGAAGAGGATGGCAGAGAGCCAGGAGAAAGATCGGCCCTCCTTCGTCCTGAGACTCCTGGAAGAAGAAAACGGAAGCCTCGCGGAGGCACTGGAACCAATACTAGGACTGGAGCAGCTCTACTTCTGCTCAAGTCTTTCGTTGGTACAGGGGTCTTGTTCCTTCCAAGAGCTTTTCTGAATGGCGGTATGCTATTTAGTAGTCTGGTGTTGCTTGGTGTGTCACTTCTCAGCTACTATGCTTTCATACTTCTTGTCAACACCCGACTGAAAATTGATGGCTCGTTTGGTGATATTGGCGGCATCCTTTATGGAAAGCATATGCGACGCATTATCCTTGGATCTATAGTCCTGAGTCAATTGGGATTTGTATCTGCATATATTGTGTTCACTGCTGAGAACTTGCAGGCTTTCGTTCTTGCAGTCAGCAAGTGCAAGTCCTTCATTGACATCAAGTTCATGGTCCTGATACAGCTGGTCATCTTCTTACCTCTTTCATTGATTCGCGATATCAGCAAGCTTGGGTTTACGGCTCTAATTGCAGATGTTTTCATCCTGCTTGGTCTGATCTATCTCTACTACTATGATATCCTAACTATCTCTGCACAAGGCGGCGTTTCGGATATCATATCCTTCAATCCATCTACATGGACGCTTTTCATCGGGACGGCTATTTTCACTTACGAGGGTATTGGTCTCATCATTCCAATCCAGGAGTCGATGAAGCGTCCGCAGCAATTCCCTGGCGTTCTCGCTGGTGTAATGGTTATTATCACTATTATTTTCCTCTCTGCTGGTGCGCTGAGCTATGCCGCGTACGGATCTGCAACGAAAACGGTGGTTATTCTCAACCTTCCTCAAGACGACAAGTTTGTGAATGGTGTCCAATTCCTCTATTCGCTTGCGATTCTGCTGAGCACACCTCTGCAGCTCTTCCCAGCCATCCGAATCATGGAAAATGAGCTCTTCACACGCAGCGGCAAGTATAACCCCAGAATCAAATGGCAGAAGAACTGTTTTCGCTTCTTCCTTGTCATGATTTGTGCGTTCGTTGGGTGGGGTGGAGCAGACGATCTTGACAAATTTGTCTCACTTGTCGGTAGCTTTGCCTGCGTTCCACTTATTTACGTATACCCGGTATTTACCCCCAAATTCCACTTGCTTAATGGTGACAGATAACGCTAACCTAGTCTATTGTAGCCTCTGTTGCATTTGAGAGCCTGTGCGCACTCAAGAAAACAGCAGATCGCTGACATTGCTCTTACCATCTTCGGCGTAATTAGTTGCCTCTATACGACTTCACTTACTCTAGCAAACTGGGTCGGAGGAGGAGCTCCTCCGTCCCCTGGATACTGCGACTCAAAGTCTGGTTAATACATTCTCCAGTCGCTGTGAACGTCTATAACCTTTGGTCGTCTCAAAGTAGGCGTCCTCCTGAACATGAATGATTGATGCTATGTTATAAGACTGGCTCTGTTTGAATAGCAAGACTGAATTTCGGGACACTATCTTGACATTTTGTCCTAGCCTTCCCTTCTTGCCTAACGTCCCAGATGGAATTCTCCGTGATTAAATTGGTGTACACTGTGAATACCCATCCTGCTTGCCATTGCCATGTACCAAATTGTTTCAAGAATACCGCACAGACAAGAATGATACGAAAGAAACAGCATGATTGTTTCCCCTTCAATCCATTTAGATTTCACCTGAAATTGTTATATACAAAACAGTAAAGGCGGCAGAGGCTAAAAGATACCCTGAACCCTCGCCATGCAAGCTGCACTATACCACAGCCCAATGCCATGAAAACATGATAGAAACAAGACCAGAAGCCTCAAGGCCCTTTCGCCAATGCCAGTCCATAAAAATAATCAGGTGAAGGCCGACTACCCAACTAGTCGGCTCAAGCCGCACGCAATCCGTTCTTCTACCCAAAGAAAACCAGTGTTAAATGAGGCCAGCCTCTTGCATCCGATCCGATCTGTATTCCACAAATCGCCATCCATTGGCCACTTGTCTCTTGTGAGGTCTAAATCTACTACTGATTGAAAACGGGCATCCTCTGTTCTCGGCCACACGGCAGGTAAAGACAAGGTTCGGATCATTTATGCGCCGGCCTCGGGGGCCTGCGAGCCCTTCTCAGCGGCTTCAGCAGCGAGCTTAGCTTCACGGCCACCCCAGCTATTGAAATAGGTTAGCTTCTTCCAATCCCTTCCGTCACAGGTTCTAGGTATCGAGGGCAACATACTTCCAGTAGTTGAGGTAGCGGTATCCTTGAGTACATTGGGCGGAGAAGTTAATGGCGTGACAGGCGAAGAGGAGGTAGTTCTTAGGGGAGACGGCGAGGGCGTAGCGCATGAAGGTTCCCGAGTAGACGACAAGGGCGCCGGTCATCTGGCCGGAGATACTGTTTGTTGGGTTAGTTGACTTTCTCTTGTCATAGACTTGCGGCACAAGAGTGAAAAGACTGCGCCGGGAGGAAGAAAGGGATGGAAAGGTGGTCGGGCGTACATTTCAGGGTCCTTCTGGGTATCCATCACGGCAGCAATGGGGATACCGAAGTTGGAGACGGGGCCCCAGAAATCTGGTAAGATAGGTTAAATTAGTCATTGTTCTTCATTTCGGAATGAATCCAGTGACGCCATGATAAGGACCAAGGGCAACCATAGCAGGAGCCCATGGATCGTTTTCCCTTCTCTGTGTAACGGATGCAAGACTTGATCCAGGCCGATCTCGGTCGAGAAGGGAAGCATGACATGGTTTGGGATTGCACTTACGTGTAGAGCAGACATAGTCCAGAACCTTGTTGGAACGGATCTTTGCGTTGATCGCCTTGATTGCAGCGGCCATCTTGACAGGCGATTGGGGTAGGGAAGGGAGCGGAGAGTGATCAGGAACAGGAAGACAGTTGCTGAAGTTGCTCGGCGTCACCGACTGCGGAATGATTGCCGGGCGGAGTTACCCGGACTACGTCACGTGAGCCAATTGCCGGGGTCACCAATATCAGTTCGATTACGGAGCATTGCCCTACGATTGGACGAACAAGAAAATCGTGGAAATGACAGTGTATGATTCGCAGGGGGAATAAGTACTAAGCGTTTAAACCTATGTAGCATTACTTCTGTTGGTCCTCGACTTTTTTTTCTCAGGTCGACCTTTGCTATTACTCGGGCATTCCCTGCATCCGCACACGCCGCAACGCCTTTGCCTGGTAAAACTCGGTGTGCTATGCCTAATCATCGAACAGGTATATGAGTAGGATGCGTATTTCTTATCCCAACACTAGTAGGCCGCCATGTTTCACTTGGGGTCGGAATATTGTAAGCGGTTGTGCCGCTCGACATACAAGCTTCACCGTCCCCCAAATCCTGGCGGAGGGAATCCACGTCCCTGGCCCGGAGGCTGGAACCCTGGAGGAGGTTGGAAACCGGCCGCTGCACAATACCAGTTAGCCTATGACGTATGACGTAAGAAGCCAAGTCAGTCACTTACGAGGTCCACCCTGGGGAGCAAATCCTGGGGGAGGAGCGAAACCAGCTAGTTAAAAAGTCAGTAATCTGTCTCCTTCCAAGCATATCTCAGCGCCAATGAAACTTACGAGGTCCTCCCGGAGGCGCTCCACGGCCAGCGAATCCCGGTGGCGGCGCTCCTGGGAAGCCGCCCGGGGGGAAACCGGGGAAGCCGCCAGGAGGAGGTGGGGGTCCTCCAACACCGGCAGCAGGGCCTCCAAGTCCGACAGGTAGACCACGTCCAGCGGGTTTGCTGATTCCAGGACCGGCGGCGAGAGTTGCAGCGGTAGCAGCTGCGCCTGGGACGCTTGTTCCAAGTCGTGCAGAGGGGTCTGCAGGGGGAGGTCCATCAACAGAGCAAGAGACGACGTGGGTACCGCGCACAATCGTAAGACCGAGGGTTCGCTTCTCTTCCGATTCCACGAGGGGAGCATTAGCCGGTCCAGCAGCTGGCTTGGACTTCCGCTTGACGCGGCGGAATTCTTCTGTATCGGCGAGGACGAGGTTCATGTGCTGAGGTGTCATTGTTAATGAAAGGTTCAACCAAGGCAAGTAATGATCGAGAGTCAATGTACCTTATCAAATGCGAGCATTTGTCCGGTCATCTGTCGGCCATCGTTAAGGGTAACTCTCATCCGATAGTTGATCTGCAGCACATTAGAATTCCGCGGGCGGGTGGTTAAACAAGCGCATTGCCACTTACGAGGTTTTGCTATAAATTTGACTAAGTCAGCCAATACTATTCATGAAGTACTTTAGGAGAAGGTCTGGACCGCAACAAAGATCAATCAAATCAAACTTACCATCTTGCCCTGCTTGTTGGCAGCCATTTTGCCTAAAATATGCGCACGAATGCGGCTTGATATATGAACCAAAGAATATGCGTGAAGCAGTAGAAGAAAACTCCTACGAAACGTTCACTTTGAGCTTGGGCGCCCGTCAAGAAAATGGAGGACTTGCTGGCACGAGCTCACCCGCTCAAACTTCCTGAAGCTCTGCGGGTGTCGTGACTTAGACGCGGCTCTGCGCTTTAGCGCCAGCCGACGGTGCCAAGACGCTAAGGGCTTCTCGCTTCCCACTTGCCCGCACATTCCCTTTTACTCACTTTTCGATCTTCCTTTCGAATCTTCTAATCACACGAGTCGACCATACACGCCAAAGTAGTCGCCATGGTATGTTCCATTTCACCAACTCAACCACTCTAATCGCCTGAGAATTTTTTTTTCTAACGTTTTATCGCCATGCAGTCGGACGGAAAGGACAAGAGCGCGAACCCCATGCGCGAGCTGCGCATCCAGAAGCTCGTGCTTAACATCAGTGTCGGAGAGTCTGGTGACAGACTTACCCGTGCTGCTAAGGTGCTCGAGCAGCTGAGCGGTCAGACTCCTGTCTACAGTAAGGACGCCCTCGATCCGAATATTTTGAGTTGATAGTGGAGGATATGGAAAAACACTACGAAATATTACGGAATGGAATGGCTGATGGGAGAAATTTTCCGTGATCCATAGGCAAGGCCCGCTACACTGTCCGTACCTTCGGTATCCGTCGTAACGAAAAGATCGCCGTCCACGTCACCGTCCGTGGCCCCAAGGCCGAGGAGATCCTTGAGCGTGGTCTCAAGGTCAAGGAGTACGAGCTCCGCAAGAGGAACTTCTCCGAGACCGGCAACTTCGGCTTCGGTATCAACGAGCACATCGATCTTGGTATCAAGTACGACCCTGGCATTGGTATCTACGGCATGGACTTCTACTGCTGCATGTGAGTATAACCAGGAATGGTCAACAAAGGTCAAAAACTCACACGAGAATCAGGACCCGCCCTGGTGAGCGTGTCGCCAAGCGTCGCCGCTGCAAGGCCCGCATCGGTGCTCCTCACCGTATCAACCAGACCGAGACCATCAAGTGGTTCAAGAACCGCTTCGACGGAATTGTCCGGTAAATGTTTCATTTCTGGTCTTTGGGGGAGCCAGGGGGTTGCGTTTATGATGAATCAATAAAAAAAGGCAGGAAATATGCCGTTCTGCTTTGAAATACTTGTTTCTACCACGGCATGAGGATAGGCGTGTTAGGAATCCAAATTCTCAAGTTCAAAAAACGCATCCACTTTTCACAATGAAGGCTTCACGAAGGGTGATGTATCCGCATAACCATTGATGAAAAGATTTGCATGATGCTTGGCCCATCACACTCTGTGTGATACTGGTGGCTATTTGGCCGTTGGAACTCTTTCAGAGTCCAAGAACATGTCCTTTTACCTGTCCCCTGTTGGCAGTGTATTCCTCTGCTCTTAGGCCAACATGATGGTACGGAGATCACCCCCGGCTCCATGCTCACCTGGAGTATGCCGTAATGTATTTTCCATTATAGACTCGCCCTGTAGTCAAGAAAGACAACAACTATGTGGGTCATGATCAAGATCATATCGTAGATTGTGGGCCCATTTCGAAGCGCCGTTAAGAATATGGGATCACTAGTCCCATATTAGATTGCGAGGCCTGCAAGTACAATCTCGGGCTGTGCTTCATACGCACTGGCTACTGGACCTATGGCATGAATACGGTCCAACTCAACCGCCTCAATCTCCACACCCAGTCTTGCAATCAAGACCAAGACGTGCTAAATATAGTCTTACGACTATGGCTCTATGGAACATCTCCCTATATATGTCCACTTTCATTAACACAATATGCTTGTATACGAACGAATACATACAAGATCAAGCGCAACACTCTTCGGCGTACAGTCATATAAGCATTTCAACATAATAAACTCTCATCCAGTATATCATTCTGCCTTCCTTCACAGCATGAAATGAATAATGGCTTATTTAGAACCACGAGTATACCCTTCCCACCACTTCGAGAAGAAACCGCCCTGCTGCGCCTGATCATTGTAACTTGCGCGGCGTGCGGCCGAAGCAGGATCCGTGGAGTTCCGCTTCTGGTTCGTCAGACTTTCAAAGAGGGACGAACCCTGACTAGAACGTCTCCTGTTTGGAGCAGTTGGGGGGCTGTTAGAGCCGGAAGACATGCTAGACGAGACAGATTCCTGGATTGTTTAAGGACAGTCAGCCTATGTGAGAGTTTGATGAAAGCCTGAACGGGCATACCCGTCTATCAGCTGTGGCACTCGCTGCTTCGGCAGCAGAAGGCCGTCGAGCCATGTATGGCTGGGGAGGGCCGCCTGTCACCCAGACGTTGTGGTGCTCATAACGATCGCCCAGGCTGCCGTGCCAGTGGCGGGGCGACTGGGGGTTGTTCTGCTGGTTGTCCATGTTGCTTGATTCAAGGCTTCAGTGACTTCTGATATCAACTATGCAGATATTAGCTGTTGTTCTGGTCAAATACGTGAAGCAAAGTTTGTGTTGATTGATATGCCACCCCAAGAGTCCCAGACGTCATCCTTCCGGTTTGGTGCCGAACAGGGAAAGTCACTGTGTGCCAACAAATGCGAGTATCACGGCACAAGATGGACATTTCATAAGCTCAGCAAACTTACCAGGTCGATAAGATTGATTGATAAATGTATCGAAGATGTCAAACCAATGTAACTGAAGAGGGACGAGCCACCACCGGACACGCGACCGTAATATATGGCTCAATACCGGGGGGAACCCAGAGAGAGAGAGAGGGGTAAGGGAAAGGGCCATTCAAGGAATGGAGCAAAGTCTGGATGAATGATACATCATCCCAGCTGTGTTCCCTATAGTGCCGGCAGGGGGCAAATCCCCCCAGTGACCCAATCACTATTCATGGAGGCCTCGTCACTGCCTGGGGTCTTTGGGAGCTCTAGATGAACCAAAGACGTTGATGATTCATCATTATTGGTGCGGGAGCAGAGGTGCCCAGATCCGCTTAGGTCAAACAGTCAATCAATCTGGGAATGATCAATCAGCGTAGACTGATGTATAATTCAATGGGATCGTTGGACGATCATTGATGGCGGCTTGACGTCAGGTGAGTTGCCAAATGCGGGGATCGCAGCAAATGAAACTTTGGATTCCCAAGGTTGAAGGCCACAGAATACTAGTACTGGACGATGGTCCAATCGTTAGCTATTATGTTTTGTGTGCCAATCACCGTTGAACTGACCTCTCCCATGATTCGCCAAACAACTTGTTATTGCCAGTAATATTCCCTAATGGCGAGCCTTTGGCATCTTCAAGGCTATATGTACCGGGAACAAGTCACTATCAGATTAGGGCTTGGGGGTACGACGGCTGATAAGGTCTGGATCCTCGCTGCGTCTGACTGCAGCTCCGCTCTTCCCAAATAAATCAATTCGGCACATCGACTCTTATGATCTTCTTGTGCGGAATGATCTCGGAATGATGCGACGGATCTAATAGGACTGATACTGTGTTTATTGGTTGACCTTGGCCTTGGGGCCGGCATCGCTGCCTCGGGCATCCCCCGGGGTCCAGATGTAGCGCCGAAGCGGAACGAGATCATCGGACGGACTCTTTTGTAGTTTCTCCCCAAGCCATGCAACCTCCAATCCTTCTCTCTCTCTCTCTCTCTCTCTTCGTTTCTCCTCATCTGTCCTATCTCTTCCTCCCACAGGGCGCCTTTGCCGACCCGATCGGTCCTCAACTATGAGTTGCCTTGGCCTTCTCCAACAGCCCCACCCACTTTATCTACTCGGCTATCAGACCTGTTATCGCCGCCATGATTGGGGTCATTGCGCTGGGAGATTTTCACCAGTTGCGCGGTCTCAGTAGCTATAAAACACGGCAGTAGCGCCTACTCAAGATTGTTTCTTCATGTAAGACTGGTTTACCAGATACCAATTGGTTCCTTAAAAGTTATTACCCGATTTCGGGGTGCGCAAGCCAACGTGTCTGAAAAACAAAACAACCGAGCCACGTATTCCAGCAAGCATCAGCCTGCCTACTCCAAACCAACAAAGACACATCATGGAACCCTTGCGGAATCCTTGCCTGAAATCCCTCGAACATCGTGGGTTTGTACAGGGTGTCACGCTCACAGATAGAACCACCAATTCCCCCTGGTGTCATTACTTCGGAGGTCTCCGCTACGCCTTACCTCCGACTGAACGATGGCGGAAAGCCCAGAAATTACCGCCATCGTATTCCTACGGTAGCAAAGACCACCCCGGGCAATGTGCTGGAGCAACCGGCATCTGCCCCCAGCCTAGCTTCCCGGGTCTTTCCCTTGGGGATGGTTTGAGCGAGGATTGCTTTCAATGCAATGTTTGGGTTCCCGCTGGTGAACCACCCAAGGATGGTATGTCGACTAACCCCCTAGCCTCCTCTTAAGAGAGAAGTAAAAAAAAAAAGCAAAACTAATAGTACTTAATTCTTCAGGTTGGCCAGTACTCGTGTTTATTCGTAAGTTACCTTGGAAGAATGCCTCATCACAAAGGCTAATCAAAACCCTGTAACAGACGGAGGCTTTCTGCAATTCGGAACCCCTAATACTTTCTCCGCCGGCGCCCTCCTAGGCGAGGCAGCATTTAATGCTGTCGTGGTTATGCCAGCATACCGTCTGGGCGTCTTTGGCTTCTTGTACTCCTCTGAGCTGGAGCACGATGCTGCCACAGTCAGTGAACCAGTCGGAAACCAGGGCTTCTGGGACCAACGTCTAGCTCTCGAATGGACGAGAGACAACATAGCCCTCTTCGGAGGCAATCCCTCCCAAATCACCGTATCAGGATACTCAGCTGGTAAGCAACCATCCAACCTCCTCCCAATACACAAAGAACCATGTACCCTGACCCGCTTCCTGGCAACAAGGCGCCTATTCCGTCTTCTACCAACTATCCTACGACATCCACCTACCAGAAGACCAATCAATCATCAAGCAAGCCTGCATCTGGTCCAACAGCCCAGTAGCCCAGCCCAAGGCCCCACCCTCCGCCCAAATCCAATTCAACGAGCTCCTCTCCGCCCTTGACATCCCCCACACGCTCTCCTGGGCCGACAAACTCGCCCAGCTCCGCTCCGTCCCGGGCTCCAAACTCCTCTCCACAGCAACAAGCCTCAAGATCAACCAATTTCGCCCCACAACTGACTCTCTCTTCATCCAACCCACCATCTTCCAATCCCTCGACAATGGCAACTTCGGCCGCCGTGTCGCAGCCCGTAACGTTCGCATCATGCTCGGCGAATGCCGCGACGAAGGTGCCCTCTACGCTACCTGGTACCCACCCCAGAATGACCGCTCGTCGCTCTACAAGCGTCTCCTAGCCGATTACCCGGCTCCCCTCGTAGATACTCTGATGAAACTATATTGCCCAGACGGCAAATTACCCTCGGGATGTCGGGACTGGAACTGCGATACGTTCGGCCGTATTTATGCTGATATGCAGGTGTATAAGATGCAACGAGGACTCGTGCATTCTCTCGTGCTGGGTGGTGCTGCTCATCTCCTGTATCGTTATCGCGTCGAGTACCGGCTTAAGTGTGCTGATGAGACTATTCCGCCGGAATGGGGCGTCACGCATGCTACGGATCAGTATATCTGGTGGTGGGGGAATGGGTCTGTTCTCCAGGCGGACGAGAAGTCAATCATTAAGAATGCGTTTATTGATCCACTGACTAAGTTTGTTCATGGCGAGTCAGATATTGGTTGGGGCACGAAGAGCCACCGGGAGATGAGGAAGCTGAGATCTGATGGATCGGTGGAGATTTGGCAGGATGGTCTCTGGGATGAGGGAATGCGAGTGTGGAAGGCCTTGAGGACAGTTGGTGAACAGGGTAATGGTCCTACTGCTAAGCTTTGAATACTGATAGGTATACATAGAGAGAGAGCGCTAAGGATGTATCCGAATTTAGATCCGCGTGAGACCGCACCCAACTTGAGGTAGCATGTATATACGGAGTATATCACGACTGAGATGCTACAAGACGAATAAGATGAAATCATTAAGTCACTCAATTCAAATACAGTGGCTAAGAGGCCTTTGTTTTTTTTTTGGCCCCTGTTATCGAAAAGGAAAATCCTGAACCCGACCCAGATAAAACAGCAACAAGGGACAAACAACGCTCTAATATGAACATGAAACATCCAAATATTCATTTCATCATGCACTCTGGCGGCATGTTTTGGTATCCCTCTCTTTTTCTTTCTAATTTTTTGTTTTTTAGCTTTTCTTTTGCTTACGCTTTGACGATCTTGCAGACGAGATCCTGGCCGTCCACAGAATCGCCCTCCTTGACCAGCAAGCCGGAGACCTTGCCGCTGTGAGGAGCAGAAATAACCATTTCCTGAATAAGTTGTTAGCAGCTGTAGTTGACCAGTAATAGCAAAAGCGATTCGTAGTAAACTTACCATCTTCATGGCACTCAGGACGGCAAGTGGGTCACCCTTCTTAACCTCCAAACCATCGTGGACACGGATTTCAACAACCACACCGCTCATAGGAGCACCGACCTGGCTGCTGTCACCCACATCGGCCTTAGGACGAGAGGTGTTGTCCACAGAGGCCTTGTTGTCATCGACGGCGACCTGGCGCACTTCACCGTTGACTTCGTAGAAGACCTCACGCTGACCGGTCTGCTCGGAAAGAGGGCCGATGGCCAACAACTTCAGGATGAGCACCTTACCCTTCTCCAGCTCGACGTGGAACTCCTCGCCAATCTCAGGCTTGGCCAGGAAGTACCGTGTAGGCAAAACAGAGAGATCGCCATACTTCTGGACGAACTTCTTGTAGTCCTCGAAGACCTTAGGGTACATGGCGAAGCTGGCCACGTCGTACTCAGTAGCAGCACCGAACTTCTCCCGAATCTGGCTCTTGATCTTAACCAGATCCAAAGGCTCGAGGTAGAGACCTGGACGCTTCTCGAGCTTACGGCGGTCGCGCAGGGCGCGGGAGCGCAGTGGCTCGGGGAATCCACCGAAGGGCTGTCCCATGAGACCTTCGAGGAATTCGAGCACAGAGCCAGGGAAGTCCAATTCACCAGCGCGCTCAACAACATCCTCCGGAGTCAACTTGTTCGAGACCATGAACTGAGCCAAGTCACCGACCACCTTAGATGTGGGAGTGACCTTCACGATGTCGCCGAGTAGATCATTGGCCGCCTCGTAGGCCTTCTTGGTCTCGGCCCACTGCTGACCCAAGCCAAGCTGGCTGGCCTGGAAGAGGAGGTTGGTCAACTGACCACCAGGGATCTCGTGCTCATAGACCTCGGGGTCGGGGCCCGTGAGACCCGCCTCGAAAGGCGAGTAGAGCAAGCGCAGCTGTGCCCAGTAGCTATCGATAGCGCGTACGTGGGCCAGGTTGAGACCGGGGTCCTGCTCAGTGCCCTGAAGGGAGGCCAAAATAGCACCAATGCTAGGCTGGGAGGTCATACCAGACATGCTGTCAGTTGCGGCATCCACAGCATCCGCACCGGCCTGGGCACAGGCAATCATGGAGGCCACACCGGTTCCAGCGGAGTCGTGAGTGTGGACGTGGATGGGGAGGTCAGGGTAGCGCTGACGGATGGAGCCCACCAACAGGCGAGCGGCCTGAGGCTTCAGCACACCAGCCATATCTTTGATACCAAGGATGTGAGGCTTCATGGCAACAATCCTATCCACCAAAGCCATATAGTACTCCAGGTTGTACTTCTTCTGGGGGTTCAGCATGTCACCGCTGTAGCACATGGTGGCCTCGACAACACCCTCGGCAGCGTGAACAGCCTTGATTCCGACCTCGAGCTGATCGACGTCGTTGAGAGCGTCGAAGACACGGAAGATGTCGACACCACACTTTTTGGCCTGCTTACAGAAGTGGTAGATGGCGTTGTCCGGAAGGGAAGAGTAGGCGACACCGTTGGCACCACGGAGCAACATCTGGAAGGGGATGTTAGGAACAGCCTTGCGCATCTTGCGCAGGCGGTCCCAGGGGTCCTCGTAGAGGAAACGCATGGCCACATCGAAAGTGGCACCACCCCAGCATTCCAAACTGTACGCGTTGGAGTAGGCGTGGCTGGTTTCATGGGCGATGTTTAACAAGTCGATGGTACGTACACGGGTGGCCAGCAAAGACTGGTGGGCGTCACGCCAGGTAGTATCCATGATCAAGCAACCCTTGTTGGCACGCACGGCCTTTGCAAAGCAGCCGGACCCTCCCGGTCCAGGATCTGCTTCCAACCCTTGGTGGAGGGGGCGGAGACGTCAAGCGGCTTGCCCTCGGCATCGAACAGCTTCGGCTTGATGATATCACCCTTGAGCTTGGGCTCGCCCATCTGGCCCTTGATGCTACTGCCGTTGACAGCCACATCACCGAGGTATGCGAGCAACTTCTGGGCACGGTTCTGGCTGCCGACGAGAGAGAACAGTTCGGGGGTGTCGTCGATGAACGTGGTCCAGCAGTTTCCGTCGACGAAGGTTGGGTGGCTCAGAAGCGAAGTCAGGAAGGGAATGTTGGTCTTCACACCACGAATACGGAACTCGACCAAAGCACGCACAACCTTACGGCGAGCGATTTCATAAGTCGAACCACGGCAGGTACACTTGACCAGCATGGAGTCGTAGTGAGGGGTGATGATAGCACCAGCAAAACCGTTACCACCGTCCAGACGGACACCGTTACCACCAGCGGAACGATAAACCTCAATCTTACCGGTATCCGGGGAGAATCCCTTGGCGGGGTCTTCCGTGGTAATACGACATTGAATGGCAAATCCACGGGCGGAGATGCGGTCCTGGGTCAAGCCCAGTTGCTCGAGGCTTGCACCAGCAGCAATCTGGATCTGTGCAGCCACGATATCGATACCGGTGATCTCTTCGGTGATAGTGTGCTCGACTTGAATACGAGGGTTGATTTCAATGAAGTAGTGGCGGTTCTGCTGGTCCACCAGGAACTCAGCAGTACCGGCGTTGCGGTAGTTGACGGACTTGGCCAGCTTCACGGCATCCTCCAGGATGCGGTCACGGACATCGGCGGGCAGGTCCTTGGCAGGAGCGACTTCGACAACCTTCTGGTGACGACGCTGCACGGAGCAATCACGCTCAAACAGATGGACGACGTTGCCGTGGCTGTCACCCAAAAGCTGGACTTCAATGTGCTTGGGCTTGTCAAGGAAGCGCTCGACGAAGACGGTGCCATTGCCGAAGGCAGAGCGGGCCTCGGAGGTGGCCCGCTCGAACGAGTCACGCAGCTCGGACTGGTCACGGACCACACGCATACCACGGCCACCACCGCCAAAGGCAGCCTTGATGATGATCGGGAAGCCATAGGTGTCAGTGAACTCCTTGACCTCTTCATAGCGCTCGACCGGACCCTCAGTACCCGGGACGACAGGGACCTGGCTGCGAATGGCCAGCCGACGGGCCGACACCTTGTCACCCAAGCTGTCAATGGTCTCGGGAGTGGGTCCCACAAAGACCATACCGGCGTCCTCGACCTTGCGGGCGAAGTCGGCATTCTCGGACAAGAAACCGTAGCCCGGGTGGATCAGCTGGACACCGTGCTCCAGGGCGATCTTGATGATCTCGTCGCCCGCCAGGTATGCACCGACAGGGGTGTACTGACCGCGGTGGCCAATCATGTAGGCCTCATCGGCCTTTTGACGGTGCATTGACAGTCGATCCTCATGAGAGTAGATAGCAACCGTCTGCAAGGACAGCTCGTGGGCTGTTCTGAAGATACGAATGGGGATCTCACCACGGTTGGCGACGAGGATCTTCTGGAAGTGCATAATGGACGAATTGGCGCGCAACCGATGGTGCACGGTATCGCGGAGGTGTTCATGGTGGTCATCGATGAACTCGGTGTCATCGACCGCCTCCTCAGGCTGACGAAACGGAGCCGCCATGGTGGGAGGTGATGTGAAAGGTGGGAGAGGAGGGTTAGGAGGAGGAGGAGGAGGGGATAGAGGAAGAATGGAGCGGAGAGGGAGAAGAGAGAGACAAGATGTTCTAGAAGGACACCCCAGGGGTTTAAAAGTTAGAGGTGAGACCAATGGGTCCGGGAATCAGAAGTGAGTCACCTCTAGCTAGCGGAGACGAGGAGCAGCTTTCCGCCGGACAGCTCGCGGAGGGGAAGAAAATCTCCCGGTTTCGGAACGGGAATCTGAGGAAGAACGCGGGGGGAGAGAGACTATGAGGGGTAGATCGTTGGAGGGACCCGAAAAGATATCGAGCCGAGACCTCTCTACTTGGAGAATGAGGGGAGAGGGTTGATGAGCGAGGAGAGGAGGGGAGTTGAGTAGGGGTTAGTTGAGAAAAAGGAATGAAGAAAAAGAAGAAAAGGATGCGAGAGAGGCAATGGTCTAATATGCAAAGCGATTGGGAAGCTGATAAAGAAAAGCACGGGAGAGGGGAGAAGGAGGGGCGGGCCTCTGCCTCAGGCCCAGGAGATGTGGGAACAATCCATCCATACTCCGGATACATACGAGACATACCAGACACATACAGTGACAGTGACGGGGACGGTGGCCATACCGATCCGATACTGACTTGACCCTACGCTAACTCTAACCATTTAACTGGCAGCTTCACATGACATCAAAAAGTCTATCCGCCAGTGATTCTTATCAACTCCATCTGTTGCATACCGAAACCCTTCAAGGAGAGTGATCCTATCCTCTTGATCTCACCGGCACACCGGTCACACCTCCCAGGTGCCAAGGGCAAATAGTCCAAGAATACCACTCCAATGCCATGGATGACGTCCCACGGTCCCCACTCTCATAGTCTGCAAATAATTCCCCCTCCCTCCTGGATAGTGTCTTTCACCTGGAACTTCCCCATAATGTTTACCAAGTGATGGGGACCAACCTCTTGTTTCTTTGTTTAGGTAACCACCCGTTGAAATTTATTTTACCATTCTTTAATTTCGTTTTTATTTTTTATTTTTCCCCCTCCGCTCCCAATTCTGTATGCTAATCTCATTTATAACTCTTGGCCCAATACTACTACCTATACAGGTAGATGATTTCCCACATTCTCATTCAGAACTCCTGTTGGTCCAGATCATTGGCCAATGGATGATCCTTCATTTATGCAATGTCATAGTTTTTACCTTCTTTTTTTTTTTTTTTTTTCTTTTTTTTCTCTAGTTTTTTTTCTTATCCGCATGATCCCAATCCATACGGGCGATCAATTCTCGGCAAAGGAAGATAAAACAAGATAGTGAAATCAATAATTAACCGGCAACGATGCCCGTGGTCTATTCCTCAGCTCCCAGACCATCCCCATAAACTAAGCTTCCTCCAATGGCTTCCCTCGTCGTAAATCCTAAGATTGCCGAATTGAATCGGGAGGTTCAGGACCTGACGTTTTCTTGCTCTGTCCGTACCTCGGGTCCTCGGGCTAATTCCCTCCAGGCACAAGAAAAAGAATTGGAAGTGAAGTAACAGAAAAAGAAGAAACCGGAAAGTGAAACGCAATCGAATGGAATAAACTAAAATCAAAAATGTCTCACGGGAACAGAAACAGGAAATAAGAAATGGTAATCAAAATGGCCGAGTTGCCTCAAGAGGGTTCGCGTTATTCAAAACGATCGCGTATGGCCGAAGATAGGCGAAAGCGGGAGGGGCCAGAATGCCAGATGCAAGCTGCGATGCCGAAATTTGCAGATGGGCTTAGGCAAAGGGATCTACAAATGGAAACCCACCCCCGGAGAACGCTTTCCGGACGTCTCGTTTTGGCCTGGGCCGAGGTTAGTGGGAGAGCAGACTTCAACCTTGACCTCATGCTCTCCACCCCGTTTTTTCGTCTCTCGTGACCTGGCCAAATCTCGGCCAGAATTCGCTCTCCGTGACGGTTCCCTTGGCAAAGGTTACCGAAACCGTCACACCGAGTCCAACGTCAGCTTTGCGCCGTCTGGGCATCTTCGAGATAATGCACCTGCTCCTGCAGCCAGCGTCGCATCTCATATATGGCTGTCTGATCCATCCATTTCTCCGTCTCCTCCTCCGACTGTCCATCCATTCAGGACATCTATTCTTACCTTCATTTACTCCGTCCATTCATCCCTCCTAATTTATCCACCCCACGGCTAAGGTCACTCCCATCCAGACCACCACCGTCCATTCTTTTAACCGGCTTACCCTTCTTCTCCTTCCTTTCCACCGATGTGGTACCATCGATGGAACTAACTATGAGTCTCCACAAATTTTGTGGGATCATTACCCTCCTACTAACGGCCAGGATAAGGTGTAACCCCCCATGGGGCAACATCGTCCCGTCAAGAAAACAATACCATTAACTAACTAACAAATGCTTCCCGTGAGCGTACTGCACGGCTCATCATCAAGAATTTTCGAGGACTATCAAATACAGGGGATGGGCATAGAAGGAAACAAAGGAAGAGAGAATTATGGAATAAGATAATAGACAACCAGGCGTCAATGACGATCCATCAAAAGTCTGTAAAAGAACCCCTGGTGGACATCCTCTACGACCCTCTCCGGTTTTTAGTCTCACCAAGATCAACGGCAGATCATCCATGGCTTATGCTATACATACACGAAACCCTATTGGAAGAGGGAATAAAGACATAAATAAAAAAAAGAAATTCTTCAACGGACGAGGCGTAAGATGCGTACGTGTCTAGAACGGGCGGAAGCCGGTAGCCTGCGGCGTGATCCCGTTGGTCTGTTGATACGGCATAGGACTTGGCACGGGCGCCGCTGGACCCTGGGTCAACATCAGTCGCGAGCCACCCAAAATCGGTGTGTTGTCCTCTTCGGTCTTCTGTGTGACTTCGCGCTTCTTGCGTTCCTCGTTGTCCTTCTTGAGCATCTCGATCGTACGCGTCTGCTCGCACAGGAAGTTGATCATGTAGGGCATGGTGAAATCGTGAAGGCCGTGGCGCCACGAGACCTCCATAATCACATCGGGACGGATAAGGTCATAGCAGGCATACAGCATGCCAACGTAGCATTCCCGGCTGCCAATGTCCACAAACTAGGATAGGGTTAGCAAAACACTTCCACGATTAGGGTAGAACAAAAACTTACGTAGCGAAGGAGCTCTTCCACCACCTCGGCCTTTCCCGACAGCGCTGCGGTCTCGATTGCATCCTTGTAGAGCTTGTCCTGCTTCGAAAGCGCAATCGACTTCTCCCAACGCTTGTTGTTGCGATAGATGTTCGCAGCGATCTGACGGAAGAAGATCAGCTCGTGCTTCTCAAGGCGCTGAGCCAGTTCCACAGCGTCGAAGTTGTCGTAGTTATCCACTGAGTCGCGCAGGGTCTTGTAATCTTCCTCCTCGATCAAGAGATCATTGATGGCATCGTTCACCGCCCTCTTGTTTTGGGTCTGGACGTTGAGGAGGAAGGGCTTGATCAAGGGGATGTTATCCGAGGACTGGAAAATGCGCACGACACGATTGACGTCGATCCTGGTGGTCAAAACCTGGAGCAGATCGGTAAGGAGCAAAGGCTGCTCTTGCAGGTAAAAGTTGAGCGCGCGGTAGTAGATCTCAAGATTAGCGACCTTGACGATGATGTCCTTGAATGAGTGATGCTCCCAGGCGTCGGCAGCACGCTCCATCATCGCCAATGCGGCATTGTCCCACTCATCATAGTGGCAGTACAAGAACACCAGCTCTGGCCAGAGGTTGGCATCCTCGCAAGCACGGATCATCTTGGGGATGTTGATACGCGACCAGAAGAGTTTGAGGTGCTCCATGACCCGATCAGGGTGGTACTTGGAGAGCGCAATGCCCAGCTCGGTGAACATACCCATGTGAGCCCTCTCCAAGCCCAAGCCGGCCTCCAGAACAGAGATAAGTTCGTCAAAGTAGCCGTTGCGTTCGTATTGGCGGACAAGATCCTGCAGCTCCTCAGCATGGACGATGAGGTTGAGGCCACAGATCTGGGCAAGACGGAACTCCTTCTTGTTCACACACGCTTCGTTGACCTGCTTCCAGACCTTGACACTGTTGGCCTTGCGAGCACACTCCACTGCAGCTTGGTAGTCTTCCAAGTGTACCAAGGTTGTGGCAAGCTTGGCCCAGTTCGAGATACTAGTGTAGAAGATCTTGGCAGCTTCATGATAACCTTCCTCATAAGCCTTGTCACCAGATGTCTCAACATCCGCAACATTGGTCGACCGCAAGAAGTCCTCAAGCTCCGGGAGCTGATCAAGGCGAGCATAGGCGAACGCCAGAGCAGTGTCAATGGGGGGCTCCCGCAAGGTCTTACGGGCCATCTTAAGATACTTCACGAGATCCTCGTCCTTGCCAGCGTGAGTTGCGGTTTCAATGACCTCGAGGTAGTTCGAGGGGTCACCAGCACGTATGTACGACTCGATAGAGTCAGACACACGAAGGCCGTCCAATTGTGCCTTGGCAACCTTGCTCCATACGTCCGGCAACTCAACACGCTCAGCAAACTCTTGGGCACGATCAATGCTAACAATGTTCTCAACAAGGACATTGACGGCAGCAATGTAGTTGTTGACCTTCTTGTAAATTTCAAAGGCCTCTTCGTACAAGCCGACCGAGATACACATTTCCGCGATCTCATCAGGGCTAAATTCGTTGAGCTGATGAATATAATCCATCAGGCGGCCCTTGTCAGCCTTGGCAGCGGTGAGCATAAGCAGGTTCTGCAAACTGCCATTGTCACTGAAAGGTGATGGCTCAAGGATGATCTTCTCCAGCAGCTCGATAAGCTCGCCAGGCAGATCGGCCTGAAGGAAGGCTTTGACAGCAACGGAAACCTTGTCAGGTTCCGTTGATTCAGGCACCGCGGTTGCGATAACCTGGTCAACCATGGACCTGCGGTGAACGTTGTTTTCGCTCAAAACGAAAGACCAGATTTCCGTATCAGCCCTCTCAACGAGGTAGCGTGCCTGAGCCCGATACATGGCGTTCTCATTGGTGATGTTGATGAGCTCCAGGTCATTTTGACCCTTTCTATACGCGATATAGGCCAGGTTCGGATCGCGCTTCTCACAGTACTTGCCGACAGTCAGGGTGTCGTACATATCGTTCTCCTTGAGGAACTTCTCGGGATCGTTATTGCTATCGATATAGATCTTCGCAAGAGCATTGTACACAGCCTGTTGCTGGTTACCAGTTGCGAGAGTAGCCTCAAGGAAAGGCAAGAGGAGCTTGAGCCTATTCCGAGTCTCCACTTCATTGACAAGCTCATCAATCGGAATAACGGCTGGGTCTACCGTAGAGAGAAGGTTCTTGATAATGCTCTCTTCACAATCAACGTCCAGTAATCCTCCAACCACTGCCGGAGCACGGGAAGGGTTGACACGCTGTACATAGACCTCAATAGACTTGTACTGCTGGTTCTGGTAGAGGTAGAGAACGAGATCATGGATAAAGTTGAATCGATCGCAGACAATGATCAGTGGGAGCTGTTCCGTCAACTTGGCCTCCTTCAGGAAGTTCTTCACCTTTTCGGCGTTGTAGTAGTTGCTCTCACGGCAAATGCGCTCAACCTCGGTAATCTGGCCCATAGCAGTAGCAGCTTCGATGTACTTGAAGTGAACCTCAGGGTCCTCGCTAAGGTTGACTATGCTTCCAAGGTAGTAGTAAAGACCTTCAGCAGTACGGTACTTCTCGAAAAGGCTGATGAGGCTACCAGGACCCAGGAGATCGGAGAACTTGGTGGCAAGCTGAACAACGGCTTGCAGATTCTGACGGATGTTCGCCTGCAGCATCGTATCCATGCAGTCGAGAGTCTGCTCAACAGAGAGACGACCGAAGTAGTTCATCAACCATTCAGGATTCAGCTTGTCAGTGCGGACGATGTTACGCTTGATGGCTGCAGGATCGTCAGTGTTCTCCAGGGCGCGTTGAATGAGGCCAGCATTCTCGCACAGCTGGGAAATTCTGGGACGATCGTAGTGAGTGAAGATCTCGTTGCCAAGGATAGCATCAGCGACCTGAGGGGCGTTGACCAGGTTCATCTCAAGTAATCGTGTCTGCAGATGACCATGCTCAGGCTTGTTATCCTTGAGGGCATCCAACAAGAAAGAAGTCGCCTGCTGGATCATATTCTGAGACAAGAACACGTCCACAACACGGTCCAGGTCAATCAGCGCACCAGATTCCTCGTTAGCAAGCTGGGCAGCGAATTCGGCACCCTTTTCGGGGTTCACGCGCACAATATGCTGCAACAGCTGGGTATAGTCAGGCTGATAACCGACCTGCTTGGAGTACGCGAGAATCTTATCGAATTGCCCGGTCTCTGCAAAGCCAGCAACGACCTTTTGAGGAACATTGGCTTGCAAGTAAATTTGCAGAGCTAGGTTCATATCATAGGGTCGAATGATATCTCCAAGTTCCTCGGAGCCCTCCAGCTTTTCCTCACGCATCCACTTCTCGAGGAGATGCTTTCGGTTTTGCTGCAAGACGGGACGAACAAGTTCAACACTCTCGTATTTGTTCAGAGATCCCTTATCCAAAAGCATTCCGAAGTATTGGAGAATAACAGACATTTGCTGTCCGGTCTGAGGAGCGTTCTTAAAACGGTTAATGGTTTCCGGAGTGCGAAGGAACCCGCGGGGCGAGTTTGCGGCGATCTTAGCAGCCTCGGAGTAGTTGCCCTGGGCAAGGAGGTTGTCAAACTGTTGCTGGTACAAGTGGTCCGCACCGGGAAGTCCAGCCTTGGAGGCAAGCCTCACTGCAAGCCCAGACATAGCAGGGTTTTCCATCAAGTATTGAACAATGGTGTTCTCATCCACGCTGACGGACAGAACCTGACCCTTGCGGTTCACACCAACCAAGCCAGCCGAATCTGAGTCGGGCGCGGTAGTGAAAATGGTCTCGCTGGAAATCCGGTTCATGAAAATGCAGGTACCAGTCTCGAGGTCATAGAGATGGATGAAGCCATACTTGGTGACAAGATACACAACATCGTACTTCCGAGATACTTGCATCGCGACCGGGAAGTCATTGACAGCCTCTTGGGGGAAATAGACCTCAACAGCCTTCTTCTGGAATCGGGGGTTCGGTTCTTGGTGGTCAATTTCGGCAATCTGTAACTTGGCACCGGTCTGGGTCCGAACGGCAAAGGTGAAGAGTTTATGTTCCAAAGGAGAACCCTCGACTCGAATCGAAGCGAAGGCGGCAGCATGCCCTTCAATGAATTGCGAAATCCCGCGTTCCTTAGAGTACAGCTGCATCGAGCCCACAACACGGCCCTGCTGCTGGCTGATTCCAACCACTACCATCCATTTCTCATCATCATTAACGCGATAGTTGATAATTTGGCACCCCTATGAAACATCAATATATCAGTTTTCCAGTTCCATTCGCTTGTTTATATATGTATTTGATGCAAATGACGTACGCTCAGGTTAGGGAGTCGGTCGAAGATCTTGAGTGGCTGGGACTGGGTAGGGTCGAAGACATCCCAGTGGTAAACGGACGTCTCCGTTACCAAACCTAAGCACTTGTCGCTGAACCACTTCCAGTAAACAACATCCTCATTCATCACTGCTGACTTCAGCTTCTGTTTCGCCCCCAGATCAAAGATTTGGATTGTGCGGCCTTGAGCCTTCAAAGCGATGATGTTTCGGGTCCAGTGCATGATAGCACTATCGGCGTTAATTGGCCGTTTGAGGACTTCATTGTTGTTCTTTAAGTTGATGATGATGACTTGAGGTTTATCCTCTTCATTGAGCTTTTGCCGAACGCAGACATAGTGATCCGATTCTAGAGTCTGTTGCGGGGAGGGGGGCAATTAGCACACTGTAGATCAATTGAGGGGCAACGGTGTAATATGTGTGTGGGACTTACACATGAGTTGAACCCGATCGATGCCGGCTGGTAAAAATAGCAACGTAAGTAGATGTTGACAACAGTTAGGGTGGGTATGATTGGGCGCGACTAGCACCGCAGCCTTAAAGACCACGAGCTGGCAGTGCGACAAGACATACCGCAATTTCAGCATTTGTCAACTGCAAGTATAGGAAAACATGTCAGCCTCTTATCACTATTCTGATAGTATTTAAGTCAAGGGTCGGAGAATACATTAATAAGCTCCGTAAACTTGATAGGGAGAGGAGCCATATTTACGTAGGCCGCAGGACGACCTCACCCAACCGACGAAACGCCACGCAAATAAATTCCACCGGGTTATAAGGAAAGAGAAAGAAAAGAAATTTAAAATTGAAGCTAAAGACGGAAGGAAGGAAAAGAAGTAAGAAGGGGGAGGGAAAGGAGGCTTTGAAACAGGGAGAGGGTAAGTTGATGATAGACTGGGGAAGCGGAAGTGACCTCAGGAGACCGGCGCGGCCGTCGTTGCTGAGGTGTCGCTTATGGGGCGTCACGTGCAGCCAGGGGCAGCTAGAGATGGTCTGGCCCTGCTTTGGGCGGCCAAAAACACAGATCTTTATGAATTAGAATTGAATCTGAATCCGAAAACAGGAGGGGAGTTCTTCATTGCAATCACATAAAGCTTATACGAGCATCATTTCCATCAATGAAAGGTCGAAGCCATTGTCTTGTTTCCAGACTAAGAATTCAACTGCTGATCGAACAATGAATTTGAACCCAAGTTACTGCCATTCACCCATTGCAGAGAGTCAGTTCAATATGGCTCACTTTACTACCAGTCTTATAGCTATGTCCAAGAAATATGGGACGTGAAAGAAGCTATATGTACTTGACTCCTTTGCAATTGCTTTGTACGCTACTAGTAGTGCGCCCTTACTTGGCAGTGCGATGACATGGCTTTCAGGGCAGAGGGGGTACACCGTACACGCTTAACTACTCACAAATGAAATAGAGTCTACCCTTATAATCTTACAAAACTCAATTGTAAGCTTCATCACAAATCCTTCAGGATCATAACTTCATTCATTCGTCACGTCCACCTGCATATGGCACATAGCATCCCCACACCCGGTCCCAGAAGGCTGCAAGGGCAAGCTCATCCATTTCATACATATCCACATTCTCAAGCTCCTTTGACGAGAGGCAGTCTATTGCTTTCTCCCATCGAGTAACCCAGTCTAGACTGGACATCACCCGGCTCCCTGGTCTAGAACCTATGTTAACCGGGTACACAGATCCTTAACGGGTCTATATTTACCTTAGCTTTAATTCCACTCGAGCATTCCATCCATTCCCGCTATTTCAAGCCAGTTAGTACGGCGCAATTCACATAACTGAAAGATACAATGACATGCCTCGAAGCCCAGGTGCGGTCATGTCGAGCAGTCTCCTCCTCTAGGCCATGTAGCACGTCGGTTTGGCGCCGGTCGGACAATGTGGCTAGCGGCGATGTTTCGCTATGCGAAGGATTCTCCTGGGCAATCTTATTTGGATCTGGTAACCCGGAAAAGTGTACCTGCTGCTTCGGCAGTTCTATGGCGGCACTAATAGGCACGTCAGTTCATTGATAGGCAAATACTAGACAGAGCTATTCAGGATATAACGCAGGTTCAACCTGGTGGTGCCAACATACACGTGTGCATCCTCCTTGGGCTCTGATGCGCTTTGTACCGGCCCCGTCCAGGGACAATAATATCGACCTGCGCAGAGACTCAAGGCACTGCAGCTGCCGCCTGATAGTATGATTAAGAAAAATGAGGCCTTGACCATTGTTATGGTGTATTTCGCAGTTGAACTCGGGAGTTAGCGTCCTGTGGACTAGAGAATCTCTCGGGGGAACTGCTCTTGCCCATATTTCTTTTGTTTCTTTGTGTGGTATAATGTCGAGTCTCGACTTCCCGAACGTCCCGAGCTTACATCGTGACGTCAAAGAATATAGAAATCGATGGCACACTCCACGGATTATAATCTACCGTTTACTGAAAACAGATTCAGTTACATGTATTGTCTCAGGGGTGATATACGTCAGGGGAATTCACTGTCTAACTAGGGCAGCATTTTAGGGGAACAGCACCATTACATGTGCCCTATTGAAAATAGGGTCTCGAACAATTGATGACCTCCCAGGTGTACCGTGTGGACCTGCGCAGATAGATGAAAGTAGCCGGCTACATTCTCATGCAGTCTGTAGAAAGCAAAGGACTCATCGCTCCTTGGGTACCTCCACAAGTTGAGTTTTGTTCGTTGTATTCATTCAAGCTGGTCCAGTGATGACGCGCGCACTCGAGGGTTTATGTGGTTGAGTATGCACATTCCATGGGTTGCCATGGTTGAGGGCCCCGGGAACAAAAACTCAATTGATTCCATTCTCTACACCCTCTCTTTCTCTTCTAAAAGGATAAGAAAGACACTGGATAGGAGGAAATGGAGAGGGAATAAAACACCCATACCCCGCGTCTAGAATAGGTATACAGAAATATAGTGCCTTATCGTCAGTGTTACCCGCAACGGTTTTAAGATGGATGGTGGATTGACGGTAACACTTCCCGATCAAGTAATGACTTTCACGCATAAATACTGGGTAATTCACCGCCTGAGGCAGGTTTCCAACCCTAATCAGATCTATAAATGCGGAGAAACTCCAAATAGCAGATGGTCTCAAGCGACATTCAGTAACATATCAATATAACCCCCCCTTCTATACCTGTGTCGCAACTCTGAACTGATTATACCTTAAAACGAGAGTATATGGAGTCCTCAAGTTGAAAGCTTCGGAACTGAATATGGTATTGGTTACACATCCTGGAATCCATCAGGAACTTAGCGGAACCTACACGCCATGTGACGTAAAGTTTGGGGTTAGAGAGGTGAAAAGGAAAGACGATCACAAGTTCGGCCTCTTAATCCACTAAGTTGACTTTCTATTTTCACAATAGCGTGAGAACTATGCTAAAAGGAAGCCCAATTCCTACAGAATGACATTTGCCCAGCTTGTTTGGCTTATTCGCATCCTTCGTCGATCCGTTGGTACGGGGCCTACATGGTACCCTGATTTAGGAATAGGCAGCGATAGCCTTTTGATATTCCGCATCAAGACGCGCAGCCTCATCAGAAATGGTGGATGCGTCACCTGAAGTGACCTTCGACTGGAGCTCAGTTGAGAGCTGACCAGTAAGATCATGGAGGGAGTTGAGATCCGAAACGACAATGCTGGTAACTCCAACAGAGTCAAACCCGGATTTCTATCAATCTTGTCAGTGGTCTATCCCTTGAAAGGATTCAAAGCTGGGGACAACACACCTTAGATACAAGATCATTGAGAACTGTCACAATATTAGGCTCCAGACCAGTCACAGCATTGGTCACACTTGTGCTGTCAGCGGCACTGAATGCAGTAGATGCTTTTACATCGCTGACGGTTTGCTTCAATGCTGTCTCCACTTCACCTTCCTTCTGCTGGACAGCCAAGGCACCATTGAGCGTTCCATCGAAGCTCGAAATAGCAGAGCCGAGGGCCGACAGATCGGTCGAGAGTGTGCCAAAATCAGCGAGAACAGTGGACGCATCTCGCTTGTCAAAAGGGATGGCGGAAGCGCCAACGGACAGAAGAACAGCAAGGACGTGTTTGGCAAGCATTGTGCTCAGGTCAAATTGAATGCACGGAAGGTTTCTTCGGGCTGACTGTGTGTCTGAAAGAATTATTCTTAGTTCTCAAGATTCCAAAAAAGAGGGTATTCGACCCCCCTTTTATACCCCAAACTTTAGACGAGCAGACAGAAGCCCCCCTTCTCCATGTTGATTCTTCCGTTGAAATCCCACGATTCGGAGGACTCCACGATGTCCTGCGGGGTATGAACAAGCAACCTCTCTGTGGATGGTGGACAATTTGACTTCTAGTCGCCATAACTGCATAGACTATGATTAGCACCATGCAAAACAGAATCACACCAGCCAGCCCCATTAGGTAAAACTGAATCTCGGGTGATTTGAACTGCTCAGCAGGCGATGACGCTCCCAAAGGTCCGCTTCTGCTTGTTGATTGTCTCAAAGGCAACCACGAGCGATCTAGGTCCGTAATAGAAGGGCCCTATCTTAATTGTTCGCAAATTGTTCTGTGGTGTGTTCGTACGGACACTGTTCATAGTTCGTTGACGTACCATGATCATATTATATCACATGGTGACTTCTCTTCAGCTGCGCCTCGGCCAACCACTAATTGCTGGAAAAAAGAACTGCAACCGCCCGCTAACATTCTCTGACTGGTGCCCGACAATTTACTATCCAGAGCTGGTTAGCGGTTGCGTCCAGGGTCTACGGTCTAGCCCGGGGTGATGCTGAAGGAAGTGGTCGAAAATATCAGTCTGTTGGCTGCTGATCCTCCACATCCTGCTTAGGGCCGAGCGACTAGTGATCTGACTCCAGTCCAAGCAATCACCCTAACACTAGCGGGCTCATGTTTTGGACTTATTTTCGTTTTGTCTTTCTAGGCCCCGATTTCAAGACTACCCCAACAACCTGCGAGGGTTAATTTGGTGAGACGAGAGGGGGAACTATGACCTACCGAGGGCAATTTGAGACACATCGAACCACTCTACTCACACGATACTCCGTCTAATATCCTAAGCACCAATCAAAGTGCTTCCTTAGCTCCTAGGGGCGTCACTCACTGGCGGGTGAGGGTGGAGAGTTAGTGCGCTGAGATGATGATCTCTGCTGTGAAGAAGCCCATCGAAGATGCTGCAACTCTAAAAAAGCAAACCGACAATGGTCCCTTCATTAGCTTGAAATTACAGGGCCTGCCATTGCAATATGGAGACGGTTGTTATTTTTCTTTTTGTACCGCACCTTGCTGATATGTGATGCCTAGGTTATACTAATGGCGGTTGACCAGAAGACCGTTCAGCGTTGCCCTCGGTCTGCCCCTCTCGTTAATGGATCTGATTTGTTTTATCGTACACTTTGGCCTATGTTGGTAATCCCTATTAGTCCCCACGAGTAGAATGACAGAAAGCAGAGTCCCCTTGAACTTGCCCACGGGTTGTGCTGTCTTTATTGCCCTGTGGTCAGATGTAGCCAGTAGGTAATCCGTTTTCCCCCACATCTTCTTATCATTTATCTCATGGTGATGGGCACTTTGACACGCGCAGGCTATTTCTGCCCTTCTCAATTTACCACAAGTCGAGGTTTATCTATTTACACTCTCAAGTAGGCTGTGTGTGTCTGTGCCAACAGTGGCCCTGCTCATCATATGGCGGAGCAATCACCATGCCGCGCGAAAGGTGTCAATCTCAAGGACGAGGTCAGGCCAACGTTCGTATTTTACCCTCGACGGGAAGCACAACCTTGATGGTGCTACTTACTCACCAGCCTAGACCGCAGTCAATTAAAGAACGATTGACACCTTGAAGAAACCCATACATGTCTTTCCTCTAACATCATCCATTCTCGGTATGAGTTCAAATCTCCACGTCTCGCGCCAACGGCAATTCCGAGAATAAACTCAGGTTACATCCATGTCACCAGGAGATGGAGAGTTGCATGTGAAGTTGACACTAGCGAGGTTCTCAGTGACTAACTCTTGCGTGATGCAGGCTTCCTATGATGGAACAATCCAGTAAGTACCGATCGTATAATGTATGGTGTACAATGTGTGCGGGGAAGCTGGCCCATACAGATCAAGATCCATGAACTGAGAATGAAGGATGCCGCTGCAACTCCCCAGTCCGATTGGTAGTTGTATACGAGATTGTATACATGAATCTAAGGAACTGTTGCAGGAGTCCAACGTGCCAGTGTATCCGCCACGTCCAATTGGGGACTCCCTATACACTATCCACTTACCCCTCATTCAAGGCGGCATGCCACAGATTAATTGACCATCAGGAGCACTCGTAGAGACCGCGACTCAGTCTAGATTTGTTCTGGTCCTAGTCTTCGAGTGCATTTGCAGTAGTCTAGTGTGCTACTAGTAGTTCGCGCTGGTGGTGTTGCATTCCGGGATGATCCGCAGGCCATAGGGGCGGGTCCAGGGATGATGAGAGCGTGGGGACAAGTGAAGGGAGCCCGGGGTCTGCTCTCCCTCCATGCGGGGGGGAGCTTCTGGGGCCTAAGCCGCTGTTTACTGTCTATAGACAACATGCAAGTAACGCAGCCATGTAAAGTGACTTTTTTTCAACGGCCGAGGTCCCCATCATAAGACAGAATCCTACCCCAAATGCAGGATTTGAGTTCTAGTCCCGATCAAATAAATACAAAGAACATAGGGGCATTGATTGACAGCAGACTATCGAGGGCATTTCGTTGACGCCTAGGATTATAACTGAGAATGGGAATATAGCAATTGGGTTTGGATGCCCTGTGGTTTGCGGGCTAGCAGTAAGTATGTTATTAAGTACCGAAAAAAATGGAAAGGGCAAAAAAAGGAAAGGGCAAAAAAAAGAAGAGAACAACTGCTCCCACGCGGATTTGAACCGCGGACCTCATGATTACTAGTCATGCGCTCTACCAACTGAGCCATAGGAGCTGATTGTTGAAGAGAGCATTTCTTAATTAAATATACATTCCGGTGCTATTTGTGTTGGCTCTTACATACCCTTTAAAGCTGGGTATAGGCATACAAAATGAATGCGAGGCACCGATGATCTACTAATATAACCTTTCACCTTATTAGGATCTTGACTGCCACCACTCACAGTACATGTACAGATTTTCCTACTCTCAAGTCCTTTCTGAAATGTTATACCCATGCAACGGGCCCAGCTTTATTATACTGGACAGATATATATATATGGACGGTACTAGTAGTGACTGAACCGTGGGTAGCCAAATGTTTATAGTTCTGAGGTTGACCAAAGACCACGGAAGCTGGAAGCATCTACTCAAATTCCTATGTAGCAGTACGCATATATACAAGTAGTTGAATAATGCCACCCGAACGAGGTCAGGCCACCACCGGCTAGCATGGTACCCATTAAGGAGACCTGCCAACCTCACGTCTACGCCAACGTGGGACACAGCATACTGTTACCATACTAATCGATACAGCTCCACCAAATGGATATACACTCTTAAAAGACCTGGGGCAAACAGAAAAGCGGGAATCTGAGTGGCAGGTAGCGGGAAGTAGAGAGATAGGTTCCAGATTATTCTAGGGCCACACCGACATCCGCTTGGAGATGTCCGAGAAAATTGCCCAACTTCCGGAATAAGAGCTCGTATATGCCCTAGTAGTATATGTATCTTAGACATCAACGTGACGTCGCTAAGTATGCAAGTTAGAGCCTTTTCTATTATATAATTTAATAAAAACTTGATATCAACAATCCAGCTCCTATGGCTCAGTTGGTAGAGCGCATGACTAGTAATCATGAGGTCCGCGGTTCAAATCCGCGTGGGAGCAGTTGTTCTCTTCTTTTTTTTGCCCTTTCCTTTTAGAGAAATGTATTTGACATACTGATTCACTCGATGCACACACCATACATGGACATACTGCTCAGGATCGAGCATCCATCGGGTTATATAAACAAACGAGGGCCTATACTGTTGTAGACTCCGGGTAGCCCTCGACCAACCATCAGCTTGCACAAGAAACCGCATTGCACACCTAATGGAACAGTTCTTTTATTGCACTCAAGAGTGCTCGGTATCAAGTCATGAGAAAATAGACTAACGTCGTCACATGAATACTAGCATAAAATTTGGACTATCTCATATCAAATAAAGGAAATGACCTAGTGGTGGAAGAGGCGAGTACCCTGCTCGACGAAAGTAATGCCAAGCTTCTCTGCAGTCTCGAAGACAGGGCCATCGTTCTGGCTACCGCTGGGAGCAGCGATGTACTTAACGCCGGAGCGGGCTGCACGGAAAACATTGTCGATGAAGGGGAACTAGTGTCAAGCTGGTCAGCAAGGGAGATTTTACCAATCGTAAGAAAACCAGGGAGATGACGTACGAAAGCATCGGACGAGACGGCAACCTCGCTCAGCTTTTCGAGCCAGGATTCCCGCTCCTCCTGAGTGAAAGGAATAGGGACTTCTTCGAAGACACGCTCGTATTCGGCCTTCTCGGCCTCATTGCGAGGGGTGTTACCCGAGCAGAGCAAGTCAATGGCGTTAGCCTTGTCGGCACGCTTAGTTCCCTTCTTCCACTGGATGTTGAGGACACGGTCGTGGAAGCGCATCCACCAGTTGTCAGCCTTGTCACCGGCCAAACGAGTGCAGTGGATACGGCTCTGCTGGCCAGCACCCAGACCAACGACCTGGCCGTTGAGAGCGTAGCAGACAGAGTTGGACTGAGTGTACTTCAGAGCGATGGTAGCCACAGTGAGATCCCGCAAAGCAGAGTCAGGAAGGCTCTGGAGGTTCTTAGGGGTCACGATGGTGCTGAAGGTCTTCTGGGGAGAGATCACCACATCGTTGCGGTGCTGAGAGAGCTGAACACCGTACAAAGTACGGGTCTCCTCGGCCGCGGGGACGTAGGACTCGTCCATCTGGAGCACGAGGTACTTGCCGCCCTTCTTCTTAGAGAGGATCTCAAGAGCTTCGGGAGAGTAGCCGGCGGCGATGACACCGTCCGAAACCTCACGAGAGATGATCTTGGCGGTGGGCACATCGACGACATCACTGAGAGCGAGGATGTCGCCGAAGCTGGACATGCGGTCGGCACCACGGGCACGAGCATAAGCCTGAGCCAGACCAGAAGTCTCGATACCAGCGATATCATCAACCATGTAGACCTTACGCTCCTTCTCATTCAGGGGCACACCGACGGCAGCACCAGCGGGGGAAACGTGCTTGAAGCTAGCCGCAGCGGGGTAGCCCAGCGCCTGCTTGAGCTCCTTGACCAAAGCCCAGGCATTGAGAGCGTCAAGCAGGTTGACGTACCCCGGAGAGCCGTTCAGAGCCTTGAATGGAAGCTTGCCCTGGAGCATGTATGCCGAAGCAGGCTTCTGGTGGGGGTTGGTACCGTAACGCAGAGCAATGTGCTGCTCGCCGTTACCTGCATATTGCTTACGGAAGAAACCAGAGATGGCACTGTCGTAGTCTGCGGTGTGCTCGAAGGCCTTGAGGGCATACAACTTGCGGCTGGACTCGGTAATCTCGCCGGCGTCGAGCTCCTTGAGGAACTCGGGGTAGTCCTGAGGGTCGGAAAGGATGGTGACGCGAGAGTGGTTCTTGGCCGCGGCACGGAGGAGGGTCACACCGCCGATATCGATCTCCTCGACAGCCTCTTCGATAGTGACATTGACCTTGTTGACGGTCTCCTTGAAGGGATAAAGGTTGCAGACAACGAAGTCGACCTTGGAGATCTTCTGGTCGGCCAGATCCTTCTCATCGGACTCAATGTTGCGAGCGAGGATACCACCGTGAACAGCGGGGTGAAGGGTCTTGACACGGCCACCAAGCATTTCGGGAGCATTGGTGATAGCAGAGACGTCCCTGTAGGCTCGATATATTAGCTTCACCAATTGTCATCTTATCTGATAGGTATGTGTGGAGAGAGAGGAAAGAACTCACTCGACAGGGAACCCTGCCTCTCGGATCATCCTGGCAGTGCCACCGGAGGCGAGCAGACGGACATTGTTCTTGGCCAGACCCTTGGCTAGGTCGAGCAGCCCGGTCTTGTCATAGACGGAGAGGATAGCTGTGGGAAATATCGCGTGTCAGCTGATGAGCGCCTCGATATTCATGAGAGTAACAGAAATGTCAACTGTGGGGAAGCATTCGGACCACATCCACACTTGCTGGCAAGCAATGCAGTTCCAGACTGCAAAGATGGACTCAGTTGTCTTACCTGACTTTTGTTGAGACATTTTGAGACAGCAATCGCGAGAGACACTAGATCACGTCAAGGTCAGACACTAGAAAGACAAGGAAAAAAAAAGGGAAAGAAAATTGAAGGAGGGGAAAAATTTATCCCCACGACCCCTCCACAATCAACACCGCAAGCAGTCGGAGGGGCACAACCGGGGAACAAGAACAACAACAAACACTGAAGGGAAGATGCTTATTTACCTGAAGAACCGGTCTGTTTCTGACGGCAGGGTAAGAACGGAATTGACGGTTGCCTCCTGGAACTCACACTGATTCAATCAAGTTCTGATCGATTCCTGGTTAATGACCTGCTTGATCTTCTTTCCTATACGGACCTTCTAATTGGACTTTTCCGCGGGGTTCAGGCGCCGCTTTCGGATGCGCATGCCTGAGGCAGTCAGTGAGCTTTGAGGGATTATGACTAACATGCTCGATAGAGTTTAGTCTTTCAATCACATCATAGCGGGGCAGCTCCCAGCAAACTAGGACGAAATCGGTACTATGTAATCTACTACTAGTAGTACTAGTAGTAGTATACTGAGCCATGCAGTCACAGCTGACTCATCTAGACGCGGCATAAAATGAAAAATCCGCGTAGATCACATGATGAGCAGCACGGACCACCACAACGGACGAGGTACAAAACTGCGCTCAGCTCGGCCGCAATTTCCTCTCCTTTTCTTTTTCTTTCTATATGAACAACGCAAAATCAACATTCTTCAAAAAGCGTTCCTACGAGGATATCCCCTATTGGGGTGATGCCTATGAAGTACGGAAATCGTCATAAAGAATGGAGAGGAACTGCAAACCGCAGGGTGTCGATCTTGGGTGCAGTGTCTTCTAGAACTCTCCGAGTTCAGTGGAAGGGATTGCAATGATTGATTCTACACGCCTTTTTTATTTTTATTTTTTATTCTATCTTTGATTCTTATCTAGCCTTGCGCGGGACCCGATCATGCTATGGTCATTGTAGTACTGGTAGTAAGTTTCCTGTGTAGTAGTTGGGAAGCTCTACGAAGGGCCGTGCCAGCATTGTAAAAGTCTAGAAACCGTGATGTTCTGTCAATGAGCACACTGGCTGAGGCTCTATTCAAGCACAGTTCACTACCAAGTCCGAGTAATATGACATAAATGAAAGCCTTAAAAAATGAGGAGGGCGCATGGAGGAAAACCTGTCAAGACGCTCAAATGAGTGGGATTGGGAAATAAAGAGGATTAAAAAAGTTCGATGCTGGTGCCATGTTGACTTATGCTTGGAGGGACTCCCTGCGCGCAAAAATCGCTAGTTGGCGACCAATGTTCCCGAAGCAAACACACGCACTGAACAAAACACTGGCAACCCAAGTGCTGACTGCCAGGCTTTCTTGCGTGATACCCGTTCCCAATCCGAGATCCCGTAAAGTGCTGTTCAGAGCGGGAATCGCGGTAGCGGATGCTCCCGTAGAAGACGGTACTAAATCCGGTCTGAGTGCCAATACGATTCCCATTCCACCTACTCCCACGATGGCAGACATGAAGAAGCCTGTCTTGGTGCGATCAATGAGATACCAGAGCACGGGGTTTGCGAGAGCGAGCGTCGCCGATGCTTGAGTAGTCGATTGCCAAGGGGTCCTCCGCTATACAGAAATGTCAGTCAATCAACAAGGCTGGTGGGAAAAGGTTTTGCAATTTGGATAGCTTACCATAGCAAATGCTACCCCAACAAAGGCACCAACGCTGCGGACCGCTGCAACCCACGAGAGAGTACGCTCCTCATTCTCCTCGTCGCTGCTCGACCGACTGGACTGCTTGGCGTTGTCAACCGTAACGTCCTCCGAGAAAAGATCCAGGCCAGGAAGCACATTTCCCAAAACGACTCCAGCCACACCCCAGAATCCCAGGTATTCCCATGACCCGTAGTAGTGGGTGTTCTCCAACTTCACCGGTGTAATCCAATGATTCTCGTGTAGGTGGATTGTAATGATCCCATAGACAATGCCAAAGCTGAACAAGAGAGCGGCCTTGAGTGCTTGGGGCAAGACCACACCAAGGAATAGCCCGTGACTGAGCCGTGACCGTGTTCTCTTGAGGGTAAACCGATCTGGCTTTTCCGGCACCGTGAGGGGGTTTGGCTTTTCGACAGCTGGCGTTTGAGCTTCCGTTCCCCAAGGACTGGATTCGTCCCGGGAACCCTCGAATGCCGTTGGTGAATAGATACCATAGAGTGTCGGGGTCGTCAGATTCATGATCGAGCCAGTCCGACTGACACTGGTAGACCCGGCATCCCTAGGGTTTAAAAGGTCTGGGTTGGCGGGTTCCGCAGGGCTTGAGGGTTCAGATGATTCGGTCGAGGCCGGAGTGAGGTCAAACACCCGTCGTGGACGGGGTCGGAGAATCGTTGGGTTGTCAGACATGACGGGCGGGAAGCTGTGGTGGAACTTCGACAATGAGGAGAGTGTTACTCTATAAATTCAAGACCGGCGGGATCGTTAAGGAGGTGGGAGGCACAGGCTCTGTTCTGGGTGACCGAGGGCGACACAACTACTAGTACTAGTAGCTCCTCCGCCTGCTGTTGCAACAGCGACGATCCTGCAAGCAATGTCTCGTAAAGAAAAGAGGGGTTGCTCAGGATGATGTTTGAACGAGACACGCAGGTGTGCGAGTGCCACAAGCTCTCTCACCTGGGTTGCTGCACGGACGCTCAAATCCTACGAGGTTGAAGGAGGAAATTGGTTCGTTGAGGCGCTGGGGTGGAGTACGCGGTGCAGATAGAGGCGCGAGATTGGCTCGGCAGGGGCCAGGGAGGGCAACTCTCGTCGGGGAAATGATTGAATCAAGTGCAATGAAGTATATGGACTCTAGACTAATAAGCCCGAGATCGTTAGATATGCCAGAAGAAGTGTTTGTTGTTAAGAATGCGGAGTGTTTTGCGGTTAGGGGGCGAGTTTTCGACTCAAAAAGTTGGGAGGAAACCAAGTCGAGGGAGTACTAATCAGGTGTCAAATTCACATGCAAATCCTAACCCTCAAACAACAGCTGCAGACTCAGTGGACGTCAATTTCATTGCTCCCAACAGAATCCTCCGGTGATGACCAATGACTTGTGCGAAATATTGCCGTACTCGAACTCTGATAGGCCTTCTGTACCTCTCTCCGCTCGATGTGCAGCGCTTCTCCTGCAACTACTGTACGGGTGTAGTGGGTAGTACTCATACACCCACCCCCCGGAGAGTTATTGCGAGACCGCTTTCTCAAGGCTATGTGCGTACTCTATGCTCCTAAGTGGCTCCATGATCATGACGTCTCGCGATCTATGAGTCACCGTGCGATTGGGGAGAACCGGTAACTGCAAAAGCATCAGCGCATGGAATATCGCCACCTCTGCACTACTACTAGCTTAACCTAGGGGCTGCCTCGATGCATTGCCAACGTATCATTGGCTGTCAACCTCCCGTGACCCTCGAATGAGAAAGTACCTCCCGTCTGCCTGGATACGTAGTACCATCATTCGCTTCTATATCTTGTATGACCACTGTTGCCTGACATCGAACGACTAGATAGTTTGAATCTATTCCATTATACTCTCGAACTATGTAGAGGAACCGTCTGCTGTGATACCATAGTAACATGAATGTTCCGTAAAGAAAAGAAAGAAGTTAAGACAAGACCGAAGAAGTCAAGAATAAGCCGGTGAGATGGCGTTACAGAATCAAAGGAGTAAAAGAGAGGGGGGAAAGGAAAGAGAAAAAAAAAACAACATCGCAGAAGAAGTATGGAATAAGACGTACGGATCAGGTACAGATAAGATGGAAAATACTAGCTCATCGACCGTCTCCTTCACACTAAAGAATACAGGAGCCCCTTATTCAAAGGTCACCTAGAGTTTCTTCGTCCTTCTCCCCCGTTCGTCTTTCCAAGCTTTTACCAACGGCATCGCCAGCAACTGACGAAGCCTCACTGGCGGCATATCCATTGCCGCCTTCAAATGTGGACGAGTTTTCGTCACCATCACCTTCGACATCAACGTCCCCTTCTCCTTCCTCAAGATCATCGTCATCTGCTTCATCATCATTCTCATCCGAAGACAATGCGTCTGCATCGTCATCTCCCCCTTCGCCGATGAAGCTATCTTCGTAGCCTGGCTCCACAGGACGAGAAGGTAGAGGCCCTCGAGAAACACCCTCATCCTCCTCGCCGCTTCCCTCGCCAAGAAGTTCGCGATCGATGTCATCGAGGCCCTCTTCTGCTTCACCGTCCATATCCCCGGGCATCGATGACAGCTCCTGGTCTTGAGATGGTGCCTCGAGACTATCCTTAGTAGCACCATCAGGGGCTGCCAGTGCATCCCCGGTCGGGCGGCTTGCACGGCTCCGGTTGCTCTTAGAACGAGAGACCGACGTGCTCTTATTCTTGGGAGTTGCCGCCGTAGAAGCATCCGTAGTCGCACCGGCGAGCTTGCGCTTGGCATTACGCGCGGCTCGAGCTCTGCTACGTGCAGAGGTTGGCACACGCCCTGTCAGGTCCGTGTCAAGACCAAATCCGCTTTGCCTCGCCTTCTGCCGCTCTTCCCTCTCCTTTTTTCGGTCTCTCCTCGGGCCATTAGCATCTTCATAGTCCCACCTGTCTAGTCGCCTTGCGGCTTTACGAATGACGGACAAGTAGAAGCTGGCACATTCGCCGTAATCTTCCTCCTCTTCAGGGTTGGGAACCAAGCCCCCCTTGCCCCACGAGTTATCCTCATCTTCCGTGTCGTAGTTATCGGGGACGTTCTGTAGCAAACGATTATAGCGGTGGAACGGAATTTCGGTTTCACGTTTCGTGCGGAGGAGCCGGTAGGCCTCATTCTTCCGCTTGGCGAGGATGTATTCAATACGCTGCCGCCTGTTTTGCTCCACAGCCAGCTGATGCTGGGTAAGCGGGCGGGGACGGCGGGAAGAGGTCTGTTGGGGCAAAGAAGGCTCCGTAACAAACCTATTGAGAATCGGGTGACCAGAACCTGGAGGGGCCGGAGAAGAAGCGTCAGGGGTATGCTCCATTTTTGTCTTCAGGATGAGGCGCTGCTGACCAACAGAACGATTAAGAGATGAATCCCGCTTGGGTCGCTTATATCGGGAACGGGCAGATTGTCCCGGGGTTTGATAGTCATCTTCATCATCCGGATAACGTTTGGAAGAGGGGTGCAATGGAGTCGACATAGCAGATCCACGACCTCCAAGGCCATCCCCTCGGCCAGAAATATCGCCTGAAACCTGGTCATCGTCATATCCAGGTTCCAGGAGGCCTATGGGGTACGGTTAGTATGAATCAGCATATGATTGGGCGGGGAAGGTGATGAAGAAATACCTTTCTTAGAGCGTTTAGTTATCCTAGGAATTGGCTCTTCTTCTTCCAAGATACCTACGCTAGGTTAGCCGATACAGAAAAGAACAATCATGTCGGAAGACCAACGTTTACGCTCCAAGCGTTTGGCTTCTCCATACTCGATTTCGGACTGTGTGTCCACATTTTCTTCGTTTGCCTGTTCTTCAGTGAGGCTCTCAAAATTTGGTACTTTGATTGGCAGACCCCCAGTTCCTTCGCCATCCAGGCCGGGGCCGAATGGGTTGTTCAGGGCTGCCTCCTGCGAGAAGTCACTCTCCAAATACCACCACATCAGCCACAAGAAGGCCCTCGCACGACTCTTGCTGCTGAGTGTAGATCTCATGACTAGATCGAAGAAGTCGCGGGGAGGGAAGAAGTGCATTTCAGATACCTTGGGAGCGTACTGGGCCAAAACGAAGATAAGATGCACCGGGTTTGTTCGAGGAATTCGCTGACGTCTAATCTTATCGAGCGTGTTCGGTTGATCACAATCCTCTGATGCTCCCTTAAGGATTGACTTCAGACGCGGGGCATCTTGTAGCTGTTTGTAGGCATTGGGGTCCTGGTGGGCTTGCAAGGAAGGGATCGAGTGATAAGTCCGTAGTTGAGCTCGCATTTCAGGGAAAACTAGGAAGGCCACAAATCAATAATCGCACTTCAACAACCCCATCGGGTGTACTGGCACGCCCACATGGTAGAGGAGAAAAGTTGAAGAAAGAAACATACAGTTGAGTGTGGTATTCATGCGTCCGAAGTTCACCAGCAGACAGACCATCGCCATGCTGATGGCTGCCTGTTTGTCGTTTTGAAGTTTATCCTTCAGAATCTTACTCGTTTTGCTACTCTTTGCCATAGCATCGATGTAGATATCTGCGAAGTCCAGGCCCTTCTCTCCGTCTGGCCAACGAGTAAAGACGGGTGTCTTGTCCTCGAAGACAAGTTTGAGAAACTGATGCTGGATGTCCTTGCGCCATAACGGGATCCCATCCTCCTTCTTGAGATGTCTGATTTTGTTCCCCGAGTAAACGGAGCCGATCGTACCGTTTGCCTGGCGTCGCGTGCCGACCGTCATGTTATGCGTTTGCTGCTCATCTTGAGGCTCGGAGTGTACGAACGAGTCGTCTGCGACGGTGCTTTCGACTTCGGCCATGTTTAGTTCCTGGATTTATCAAGGCCCTTTAGGTCCGAAGCCAATTGTCTTTTCTGAGCCCCCAGATGCTTGACGTGGTAGCCTTCCGTGCGCGCCCTTGAACGGGGTCAGTCACTGACAGCCGCAGAGGGACCGGTAGCCGGAAGCGCGTATAGCACTTGGGGTTAAGAGAAAGCGAAGTATAGATGGCAGGAGAGAAAATTAAGTATCATAAATGAGGAAAAGGGAAATAAGCGCTACCCAGGAGGAGGAATAGTGTTTGATGAGGAAAAGGGAGAAAGGAAGGTTGTGTTAAATGACGAAGGATGAGGTGAGTTTCTTTTTGGTGCCCCATTCGGGGGATCCAGCCCTTTGCACGGGGTTCCCGTCACTAAAGTAACGATAACTCGGACTAACTCGCCCTCGTATATCCCAGAGCTGTTTTTCTGCAAGTGCCGCCGCTTTTGCGGGAGCGGCACGTGAGCTCGTTGGAGTACTCGGAGTCACTCATTGATGGCTCGCGGCGCACGCACTCATGGCTCTATATCCTAGTACGGACGAAGTCCCTGCTTTGTCCCTGCGATTCTCACGTGACTGCAACGGCCCTCGAAATCGGGGACAATCTGAAGCTTGCCGATCTATATACATACATGGGGTTCTAATCTCAAGACCCAAAGCGCATCATACTGCTGGGATCCAACAAGGTTAATGATTCTATTATCTATATCGGCTCTGGCTTCCCAAAAAGAGTGAGCACGAATAGGATCTGCAAAGAGACCGGGGAAGAGAGTGGCACAGTTGGTTTCATTGGACGAATGCTCTTCAGGATTAAACAAAGGCTGAGGGAGTGGCCCAGGAAGAGAATCATGAGATGGTAACTAGTCAGGGCACTGTAGACCCTTGATGACATGGGCTAGCCCCAGTGCTCCCATGCACAGTTCTTCTGCTCTGGGGGCATTAGCCAGCCTGGCTGACCCTGAGTCCCCAACGACCTATGGCTTATATGCAAGGAATGACAACAGTGCTCAGGTCCAGCACCCCCGGGGTAAGTGGTCAAGGTTTATTGAAGTGTGAGGAGAGAGACCTCATGTTTATCAAAATAGGATTGTGATCCTGCCACCATCAATGCCATTCTAAAGTGGTAACTTTCCCCTGACCCTGACCCTGTTACTCTAGGCGAGTATGCTAACTTCGAGACACAGTATACCAATGCAATTGAGAGCAAAGAGTGCTATTATGACTCCTACAGTAGAGAGTGTATCTGTCAAAAGGTAAATCGCTGAAACAGGTCCTTCTGCTATTGCTACTTGGTTGATTGTGGGTCAGCCGGGAGGTGTTGTGCAATTTTAAGGGGGAACACCTACAAGCTTGTTGCATTCTAGTATATTTGTCCTGCTATGCTAGCATTAATCCACCTCCATGTATAGCAATATCCCCAGTGAGGGACATGTTTGGGTGCGATAGCCGGGGGAATAGATGGTAGCCAATGGTCTTCCGGAACCAAGGGTTTTTTTGACACCGGATATCCCGTTAAACCAAAACACGCCTTCTGCTGATACTAATGGGTTCTTTGCACCCCAAGCAAGCGATGTGGCACCAATAGGTAGCAGAAGATGTCTCCGTAGAAGTGGAGGGTCTCTTTGTTTCCAGCTGTTGCTGCCTGCTTATTTAACCCCCCAGCCCCTCGCGAATAAAAAGATTTTTTCATTTCTCCAGATTCATTCCATACTCATCTCATTTCCAGGAATTTCCTACCAGATCATGCACGACTTACTAGGAGATTCACCAGACTCTTCGCCGAGGGATAGTCCTAGCTGCTTTGACATCACTTTCAAGATGCGGGTGGATATACAGGAGACTGCTCGGCAAGGACAGTTCGACGTCCTCCGAGGAGTAGCATATAGCAGAGCATGGATTATTGGTCAAAGATATTGCCGGTCTCAGTATTCTATTGATTTCTGCTAGCGGCACCTGCATACTCTGTGGTATACCTATCACCATTGGAGCAGGCATCTCTCTCATGAGAGTCCTGAGCAAGATAAGTTGGTCCTCGACATCCTCCGTCTTCGGGGGCGAGGTCCCCTAACCAGGCCAGCACCGGGCGGCTGTGGCGTTGATCTGGTGAGAACTCCCAAAGGTGCTGTCTTGAACAATCTACCCTTTCTTGCTACAGACATGACCGAGTTCTGGCTCAACGAGGGCGCGGAAATGAACGCCAACCAGCGCCTCAATATTTCATCCTTCCTGGCTAAGCCTGCCTCTACGCGCCTGATAAAAGATAGGCCTTGCCAGATTGCTTTGATCCTTCTTTGTGATACTTTTAAGTCCATGCGGCCTCCTGGCAGCCTTGACAACCCCGATAACAAAGATCATCGCCGAAATGTGCATACACTTACTATTGCCGCATTACTTCCATCTACATATGCCTGGCTCCGAGAGACAGGGCATAACATCGTACTGTTAACAGACGTATCGTGGAATGATTGCTCCAGCAGTCTTTACGAAAAAGATGGCGTAAATGTTGTCAGGTCAGAGCTAGGTCGACGAGCACCGGGTGGATTTAGTCCCTGAAGATGGCTATATTGGTTTAAGCAACTACATAAGATTGCTGAAGAAGTAACTCGAGCTGATGAGATGCGACTTCCAGAGTATACTACGAAAACCACTGATATTATGATAAGTCATGTTAAGCAGAGGAACTCACGGATTCTCGAAGTGTTTGCGGCTGAGGTAGATACCTTGCAACAGGATCAACATTTTTCGGGTCTGAAGGGGAAGTTCTAATACAAAGTGAGATCATTGCTCATGGTATGCTGTTGTGGATCCGAGAACTATTGTGTGTGCTTCTCGACTCTTTCTTCATTCCATTTTCTTTCCTTTTCTTTTAGCCAGAATAATATGTTATACTGGGCTAAACCCTGCTCAATCCTGACCTGGGTCCTGTCACATTCCTTTCACGCTTATCCATACATTCAATGCATATCTTATACGTTTATGAAGTCAGAAGGATTACGCTAGAAGGGAGAGGTCAGCGCCGACCACTTGTACATACGTCTCGTCTTTATTTGTAAGATCCTCTTGTCTTTGCGATATATGCTATTTCCCTCACTATAAAGCCCGCCACAAGACGTTCGTGCATCTATTGTATGATGTGCCCCACACACTCCAGTATCCAAATTCTAGAGCAAAAAGCGGCCCTGATCTAGTCCTGTTCCGGAAAAGCACGTTCTATTGTGCAGTGAATGATTGAAAGTTTCCATAGTACCGTACAGCTTAAATAAATCAAACAAGGGAAAAAAAGAATACGATAAACGGATCAAATAAGAAGACAAATACAAAAGTTCAACATAAGAATATAGTTTCCATGACCCATAAGTACTTTCTATTATCGAAACTTCTCCCTACGCTAAAGTATTATGACCGTATTAGCCCCATTCGACGTCTGTAGGGTTTCCAGGTTTTACTGCTATGAAGATTTCACGGACTAGAAGGGCATCGCAGGATTTACTACACCAAGTAGATGAGACTAGAATCAAACTTTTTGTCCTGATAAATAGCTCCCCTTCTCGCGAGACAGATAAAGTCCCCGTGAACAGGGCCGTCTTCGGCATATCTCGTCGAGCCTATATCGCTACTGACATGAGACAATGATGTCTAGCATAACCACAAAAAATCATAAGTGCCAGCAAATGCAGCATTCCATCCTCCACGGTCCCAAGTGCAGAGAACATAATCTTTTTGTGGACACAGCAGCTCAAGCCCAACGCCATACACAATGCAAAGAAAAATCCCTTCTCTATCACTCGCATCACGTTATCATGCACCGCCCCGTCCTAGAGGCAGTGTCAAAAAAGAAACAAATACCCGCCGAAGAAGGCCCGTGGTCGCAAAGCGCTGTTCGGTAGCCCTCGCACCTTCTCTTCCACACAGGAGTGATGCGCAGCAAGAAGGACTCCAGCCATAGCCGAAGCCGCCATGTAGCAATGCATGGGAAAGAAGACAGTACGAGGCATAAACAGTAGCGACGCATGCATAAGAAGTGAAACTTGAATGTCGGAGGTTCAGACAAATAAACAAGGAAATGGGAACAACACGCCATGAGATACCGAAAAAGGAAGAGATCTATCTTGCAAGACACGGTCGATGCGTTGCCACAGCACCAAGCAGATGAAACCATAAAAAGCACTTTTCTGAAACCGAAAAGCCGGCACTCCTGCTCGGCGCACATAGTTCAAGCGGATCTCCATATGGCCGCCTGAGAACAAAAAGGGTATCTGATAGAAGCGGTCGCAGGAGAAAGACAACGCAATCTATGATGTTCATGCAATGCCGACCAAGATGCTCTCGATTACATAAAGGGTATAACCAGGAGCAGCAACATGGTGAGATCGGACCGCATCATAAGACCATGTCTAAAATCGAGAACAAGCAAACGAAATCTGCGAAATGCTCAGAAATAGAGAACACCGATAACTCGACGTGATAAAATGAAACAAGACGATGAAGAACAAAAAGAAAAATCTAAAAGGAAGTCGTGGCAGTCATGACAAAGCCGTTCCTGAGATAAAACAAAAAAGAAAAAAACAACTCAGGGCTCGTTCTGATCGTATCCGTCAAATGAAAGGCAAATGAAGACAAATAGAGCCAATCAGACCTGACGGCCTCGTCAGAGACCACAACCCCGGATTTACCACCAGGAGGAAGGTCCAGTAGGGCCCGAGGGGTTTCCATAGCCGCCACCGCCGCCGCTGCTGCCGCCGTAACCATAGCTGCCACCGCCGCCACCACTGCTACCGCCGTAAGAGGGAGCACCACCACCGTAGCTACCACCGTAGCCAGCACTGGGGCCGCCGTAGCTGCTGCCACCGAAGGAAGGAGGACCGCCCATACCGCCGCCCACCCGACGCATATCACGGGTGGCGTTGGTTCCACGGCCACGACCTCCACGGCCGCCACGGCCACCATATCCACTGCCCTCACGAGCAATGCTCTCCAAGAACGACGGGACCTCCTGATGAGCCTCCTTGAGAAGGTCGATCAGATCGCGAACGACGCCGCGGTTGCCACGGTTGAAGAAAGCGGTGGCAATACCGGTGTTACCCGCACGACCGGTACGACCAATACGGTGAACATAGTCGTCGATGTCAGTAGGCAGGTCGTAGTTGATAACGTGAGTAACGTTGGGGATATCAAGACCACGAGCAGCGACAGCAGTAGCAACCAAGATAGGGCAACGGCCGGAACGGAACATCTCCAAAGCACGCTCACGCTCACGCTGAGTACGGTCACCGTGAATGGCGGTGGCAGGGAAGCGCTGGTTGAGCAGGAAGTCCGACAGAGAGTCGGCCATGCGCTTGGTCTCAACGAAAATGAGGGTGAGACCGCTAGTGCCATGGGTGTGGAGAATATCCAAGAGAACCGAACGCTTATCGTGATCTTCGACGTATTCAACTTTCTGGGTGATGTTCTCAGAGGTTGAACCGACACGACCAACAGAAAGGAAAACATAATCCTTCAGGAAGTCACGAGCCAGCATCTGGATGTCACGAGGGAAGGTGGCAGAAAACATCAGGGTTTGACGGTCATTAACATGAGGCATATCTTCACCCTCCACAATGCGGCGGATCTGAGGCTCGAAACCCATGTCCAACATGCGATCGGCTTCGTCCAGGATCAAGTACTTGATGTTGACAAGAGAAATGCGGCCACGCTCAATAAGATCCACGAGACGACCAGGAGTGGCAACCAGGAGATCACAACCACGTTCAATCTGACGGAGTTGAGATCCAATATCGGCACCACCGTAGACGACGCAGGGACGAACCCAGGAGCGGTAGGCAAACTTTCGAGCTTCATCGAAGATCTGAGAGACCAGTTCACGAGTTGGGGCCAAGATAAGGGACGTCGGGTAGGCCTTGCGCTGACGGCCGTAGCTGAACTGGCCGGATGCCGGGGCAGGAGTCGGGGAAGGACCGTTCTGGAAGGCCTGAGACAAGATTGGGAACAAGAAACCACCAGTCTTTCCAGAACCAGTCTGGGCACAAGCCATCAGATCACGGCCATTCATCACGATAGGAATAGAGTACTTCTGCACGGGGGTAGGAGTCTGGTAGTGAGCGAGCTTGATGTTCGCAATCAGGTGGTCGTCCAAAGGAGGGTTGGTGAATGCGTTGACGGGCTCGGGAACCTCGTGGCCGGAGGCTTCCACGGGGATATCGTCGTAGTTGGCAAAGTTGATACCAGTGTTCTGCTTAGTGGGATCGTTGGGCAGGCCGAAAAGTTCACGCTCCACGCGAGCATTGGCGGGACCGGGGATGTGCTTGCCGTCGCGCCACTGGCCATCTCCGGAGCCTCTGGCACTGCCGCCGCCGCCTCCGCCATAGGAGCCTCCATGACCTGGGTTTCCGTAAGCATCTGGATTAAATGATCGGTGAGAACCTTCAGTGGGAGTCCAGCTGGTGTTACCATTGGGATTGGGACCGCGAGGGCTGAAATCAGGAGCACTAGCGTTGGCCCAGTTGCCACCGCGAGGACCGCCTCTGTGAGATTATATGGTTAGTAACACGCCAAGCTGCGAGGCGAATCCAGGAAAGATACATACCTCGAACCCCAAGAGTTGCCGGGGCCGCTAGGACCAGGGGGAGGGGGGGCGGCGGCGGGGGCTCCGTCCATGTTCGCACCCGTTTGGCGTTGACGGAGATGGGGAGGGATGTAGGCAGCGCGGCCAACGGAAGAGTTTGGGGCAGGCGCATGCTGAGATTCGTTGAGGGAAAGGTTTCCCATCTTCAAGCTGTCGGCCATCTTTGCGGTATTCCACTAACTATCCAGAGATGACAGATAAGCAATGTATCTCAAGTTGCACAGGTAGAATGCGGGTTTCCTGGTGCGAATATGAGACGGGTGGTATATGGACGTACAAAAGAGGGAAAGGAAAAAGTGCTTTTCTTAAAAACCCGGGAAGCAGAAGCGCAATCTGCTTATCGTCAAAAAACAACGGAAAAAGAGCGCCCGAGATTCGTGTTTGTACAGGACTAGAGGGAAAGAGAGGAACGTGAAGAAGGTAAAGAAAAGTTATCCTCGTGTCTCTCTATTGAGTGGCGATCCAGATGGATCGAATATGAGTAACACAACAAGAAAAAAGGTAAAAAAAAGATTTGGGGATTTAGAAAGTTGAACAAGGCGATCTCCCAGATCTAACCCTCTATTAAATTGCAGAAAGAAAGAAAGGGGAAGAAAGAGAAAAAAAAGAGAAGTTGATAATATGTGGAAAAGAAAAGGAAAACCAATTTGGATTAGGGGAGGAGGTTTGAAAAAGGAAGAGGAAGAGATTAGGTTTGTGGGAGAAGGAGAGGAAGTGAGGCAAAGCCTGACTTAATTTAGTGTTTGCAGTCACGCTCAGTGACCACCAACCTGTGTGTACTTACCACGAACTGTACTGGTACCTACTCGCTCTGGGTATTTTGCATGCGGTTCCAAAAAAAAAAAAGTCTGTCTTGGGAGTATTTTTTTATTGGCACATCCAGCGTGGATTTCAAAGGCAAGGAAGAAAAAAAATTAAAAAGGAAAAAAAAACCTTCAGAAGCGAAGGCAAATAGGTCAAAAAGAAAAAGGGTAAGTTGCGGCGCCAATAGGTAATTATGGGCTGGGTCGAGTCTCCCTTCTTTTTGGCCTTCTTTTTTCAATGTTTGCCGTCACTGTGAAAAAAGGGTTTTGCAGTTTTTTCAATGGAACCAACCGACCGTATTCTGTACCTCCCTAAGTATCTAGGATGTTGAAATCCTGGTTCCCCTTCTTTCTTCTTTGTGACATGCTTTTTGGGGATTGTAGTTGTAGAATAAATTCTTCATAAATCAATTAGATAACAATTAAGTAAAAATTGTCAAAATCTTCGAATCATCTATCTCAATATTATTTGGCTTGATCTTACTTACTATTGGATACCTACTGATTACTGGGTACTGTACTGGAGGGGTCCTAAGAAAGTACTAGCGACTTTCTTCGGACCAATCTAAGGGGTTCCAATGAAAACCACTGATTGAATCGGTACATTACTTACCTAGATGTACTCCAGAGTAATGATTATCGCCAATGATAGTATGTACATAAAGTACGGGGTTTCCACGAGTGTATAGAAATCATATGAACAAAGATAATCATGGAATGATGTCTTTCTACTCTTCCTTTCTTTTTCATGTATGATCATACACATACATAAATAACACAAAGGGAAATGGAACAACAGACATCAAAGAATCCCATCGAATATATACTGTTCTCTACAGTACTAAATAATATACAGCATCCCAGCAAAACAAAAGTGTAAGAAACAGATCTTAACAGAACAGAAATATACATATCCACATAGCCACTCTGCATTTGTTGATTTCCCACATGCCCCAGGAGATGCAGAATTTGACATTTGCCACTCCTGGCAGTAGCCAGTCACCTGACAAGGTTTGCCACGACCAAGTTGCTGAACTGTTACTGACCGCTTCTATGGGAAAAAAGCCCGAGTACACACAAAGCGCGTTAGACGCTACGGGAGATTATATGCTAGTGACGGAGTAATGGATGGAAACTAGGTAGTTTTAGTAGTTACCCTCTACGGAGTACGGTCAAAATATTGCGTATATCGGCAAACTTGAATCTAATTGGATAGTTGTTCCGCGGCAACTCTTGGAAATCGTCATCCTGCATTTCTTTTCAAACAATGCTTTTCTCATCATTTGCTTTGCACTGGCACCGTGCTTTGCAGACCTTCCGAACAGAGATCACTAGGAGGGCAACGGCAACAAGGAATACTACAAATCCAGACAGAGAAAAAGAATAAGAGGAAGCATAAGCGCTTGCTGATGGGGGTGCAGGTGCTGGTGAAGATGGTGCTGGGGTTTCCGATGGCTCCTCAGTGATAGCGATGTTTTCTTTAGAGAGGTCAAGAACTATCAGCACGTTTCAAACTCTTCTAAGAATCAAACATTGACCCGGAGAAGGTCTACAGCTCCTTGTGGCTACCTTTGTCCTCAGACTCCAGCTCTCCACTCTTGACGATCTTGACCACCTGTTGGGGCTTGTCGCCAGGGGCCTTGGGGACGTTTTCAATGGCTTCAACCACCTCATAACCCTCAAGGACCTCGCCGAAAACAACGTGGCGGCCATCGAGCCATCTGTTCCGCTCGTCAGCATGGGTTTTCTCCGCGAGTCTCTTAATAGAGCCGTAATATCACTGTAGGAGATACATACGGAGTAGGAACAGTAGTGATGAAGAACTGAGAGCCGTTGGTATCCTTGCCGGCGTTGGCCATGCTCAGGAGTCCCTTCTTGGTGTGCCTAATCTTGAAGTTCTCATCCTTGAACTTCTCACCATAGATGGACTTTCCGCCAGTGCCTTATGCGAAACGTCAGCCTGTGTTATGCTATTCAGTTTCGAAAAGGGAAACTCACCGTCACCGCGGGTGAAGTCACCACCCTGAATCATGAACTGCTTAATAACACGGTGGAAGGTAGAGCCCTCGTAACCAAAGCCTTTCTCGCCGGTAGCGAGAGCCCTTAAGCGTTTTATGTTAGTACACAAGGTATTTCAGATATAATATTAAGATAGCGCATACCGGAAGTTCTCGGCGGTCTGTTCGGGAAATATCTCATTAGCATAATCCTAAGCAAGGCATGGAGGCAGTAAGGATCGTTACCTTGGGAACGGTCTTGCCGTACAATCCGAGCACCACTCTGCCCAGAGGCTTATCACCATGCTCAATGTCGAAGTACACCTATCCAGAATAACCAATGAGCATACACGAAGAGAAGCAACAATCATCAATAGCGACAAGGACAGGGTATTTACCTTAGTAGTGATCTTCGGGCCACGGGGCTGATTAGCTTCTTCGGCGTGGACTAGAGCCAGTCCAACAGCCAGAAGGAAGAAAAACGATAAGAAGAGGTTTCTGAAGTTCATGATGACCGAGATTATCTCCGTTTCCTGGAGATCTCCAACAATGACTTAGACAGTACAATTGGAGCGGAAGGAAGAATCGCGGGACTGAAGGGCCAGCTTTCAATTGCGGAGATGCCAAGATGCCATTATTCCCAATGCAGGCAACGTTTGTATTTTGAGCTTAGATATGTGTAATTTTCCTTTCAAGTATGGTATACGTTTGCCCCAGAAGCTTAAATCTTACAAAGGGTGTATTGAAATTTACCATAATCAAACCGGAGGAATGTTGTTGCGATGTGATTTCTTCCGCGCTCCGGAGATCCATCATTGCGCCGGAGGAACAATAGCGGAGTGCAGTCTGTCCCATTTCGAGCAGACCGGATTCATCTAGTCAGGCAAGATGGTATGCTGTTTCTAGTCGTACATTCAACCGTTCAGGACTCATGGCTAATGGTCACTTAGGTCTTCATCCTGGGCGTGAACTTCCCTGAGCGGAACCTCGTCAAGGCAAGCACTCCAGCAACCAATGCACCATAATATCCTTACCAGATCTAACACTTTCACCAGAAATCGCTCCAGTCCTTTTTCGGCATTGGGAACAATGGCTCGTCACGCCTTCTAGCCCGCTTCCACATCCATCCTACGTGCAAAGTTGGCGAGTTGGCAAACAAGCAGGTCCTCGATATCACGGCCGCTTTGTCTGAGATGAAAATCGAGAACGACCTTCGTAGACAGTGCCTGGATGATATCAAGCGCTTGAAAGAGACGGGTACGTACCGGGGTAGACGGCATGCATTGGGACTCCCAGTTCGTGGACAGAGGACAAGAACTCAGGTTGGTTTTGCTCCCATATTCCTGTTTCTCAGGGAGTACATGAGCTAATGCTTGTTTGTATAGATCAAAACTGCTGTCAAGCTCAACCGTATGGAAAGAAGGGTCTGAGCTCACTGCAGCGGCTGTTTGTATCTTATTGGACCTCGCAATCTTTATGCGGGGGGCATGGCATGGCGTTTATCTTTAATTTCTTGAATTGAGTATCAGCTACAGTCTAAAAACTCATGAGATGTACTATATCCAGAGAACGAATATGCAGCCAAAAAATGCTGTATCCCGTCTCTATGTCTCACAGGATCTATAAGCTTTGAAAGGACATCGATTTGTATGATAGCCAAAAAAAAATTTAAAGAGTCTCAACTTTTCATCCTATAGCAAAACGCCAGGCCCATATGTGCAACTTGTTCTACGCAGAAGATAAGACGCCTTCGCCCCGATTGATCTGGATCCTCTTGTCCTCACCGGCACTGACAATGCCTACTGTACCATCCCAGGCCACACCGAAAACCTTGACGCCCTCTCCGCCGACACGCTTGGCCTCAGATTTACCTTGTTCTTCCAGGCTCTTGCGGGAGATGGAATATACACTCTCCCCAACCACGCCATCCTTGTCTGTCTTCGTGGCCCGGATATCCCAAATCCGACATGTGCCGTCATGACTTCCACTAATGAGACCATAGGAACTGTTGGGATCACGAGCCAACGAGACAACGGCATTTGTGTGGCCTCGCAAAGTCATGGCCGCAATTGTAGTTGCTGATGCCCGAGGATCGATCAGGGTGATATGACGAGCGGATGTTCCTGCGGCGAGCAGGTGGTGTTCAGGGAGGTGCTCAAGTGAAAGCAGCGAGTGAGCTGTTGTCCGAGTATCCACAAGTGTAGCAGTTACAAGGTCCCATGTACGCAGGGAATGGTCCCAAGAAGCTGAATAACCAACAGTGGAATCATTGGAGTCGAAGATTGCAGCCGACACAGGAGCACTGTGGGAGGACAAGAGTGCCAGGGGTCCCCGTTGCGGGGTGGTCACAGACGAATTCAGCTTTCTCCTCTTGGAGCTCCTCAAGGCTGCAGATGGCAATAAATCCTCTGGAGCGGCTGGTGCATCTGATTTCTTGGTTGACCAGAAACCTATGCTATGGTCTGACGAGGCAGAAAGAATGCGATTCGAAGGCGCATGAACAGACAATGAGTTGATAGGGTCCTTGTGCCCATACAACTCGAGTTGAGGCGCTATTTTGCCCGAGAAGCCGTCGCCATCCTCAGAATACTTCCACAGACGCACCGTTCGGTCGAGACCTGCGGATACAATCGAATTTGGGGAAACGAACTTGGCGGCTTTAATAGATGCGGTATGACCACCATCAGCAGCAGACGGCGAGGTTGCAATTATTTGAGATGACATATTCCACACTCGAAGCAGGCCATCATAGCTGCCGGAGAGGATCTTCTCTTGGCCTGCGACAATTGTTGCAGAGGCCAAAGAAGCGGCGGGCGAGGTCGCGGATAGCACATCAACTGAGCTTACCCAGTCATCATGCTCAAACGATGCAATATGCAGAGGTGGAATCAAAGCTCTCACATATTCGATTTCTAGAGTAGTTTCCGCAGAAATACCATTGGCAGTCAGGTATTCATCGATCGAAGTCCGGAGGAAAGACCCGTTGATCAAAAACTCGAATGGAATTGGCTTGTCATTGCCAAGGAGATTGTTCACCAACGTCGAGAGTGCATATCTTCGAAGACCTACACAATTAGATCTCTGTACGAAAAACAGACGCTAGGAAGATGGGAGACCTGGCGTAAGATAACCTCACCTGTGGGAACGAGAATCGGGCCGGTATTCTCAGGTAATGCAATGTCTTCTTGTTTGCTAGTGAGCTGCACACGAACCTGTCTCTGCGCAGAGGCCGCAGCCGAAGTGGAATTTGAGCCCTCGCTCATTTTGGAACCGTAGAAGGACAAATGGAACTGGGGAGTCTGAAGCGGCGTTGTCGAAAATCTAATCGGTTCGCAGTAGACAAAAACTGCGCAAACTGAGGAAAAAATACGGCGACCGGTGCGGCCAATTGCGCAAAGCGCGGAGATTCCCCGCAGTCAACCTACAAGAACTATGTATACTGCTCTTTGCCCTAGCTCTACACTCTGTTGTCGACAGTCTGGTCGAATTGCCTATCAAATTATACTCCACTACTATATACAATACGTTCGTACCCCGTCCCTATCATGGCGAGACTCGTCGAATTTCTGCAATTGCCTTCCGCCTGTAGTCAGACTCTGCGAAAAGAGCCTCGATAAGGTCAACCACCTCCTCAGGCGAAAATTCTAGACGTAGTTCGCCCTCTAGCCAGAGGAACTTGATATCGGCCAACGAACTTTCCAGTATGTTGATAAGGTACTGGAATTTCAACCAATTTCGCACATAGACAGCGGTCATTGGTATACGTGCGTTATCATCCGCTGTCTCTGGCATGAATAGATCTTCCAGCCTAGACACTTGGTTGCAGAACAACACAAGCTGTTGGGATTGCGCCTCCGATATATCACCTAGTTCTTCGATCTCAATGATGATCTTATTGATAACAGTTGACACCAGAGAACCAACAGACTGAAGTAGTGCGGAATGTGACAGAATGGGTTGCCATTCCTTGTAGACGTCATGGATTCTGTCAACAGTTGCACTAACTGCATTTTCACATTCTCCCAGGAACGGCTGCTCAGAGCATTGGCTGAAACCTTGCGCGCCGTCCAGCAGGTCTGTGACAATGGTGCGTTGTGTTTGCATCTCTCTACTGTAGGCGAATTTGCCAAACTTCTGGAGCGCATCGATATCGGCATGGAGCCTGGTGAGCTGATGTTCCTCTGAAAGATTGCGCACTTTATCAGCAAGATACAAACTATCGTTGTATAGGTACATTTGCCCTGAGTTGAGCTTAAGACCGTAGAACGATGACGCTGTGGCCTTGAACATGGCGAGTATCAAGGTCGGAAGTGCAAGAAGGCCTGCACCAGAGGAAACAACGCGGGAGTGAGAATATCTAGAACAGAGTCAGTGCATGTGCAGATATCCAAGTCAAGCTCGACGTACATAGGCTGCGATATAGCTTCAGAGTCTTTGATTTGCTGCTGAATGATTTCAAGGATAGAATCAGGGATGTCGGTTACGGTGTACTGCTCTTTCAATGTGACCTCTCGGGGAGAGGAATGATGCGCTGAATCTTTCCCATTGACAGATTTGCCCTCATTTGTACTTTTGATCTGTGCATCATCAGTCTGCTCTTCCTCCTCTTCGTCTCCCCAGCCCCAAGCATCGGCAGCGTCATCTTCAGCAGACGGATCAGGCTTCATTTCAGCTGTGTTCTCCTCGGTATCGTCGTCCAGACCCCATGCGCTGACATCCTCTTCGTCTTCTTTATTTCCGGAATGCTTCGCTGTGGTCTCTTGTTCGTTCTCGTCATCCCAGCCAGCATCCCAATCATCAGTCGTATTCTCCAGTAGGACCTCATCCTTACCAGAAACCTCCTCTTTTTCAACACGCTCTACCTGCTTTGTGGTACCCTGCTAGCGGCCAGGACTTTGCGAACTTGGTCCAACGAATCGACTCGACGCCTGGTGAGCCATAAACGAGGGGCCTGATTGACCCAAGAAACAAGTTCCTCGTACCCCTGCCACCCGAAGGTCTCCATCGTGTTGGTAAACTTTAAAACGTAGTTTAAGATATTTTCGAACATACCCAGACCTTCGAGGTCTGTGGGTATGGCAGAAGACAGCCAGTAGGATATCACATTCGATGAGAGGGTCGGGATGAGTGAATCCGAAAATGAGTCCGAGACTGTTGCTGGAAGGTGTTGGCGTAGGAAGCCCAAGGTTGTGGCGAGGCGGTCCAAAACCTCAGACACTGATGCCTTCGATGGTTGGGATTCTATTTGAATTGATGACTCTCCGACCTGGATACCACGGCTTTGGCCTTCAACTGCGGGTAGTAGAATAGGATCGAAAAGGGTAGCAATTAAGTCCTTCTCGAACTTATCCTTGCACATCGCGAGCATACCAAGGTGGCCCAGAGCCGTGATAGTTCCTTCCAATGAATGCCCTGCTTTGTTCAGCAAGAAATTGCGGGATCCAGGATTGGGGGAATTTATTACCATTGTCATTCAAGAGTGTCAAGATACTCTCCTTTCTGTCAACGTTCAACTGCTTGCTCCAGCGAGCACGGAGGTACTCCGCAATTTCCCTCCGCAGTTCGCTGATATTCTCTAATAATACGTGCATGACAGTGGTGTTTAAAAAGAGACTGTCTTTTCTTATGGCCTCCTCGGTCGCTTCTAATGTTTCGATTGCGTCCATCACCTGGCCCTCTCCAAGGATGGCCCGCCCAGCATCGAGTCGCTGACATAGTCTTTGTACCTCCTCAAGTGTGTGCGTTACAGCTTGGTTGAATGCGATTTCAGTTTCAACCAATTGGAACTTGGCAGCGGCATCGTCAACCTTCAGTTGTAAAGGGTTTGTATTCTCATGCTGCGCGACGATCTCCCTCGCAGTGACACGAGATCGCTCGATGTCTGCATGAAGCTGTTTTGCTTGTGAAATCCATCCATCGGCGTCAAAGTCATTGTCACGGCTTAGTACAGTAATCCCCGCCTATTTGACATGAGAAATAAGTATATCGTGGATTAATCGCAAGGGCAATGGCGCTGGCCGCAGCGCGGGGTTCGCAACTGGCGCTACTTACTTCCACTTCCTCCCTTGCCTTTGAGATGAGCTCTAGCTCCTTTGCGAGAGCAGATACCGGAAACTCCGCGGCAATGACATTCTCAGATGTTGGGTAGGTGCCCTCCGTTACAAAACCAAGCACTGACTGGCATATCTCCTGTTCCGATGCCTTGCGGGCCATAGTGAACGTGTCCGATTGCGACCAGCTCCGCTGTTCGTCAACGAGTGATAAGGCTCCTCCACAGACAGAACCAATGCGAGTGACCCAATCCGTTACTCACAGTCCCCAGATTGAAAGCCCCTTTAAAATTGAATTGCCTGGAATGGTTGGGAGCAGCAAGCAGAGGAGAAGAGGAAGCAAGCTGTCAACCCCATGTGACTTCATCGGTTTCACCGCCTTGGCCCCAATTCACGAACATTCAATTGGAGGAATCTTTGTGGACTATGAGTTGTTAAAAGGTTAGTTTTGTTACCCATTTTGACTATTTCTTTTGCTTTCGCTCCTTTTAACTCTCATAGACCTATGCAGAGGTCATGTCCTGAGTATCCCTACATGTGTAATTGAGCATTTGTTGGCGTGGTGACCCCCCAAAACAACGGGACCCAAACTCCACTCTCACCGTCACAGTTCGAGGGTACCGAAACCCAACTACGGCCAAACTGTCCACGACGTCCTTGTAACATTAATATCAACTGTTAAGCAGAGTCCATCGTGCTGTCTCGACTCTTCTTACGAGGCCTGACTTGGGCAAACTCTATTCGATCCATGTAAGTTCCTATCGTCAGCTCGCTACTTTTGGAAAGGAAAAAAGAGAGAGAGAAAAGCCAAAAAAAAGGCAAAAAAGTGGAAAGTAACAGCCCCTCTTCGATCAAGTGGCATAAAGACAACTGTTACCCATCGGGGGTATTATGTCACCGAATTTGTTTCCGCATGCTTTGTGGATGCTGTTCACCTTGACCTGCTTCTTCAATGTCCTATTTGTATCTTAGTTTGCTTTGACTTAGTAGTGAAATCCGTGCTTTATCTTGTGGTCTAGCGTCGCTATATAGTATCGCCTGCTGACCCCTGTACAGATCATTGTCACAAACAACGATCGCAGACTCTGGGTTTAAGGTACATCGTCAGAGGTTTTCAGGGTCGGTTAGCAAAATGTCCCCGAGTCAGAAAAGCCATTTCAAGTTACTACAGAAATTCAAACCGGACTACTCGCCCAGCGAATTTGTCCAGTATGAATCTGAGAGAACTGGCATGCGGGTCGTGGTCATCGACCAAAAAGGTCCTAAAGTAACAGGATACTTTGTCCTTGCCACAGAAATCCATGATGATTCGGGAGCCCCGCATACGTTGGAGCATTTGTGCTTCATGGGTTCTCGCAATTACAGATACAAGGGATTTCTTGATAAGCTCGCTACACGGGTTTATTCGAGTACCAATGCCTGGACAGCTACAGACCACACGGCGTACACACTTGACACAGCAGGCTGGGAAGGATTTGCACAGATTCTGCCTGTATACCTTGAGCATGTAATAGCTCCAACCTTGACAGACGAAGGCTGCTACACAGAAGTACACCACGTCGATGGAACTGGAAACGATGCAGGCGTTGTGTACTCTGAGATGCAGGGTGTGCAGAACAACTCTGCTGAACTTATAGATTTGAGTGCTCGTCGTTTGACTTACCCACATGGCGTGGGTTTCCGTTATGAGACTGGTGGTATGATGGAGCAGCTCCGCGTTCTCACGGCAGAAAGAATTAGAGAATTTCACCGAGAGATGTACCAACCGAAAAACCTGTGCTTGATCATCACAGGCGAGGTTGACCATGCCAATATGCTTGAGACACTGGACAAATTTGAAGACACCATTCTAGATGTTATTCCACGTCCAGATGCTCCGTTCAAGCGACCATGGGTGGACTCCAAGCAGCTCCGCCATTGGAGAGATCTATTGTGGAGAGGGTAGAGTTTCCCGAAGAAGATGAGTCTTTTGGAGAGATCGAGATCAGATTCCTGGGACCGGATTCTACAGATCCCGTTCAAAGTAAGCAGTCAACCTTCCCTTTCATCTCGCAACTATACTCACACCTCAAAAGCTGGGGCCCTCAATGTTACACTTTTGTACCTTGCTGGATCGTCCGCTTCGCTCTTAGACAACATCCTTGTCGAAAAGGAACAACTGGCAAGTGCCGTCTACTATGCCACTGAAGACCACCCCTCTTTTGAGATTCGGTTCACTCTGACCAGTGTGGAAACCGATAAACTAGCCCAGGTGGAACAGCGCTTCTTTGAAGTGCTGAAGGATGCAATGGAGAAAGAGCTAGACATGAACTACCTCAAAGAATGCATTGACCGACAAAGGCGGACCTGGAAATTCTCTACTGAAAGCTCCGCTTCCTCCCTCGCCGAGTACGTTATCTCGGATTTCCTGTTTGGAAAGAGGGATGGTTCGACTCTCCTGGATGTTGCGACTTTGAAGGAGTACGACGTACTGGAGAAGTGGAGTGAGAATGAATGGCGAAGTTTCATTAAGAGATGGATTTCGGATGCTCTCCATGTCACTATATTGGGCGTGCCATCTATGAAGATGTCCGAGACTCTAAAGAAGGAGGAAGAAGCCAGAGTGGCAGCACAGAAGAAGCGTCTTGGTGAAGCAGGCCTGAAGCAGCTGGCTGAGAAGCTTGAAAAAGCAAAAGCCGAGAACGACAAGGAGATTCCCAAGGAGATGCTGGAGCGATTCAGCATCCCTGGGATTGAATCAATCCATTTTGTGGAAACTACCACAGCCAGATCTGGTGCTGCTTTGAAGGCAGGACGCCCTAACCATACTGCCCAGAAGCTTGTAGACGCTGATGGCTCCGAAATGCCTCTGTTTATCCACTTTGAGCATATTCCTAGCAATTTCGTCCAGCTTTCCCTTCTTATCTCAGCTCACTCTGTTCCGGTTCAACTTCGCCCCCTTCTTTCTATTTACACTGAAGCTTTCTTCAACCTCCCAGTTCAGCGTGATGGAAAAACCATCAACTTCGAACAGGTTGTTGTTGAACTGGAGAGGGACACAGTTGGGTATGCGATGGAAAATGCCAGAAGTCTAGGCAACTCGGAAATGCTGCGTATCTCCTTCCAAGTCGAGCTGGAGAAATATAGCACGGCGATTGCATGGCTTCAGGAGCTATCCTGGAACTCAATCTTCGACGTGGAGCGACTGCGAGCAATTACCAGTCGCCTTCTCTCCGACGTGCCTGACTCCAAGCGTAGTGGCGATGACATGCTCGCAGCGGTGCATGTCATGGTCCACTACGCAGCTGAGTCCATAGTCCGCGCCCGAAGCACCCTGGTGAAGGCACGCTATCTCAAGAGGATCAAGAAACAGTTGGCTGAGGAACCAGAACTCGTGGTCTCCCGCATGGAAGAAATCCGAAAGGCACTGTTCCAGTTCGAAAACATGCGAGTGCTGGTCATTGCCGATCTTGAGAAACTCAAGAGTCCTGTCTCTTCCTGGAAGCCATTTGTCGAGCGACTTGGCGCGATTTCTACCCTCCAGCCCATCACAGCAAGAAGGGCTTTGCTGAGCGAGGCCGGCCAGAAATTGGGTGGAGAGTCCTATGTGGTTCCTATGCCCACTATTGACTCGTCGTTTGCTTACGCAACCGCTCGGGGCCTTGATTCGTACAACGACCCCAGACTTCCTGCGCTGTTGGTTGCAATTGCCTACATGAATGCAGTTGAAGGTCCTCTTTGGGTTGCAGTTCGTGGCACTGGACTGGCATATGGCACTAACTTTGCTTACAACATCGATACTGGCTTTGTCAACTTCGACGTGTACCGGTCTCCTAACGCTCACAAGGCCTTCGAGTCGAGCAAGCAGATTGTCCAGGACCATCTGTCCGGTGCTACTCCGTTCGACCCTCTGATGCTAGAGGGATCGATCAGCAGCATCGTGGTCAGCTATGCCAACGAGCAGGCGACCATTGCAGGTGCCGCCCAGGGCAGCTTTACCCGCCAGGTCGTGCGCAACTTGCCCAGTGACTACAAGGAGAAGATGCTTCGACACGTTCGGAACATTAGCGTTGACGATATCAAGGGCGCGCTCCGCGACATCATTCTTCCCCTGTTTGATCCCAAGACGGCTAACATCGTTGTTACCTGCGCTACTGTGCTTGAAGAGGTATGATTATAACCGACTATCCAACCGTATAAAGCGCCCAAAACTAACCAGTTCGCTCAGACTATCAAGGAGGGTCTCCAGTCATCCGGGTTCACTCCCGAGGTGCGGCCGCTCAAGGACTTTGAGGACGACTACGGCCTGAAGGTCGGTGATGACGAGGACGAGGAGTCCGACGACGAAGACGATGATGACGAATATGAAACTGGATCGGAAGATGACGAAGATGATGAAGATGATGAAGATGACGACGAGTGATACTTTTCAATGACGAACCGGATATATTACGATGATTGGAATGGTATACATCAAGATTTGGCATGAAACAACCGACCAGTAGACGAAGACAGGCACCTGCCGCAGCAATAGAAAATCCATAGATTAGGAAACTCAATCTAATGTTTGTTTTCTTTTTCTTTGAGAGATACTGCCTGTATCTACGCACTATATATAAGTCATGGTCTAATGCACGTAGAATTCCGCGATTATATATCTACCAAAACGAGCCCTCCCCCTCAACACATCGCACATAAAAAGATCAATGCATTGTATATGGTACAGTAGGACCATCACGTCCCGTTATGTCCAAGGCATTGGTAGCCTTGCCCCGACAACGAAAAAAAGAAAGCTTCAAGCCCTCCAAATGACGAACAAGAGAACAAACCATATAGCTCAACCAGCCCATCCATCATACAGATCCCGCGTGTTGTCCGACGGTATACATCACCCAACAATCAACGTAGTCCCCTAGGCCATCTACCAACTCAGCGACTTACGGCCCTTCGCCCTCCTCCGCAAGATGATCATCCGTCCTCCACGCGACCGCACCCGGGCCAAGAATCCGTGACGCCGTTTCTGCACCCGTCGCGAGGGATTGTAGGTCGCGCGCTTACCGGCCAGGGAGGCACTGGCGGAGAAAGAGCGGGACTGTTGGGCGGAGGGGGTAGCCGCGGAGGGGAGTTGTGTGTTGCTTAGGGTCTGCAGTTGGGGACGGATGGCGGTGGTGAAGTTAGTCATGGGGCGGAGTGGTGAGGAGAGGGTGCTGAAAGGTGTTGTTGTGGTGGTTTTGGGGCTGAGGTATCTGGATCAGAGCTGTTAGTACCGCGAGGTTGCCCTTAAGACCAGGTATTATGGGATGTGGTTCGGGTAATGGAGTGTTATGGTAGCCCTATACTTTGTTACCTACCTCGACATGGACATCGGGGACGAGTACGTCCTCAGAGCGGAGGGCATGGCCCTGCACCGGAAGCAAAGCATTGTTGCGAATTTGAATGGACAGCGAGCACCGCAAATGGGCCACGTAGGTTAAGAAGAAGAAGGAGAAGAAGAAGAAAAAGGATGGCGTGGGATCCGGAGAGGGATTGATTGCCGGGGGTGGGAGGGTAGAGACCGCTTGGAGTATCGATTGATGGGCGGAACGAAAATTGAACCTCCGGCGGAGAGAGCACGGACCACTTTTCCATCCTACAACTTTTTTTCTTTTGGGGGGACGTTTTTCACAGATCCCGATATACCTGAGCTCTCTCTGTCTTAACGTTTGCGCATGCACGACCCATTTTTGGGTATTTGATTCATTCACCGATTTACTGCATAATAGACGGACGCTTTTTTTTTTTCAACTGCGCACAGTATCCCATCGCCAAGAGGAAAACTATAAGACTCTATACCGTCGATCGAACATCCAAGCCGTCACAATGGCTACAGGCCCCTCGCCCCTCCCTCCAACATTCATTGTCAACTCAAAATCCATCTCTCAATCAGCGGCGCATGACTTCCTCGCCGCCTACATCGACCTCGCCGCTACAGACCCCGCATACCAACCCACGCCGGTATCAGCGAGCATGGCCCCGTTTCGCGCACCACAGCCGCTGCGCCTAACCTCACGATACACAACCTGAAGCGTGTGAAGGCCGGCCTGGCGGGCGAGGTCCTAGGACGTGATTTGGCGCTTGCCAAGCTGGAGGATGGGGATGCGCAGCAAGTGGGAGCGAATGGGGATTGGGAGGACGCGAAGAAGTTCCAGGAGGGTGAGAATGGCGACGTAATGCAGGACGAGAATGATGCGCAGGGACAGATGGAGGTAGACGATGCGGAACAGGATGCCGGTGCTCTAGACAAGGAGGAAAGGAAGCGGAAGAAGAAGGAGAGGAGATTGGCAGAGAAGAGGGCTAAAGCGAAGGCTGAGACCCAAGCCGAAGAGTAAATCCGACGGCAAAGGGAAAAGCCAGGGAGACAAAATAGCCAAAAAAAAGAGGCTGTTACGGGTCTATGATTGAAAGGATTTGTTGGCATCATCTTGCCATGGGATTGATTCTGTTCGGTTGGGTATTAAAAGCCACGCATTTTGTATTTGGCGTACCAGAGGAGTTTTCTTTCTTGTTTTATTACTGTTCTTTCTGAATGATGGATTCCCACACTTCTACAAAAAGCACCAACCCCGTACCACAGGACCGAATAACCGAAAATTTTCAAAACTCTGAACAACCACAGAGAACGCGAGTAAAGATAGCAGCATCAGAATGGCTCACAGCTCGCGGTCAGCAGCTTTAACTGGCTTCTCATCATCTTCCGCCTTATAATCAGTGACCTTTCCACCCTTCCAGCCGAGCGCCTTGAGTCGCTCGGAAAGGATCGGGTGAGAGTAGTGATAGCTGGCATACATCCAGTCGGCATCCATGGTGCTCAAGTTCTGGATCTGGAGCTTGAGGAGAGACGAGGCGAGCTTCTCGGAATAGCCAAGCTGCACAGCAAACGCATCTGAATGATTGTTAGTCCTTGATCATGGCACATTAACACTACCACAACAGAAGAAGAGCGTACCAGCCTGGAATTCAAACTTGCGACTGAGGATGTTCATTAAAAGCTTGACAACAGCATCCATTGGCGCCAGAGCATCCGAAAACAGAAGGAATCCAATCATGATGGGCTGTTCGTTAATGAAACCGAAAGATTGGTACAACGACTTGTTGTTTACAAAGACTGAGAAAAGAGCGAAGATGTAGAACATGTGGAACTACAGTAGTCAGTTGGACCTGTCCCACACGATCATCAAGCAGGTTAACATACCTGAGCAATACCGAACAGCTTGGTGGTGTGGCTGAGACTCCAATGGCCCAATTCATGGCTCAGAACAGCGACCACCTCCTCGGATTCACTCTTCTCAATCAGAGTATCGTAAATAACAATATGCTTCTTCCAAGGCAGTCCATAGAAATAGGCATTGCTGTGAGCACTCCGCTTGCTGCCATCGATGACGTGAAGTTCCTGGAGAGGGAAGTTAAGCTTCTTGGCGAGGTTTTCAACGCCGGTCTTTAGGTCACCAGGTTCCAAAGGCGAGAGCTTGTTGAACAATGGCAGGATCACGATCGGGTAGATGGTAATGGCAAAGACCTGGACGAAGATACCAAAAAGCCACAGGTAGTAGAAGAACGAGTTACCAGTCTTCTGGACGATCTTGAGCACTGCGCTAATAATGGGCGCTCCAAGCACAATACCGAGCATCTGACCCTTCAGCATGTCCGTAACCCAGAGCTTGAGCGTCTGCTTGTTGAAGCCGAATTTCTCTTCCAGGACGAACGTGTTGTAGTACGAGATTGGCAGCGACAGAATGGTGCTAATCAGGTTGAACCCAAACAGAAACACAAGAGTTTGTGTGATTTCACCCTGAAACCGAGATGGAAAGTACTGTGCTAACAAGAGACCGCTGGCTCCCCAGAGCTTGGGGAGAATATCACCGTAGATAAACGCAAGATTCTGAATTTGACCATAGAGACCAGCAACGAAGCTGAACTTCGCTTTCGCACGACCGTAAGACTGGAGATGCGGTTAGGTGTGACGCTGGACCTGAATGGATGATGGGCATGCTCACTTGACTTTGATCGAAGACCTTCTGAGACACCTCATTTTCCAAAACCTGTGGAGGCTTTGTGCGCTGCAGGACCTTATATTGACGGAGAGACAGCAGACCTTCTAGGACAAATTGTCCCAGAGAGAATCCCACAAGGACATTCTTCCATGGGAAGAACGGGCGGTCGAGGAGACGCGCCAATTGCTATAACCGCCACGGTAAGCCAGATCAGCTATAGCTCCTTATCATAACCGGACAGGTGCCACTGCGGTGTGTATTTCTTCAAGGAGATTTTTAAGACAAGGAGCTTACCTCGAGTATATACATGTTGAAGCGAACACAACAACAGCTTCGCCCTAATGTCAAGGAAGTGCTGTGTTGTTTGTTAGGTTGATAGTAACATTCCAAACAAGTTGCGCTCTGAAGTATTGCGGGAGAATGAAGTGCCTTAGTCACCTGTTGTTGTTACTAGTCCATTACACAGTTTTGATACGGTGGAACCAAGAATGTATCCATTGTATGTACTGTCTGTATGTCATTTACCTATTGTGGCTGCCTGTGAATAAATCACAATAGGAAGTTCAATCAATATGCTGAGTGGATCGCCAATAGTCCATTGAAATCTGGTAGGAATAAATTACTGCTAGACTAGGAGTAGGGTGTTGTGTAGGGCTATATTTAGCATAGGAGGGCTAGTATAGATGAAGAGACCACCTAAGCCATAGTTGGTATATATATGCATATGTTTACCTTTAAAACCACGAGCTTAAAATCATTACCTTCGAATTTCCCAGAAAGAAGTGGGAGAGTAAGAGACTTCGTACTCCTGCCATCATGATTATATAGGTCTGCTTCGGTACTATCTAAAGGTGTGTACTCCCTTGGGAGAAATATCTCACAATCAAATACTTCTTAGGTAGAAATATGGATATCGTGTCCATTATGAAAATTAACCATAAATATACTCATTATTACCAGAGCGAGTATATGGCAAGGCCTTCACATCGTCCCAATATTTAACAATCTACCCAATGCTTTACTTTTTCATTGCATTCGTCATCTCCCTATAAGTAGCCCCTACATAGGTTCATGCAAGTAGAAAGAATAAGAAAGAAGTAATAAAAATGAACATAGAAGAATTTTTTCACTGAACAGCGTCATAACACACGTCAAAGAAGTAGTAGTGTCCTACTCCATCCGTAACAACTTATCCCCCCAATCCATCCATCACCTGCTGGACATAATGGGCTCTTGGTTCTTGGGATCCTTTGCATAGGCCGCGGATGCGGAATATCCCAAGTGTTCTTCCCCTTGACACTCCTACCAAGAAGCATGGACGGCGATTGGTCCTCCTGCGTTCTCTATTCATGGGTTAAACCAGATGCCTTTCTTTCGTTCCTGTGGTAGATCCCCCATGAAGCTTGAACCCTCCAAGGCCTATTGTCTGAGGAACAGAGGGAACCAGAAGCTTAGATTTCCTTCATTCCCCTTCCAGCTGGCCCGGTCAGGTCAAGCTACATATGCACGCACATGATAGGTCGCTTAGTTCAGGATAGGTTCGAGGGTGTTACCGCTGTCACACAGTTAGATATCTGTCATCCGGGAAAGGCCTATGAAGGAATAGAAAGATTACTTACGCAACAATGTTTGCCCAACCGATCAAACGCCAGTGCTTGTCGATTCTGCGAGAGATGGCAATCTTCTCGCCAATCTCGGTACAAGCAGGGCTGGTCAAGCTCAGCTTGGCGGCATCGGCCTTGACGCCCATGACCTTAGCACCGGTGGCTGTAGAACCGATGTTGACCATGAGAACCTCGTTCTTGCTCAGCTTAGCAACCTTGGCCTGCTTGCCGTCGGCGGTCTTGACACCCAACAACCGGCGCAGCAAGAAGTAGTTGACCTCCAGCTCGGTGTAAATAGCGGGCAGACGTCCGCGATGGCCCAGGACGAAACCGACAAGACGATCAGCACGGCACAGAGTAGGGTCCACCCGGGTACCGACACCAATCAGACCACCAGGAACAGCGAACTTCAGGTCGTTGTGCTCAGCGAAGAGAGAAACAACCCGGGAGAAGATGGGGCGGCACTGAATCTTGCCATTCTCGTCCTTGGTCACGAGACCGGGACGGATTTCAACCTCATCGTTAAGCTTAAGCACACCAGTCAGAATGGAACCACCAGCAACACCACCCTTCAGCTCATCAATCTCGGCACCAGGCTTGTTCACATCGAATGAACGGATGACAATCATGTGTGGCGAAGCGGTGAAATCACGGACAGGGACAGGGATGTGGGAAACGAGGTATTCGTTGACAGCATCAATGTTGTACTTCAGCTGAGCGGAAATAGGGATAATAGGAGAGCCATCAGCAACAGTACCACGGATGAACTTCAAAATCGACTCGTAATGCTGAAGAGCTCCTTCTTCCCTCATCAGATCAACCTTATTTTGCAAGATAATAATATGGCTAAGCTTCATAATCTCGATAGCTGCCAAATGTTCCGAGGTTTGGGGCTGAGGGCAAGTTTCGTTTCCGGCAATCAAAAGAAGGGCTGCATCCATGACGGCGGCACCTGACAACATGGTACTCATCAGAATATCGTGACCGGGGCAGTCGACGAAGCTGAGGGGAGTAAAAAGGTTAGTAATTAAGCCTGAATAGCAATAGAGAATACGGAGTCACCTACGAGACATGTCTCAACAGCCTATAACGACCTGTGCACCCATCTCTCTCACATGGAGGGTCAATCTCCTTCTCACTCTTGAAACTCTTGAAGCATGTTGGGCGAGGGCACTCGGGGTTGTCGCACTTGTAGATCTTGGCGTTGGCGTAACCCAGCTTAATTGTAATGTTTCGCTCCAACTCGTTTTTGAAACGGACAGTCTGAACCTCTGAGATAGCCTTGACCACCGTTGACTTTCCGTGAGCGACGTGTCCGATGGTACCAATGTTAATAGTGGCCTGGCGCGCAATGATTTCGGGTGACAGAGGGGTCAGGGTCGACAGGTCAAGGGTAGCGGGGTCTGGCTGTTCGGGCAGCTCCGGCCGCTTGGGCTGAGAAACAGGGGGCACACTCTTCATCGCAGAAGTGAGAGGTTTCTCCTCTTGGTCGAGGGGCTCTTGTTCTTCAATATCATCATGACCGTTCGCATTCAGCATGGGGGATCCCGGCTGGGATTCATCATCGGAAAAATCGCCGTTGGCAGCCATGATTGCTATGTTAGACCCAAATACGGTAGCTGTTCGGAGGAAGGAGGAGGGTAATGTGGGGGGAGTAGAAAACCGGCGAGGGTCGAGAGCGTGGTGATGGATGAAAATTGCAGCTTGCGGGAACAGAGGCGATATGATAGCAGTTTGGGTCGGCCACTCAGTGGGGTTTGTTTCTTTTGTGCAGTGGAGTGAGTGCGTTGTAGGGCGGTAAGGCCTCCTTCCACCCTTTTTTTTTCTCGCTCTTGAGTCACCGCCTAACCAGTTGACTCAATTGAATTGAGATGTTTGAATGAGTGAGTGACTTTTGAAGAACAGATTGGGAACTTCTACCATTGACTGTAGCTATTTGTTACTTGATTCCATTATTCACTTCTTCTATACGTTTCCCTAGCCTGTTATTGACGATCCCCCTCGTCCCTGACTCTACTAGCATTTCCCGAGAGACTAGAGGACTTTGATACTCAAGAAGAAAAATGAAAATCAAAATAAATAGAGACATTGAAGGCGCTATACAACTTTTGCTGCCAAAAATTGCTTTTCTTTTACATGCTTCTAGTCTAACAACAAATCGTAGGGTATACAGGATAAACTGGAATCATCAACTGACATCCAAATGGTTAAGCATCACTTTCTTCACTCTCAGACTCCTCTTCCTCATCACTGTCTAAGCCTTCGAACTCCTCTTCGGAATCTGAAAGACTCGAGGGGTCCTCCGAAGGCAGCATAACAAATCCCTTAAGACAGGTAATCCGATTTCCGGTTTCATAAGCATCCAGAAGTTTTCCTACCTGAGGGATTTTTGAAACTTTCTCGTCTGTGGGTTTACTGGTCTTTCCACTCTCGTCTTTGCCAGTGAGGTCTTTTCCAGGCACGTACCATACGCGTATAACGCCTTCGCTATTGCCCGTGACCACTAATAAACCGTCTTGGGGACCTGTTGCTTCACCTTCCAGGCTTAAGATCTCAAAATCCTTCACCCTCCCCGGGAAACCAGAAGCTTTGCCGCCAAGTTGAGCAACGGCCTCAGCGTAAGGGATAGGTGATTCATCATCATCTTGCGGCTTTTGCACTTTTTTGGTGGAGTAGAAGATAACTCTGCCATCTTCCGTTGAGACAGCAAGTAGTTCGTCGCCATCCTCAGCGGATGGATCTTTGTTGATATACTTCATTTGATGGATTTTACTCCGGGGGGTTGGGAATATCCTGCAAATCGGGGTTGAATCCTGTGGACATGGTTAGACTCCTACATTATAGGCTGAAGGATATAAAACACTCACAATTCCGAAGACAACAGCCCCCCACTCAAATGCAACGGCAAATTCCTCGCCCTTAGAGTCCCAGACAATCTTCCTTCCCTCACCAGTACTCCACTTGCCTTCTTTAACCGCCTGTAGAATCTCTCTACTGAAGCTCAACACACCAGCCTTTTTACCCGTGACCAGGTTCCAAAGCCTCATACATTTCTCACCCTTCCCCACGCTGAGCATCAATTTCATACTGGGATGCACAGCGAAGTCATTGACACCAGACGGGGACCCTCCAGGAGGAGCTGTGTCTCCGCTGGGTCTCCCTTGAACTTTCGGGCGGGGGGCCTTAATGGTAGATACAACGGCAAAGTCGCGAGTCCGGGTGACGGAGATAGTGTTGTCCTCCGAAGCAGCTAAAAGCTTCGAGCGTGATGGGAAATGAAGAGCAGATATACTCGAAGAGTGGTGTAGCAATGTGCCCAGCTCTCGATTCTTAGGATTCTCGAGGATTTTGTTACCCGCGAGGGTCGGAATAGAGGGATACTGGTCGTTTACCTCAAGAGAGGCGGCAGACAAAGAATAAAGCTTGATAGTCTCATCCGTTGCACCGCTCGCCAGAATGACCTTTGGCGATTCCTCGGTCGAATCTGCATTTGGTCGAGGGGACAAGGCGAGGCAGCGGATGGCGGATGCATGGGCCTCAAACAAGAAGGTATCAACGAATTGTACTGCAGATGAGTGAGTGGAAGAATCCTTCTCATCACTGGATGAGAAACAAGATGGGGAAATGGCAGCAGTGAAGCCATGCAGCACCCGTTCATATGATCCAGTGATTATTTGCAAGGTGACAGCCGGTAGATCAACGGAGGATGGGCGAGTCTCATGACTGGTTGTTGATTTAACCACCTTTGATGGTTGTTGACTCGAGACTGGAGTGTCCTTGGTCGTTTCTTCTCTCTTGCGCTTGGCCATGATTTGGAATCGTGTAAAACAATGTTGGTTGATGTTTCACCAATGACGAATGATTTTTTCAAGATGTAGATATGAAAGCAGTACAAAAAAAGCGGGCAACTTTTTTTTCTGCCAGACATTATCGTATGAATTAGGCGGTGACGATGGAACTAGGATGGAGATGCCTGAGGTACCGAGATACTGAATGCGGCAATGATAGGTGTGTACCTCCTACCTAGTAGGTGCTTTGGGGAAAGGAAATTCCAGAGACAAAGAGGAAAAGGGAGGAAAAAAAACTATGGAAAAATAAGATATTTAATTTGCCTTTTTCACTTGTACTTATTCTGTACTTTTTTCTTCTTTGGAAAACGAAGCAGAGGTCGTCTGTCCTAGTAACGCCTAGAAGGCAAGGGAGACTATGTCTGCCTTAGGCTGCAGCGAATGTATTTTCTTTCAAACTGGGTAGCATACCAGACTTGGGGGTAGGACTTGGGCCCTTCTTTTCGCTCGATAACAATACCATACCTACTTACCAGCGACCACTTTTGCGCGCGCTGTTCTGTTCCCGGAACCACAACGCTCTCTTCAATTACTTACACTCCCTTTCTGCTCCCCCAACTAACCAACCAAAAATTCCCCCCATACTACCCGTGCAAAAGTCTCATCACTACTAACACACCCAAAAATCCCTTCAAGTCTAATCTTCGCGCGTCTTGATACTCTGCATCCCATAACAACACAACCACATCCTTTCCATCATTTCTGAGCGATTTTTTCCACCTGGATGACTTCGCTCAACCCACTCCTTTTTAATTTAGCGCGTTAATCGGATGCTGTATTCCCGAAATAGACTCGATGCTCCGCGAAGAGCTCCTTCGGTCTAAGAACGATGAGATCGCGTAAGTAATTATTATCTCCCAGCGATCCATTCTATTCCACTGCCCCATGCGATATCGAATTATCGCTCACTTTTAATTTTTAGACGTTGTTTGTTGTCGCGGAAGCGCAAACTGAGCGAGCTCTACTTTGCGACCGTAGGCTTCGCGGGCGCGACCGAGACCCCATCCGCGGACTCGCTATACCATCAGAAGGAACAGGCGTTCCTCGACGCCAACGATCTTTCCAAGTAAGTCTTAGAAGAATCACTATTCCCTTCTATTTGTCTTTTATTCTTTCTCTCTCTCTCTCTCTCTTTTCTTTCTTTTCCTGTTTTGTCTTTCGAATCTCGTTTTGGTTTTCATTATTGTATCTTATTTATAGTCTTGCTTTCTTTTTATCAATGGGTTCAATCACATGTAATACTATATACTCCAATTGGTCGCAATTACTGATCGACTTCTGAAGAGGTCGCTACTTCGATGAAGCCACCCTTCCACCCTTACCTAATTACGCAGAGATCCTATCGCGCAAGTACCAGGAAGCTGTGCAGTCACGACCCGAACCATCGAAAGCCTCCAATGTCATTCCTATCAGTCCGCCGGCGGGTGTAGAAGCTGTTCTTTCTCAGACTGCTCCTGAGGTCGGCAAACATATACCACTGTCCCAGCAGTTACCGGAACAGAAACCTTCTGGTACTGTACTACAACAGCAACAGCAAGATGTCCAAGCCCCTACTCAGCCTGCGCCTGGCATTACTTCCGAAGGCTTGCAAGGTCTTGATGCATCTACTCCAGCCGCTGCACCCCCGGCCGAATCTCCAGCCCCTGAGCAGAAGATAATCCCTGCTGTTCCAGGAACTCCCAAGAGCAACCAAGGCCATGATTCTGCAGAGGTTAGCGTCTCACCGAGCCAGGTCAAGCCGACACCAACGGTTGGGGTTGCTTCTGGGCCCGCTGAAGTGCCCTCTGGCCAAAACAAGCATGATGAACGGCCGTCTCTCCGGCTAAGCCGCGTGGCTCATCGCAATGAACAGCCGCTCTCTCCTGTGTCTTCAGCCGGTCCTTATTCTAACAATACTCCTATCCCGGTTGCTGTATCGCCAGAGACGAGTCCGGCCGTGGAGGGAACTGGACCCACCGATAAGATTGTACCAAGCCCCAAGCCTGAGGAACCTACCCAAGCGCCTCCAATCCTGGTGCCATCCACGCCGGATGAACAGCTTCGATTAGAAGAGGCGCAATCGCTTCGGCAAAGCTCGCTGGTCTCGAAGAAAACAATCGGGGATAGTGGTACCGATAGGCCTTCGACGACGAATGACGTGCTGCAAGAGAGTGTTGACTCGGCACCGACAGGTCTCGAGGATTCGGTGAAAGAGGAGCAAGTTTCAGTCCATATACCCCCAGCGCCGGAATCAAAGAAGCCTGATGGAGTGGTCGAAACCGCAGAAGGTGACGGGGTGTCTGCGTCACCTCAAACCGAACAGGCCCAACTTTCGAATGCGATAGAACCTGAAGTACTGGCTCCAGCAACTTCGGCACCGAAGAAGGGCACGCAAACCGTTTCTGGGCCAGCACAGCCCGAAAGAATGACAACCAGAGTCTCTTCCGGTGCTATTCGGCATAAATCCGTTTCTGAAATCCTCGGCGAATCCCCTAAACCGGCGGTGGTACAACCTGATAAAGCCTCTGCTACTGAGAAACCCGCAGAGGCGGCGCGAGCTGTATCCAAGGCTTCCAGTGACTCTGCAGCAAGATTAAGCTTCAAGGACAGGAAGGCACGGGAAAGAGAAAGGAGCAAGCTCTCTACAGTTGTTTTTCCAAAACAGCAGCAACAACAACAACCGCAGGACCAAGCCGACTCCATGGATCTTGTCCGCCAGCATACTGGTGATCTAGCGAAGTTGAACGAGGAAAGGGATTATCTATTCACCTTGTTCCAGAGCAAGGCTTATAGCCCCCCTCGAGGCATAAGCCTCAGTACCCTCCTTGCCTCTGCTCATAAAACCTTAACCACCGCAAATCATCACCTTGAATATCAAGAGCAAATGGATTGTCGTACCCTTCGCCGCATCTATCAGCTTCAAAATGCAAATCGGTGGCCATTGCGCCAAATGAAGCGCTCAGTAGAGCCTCCTCGCCAAGGGACGCACTGGGATGTTCTTCTAGATCACATGAAGTGGATGCGCACTGATTTTCGCGAAGAAAGGAAGTGGAAGACCGCAGCAGCAAAAAGTTGCGCAGATTGGTGCGCCGAGTATGTCAACAGCCAGCCAGAACATAGGTCGTTGCTCCGTGTGCACGCTAGGGCTCCACCACTCAAATTAGAGAAAAAGGTCGAACCTGATACTAATATGATGTCGCCTCCAGAGGAGACAGGAGATGAAATGCTGGGAATGTCTCACCCAACTCCAGACCTAGTACCTTCAACAGAAGAAGACTCGGTTAGCGAGGGCTATAATGATGAGCCGCGTCATGATTTACATGATACGGTTGCGCCTGCAGCAATATTCTCCCTTAGCTCAGATGAATTCACATTCTCGCTAGATATGACGCCGGCAGCTCAAAAGCTTCTGGATGAACTTCCAGTCTACTCCCCAGTTGGGATTGCTCCAGAAACCAACCTCCCGACTTTCAAAGAACCTCCGGATGCTACGTGGAAGACTGAGATTCTACCAGTCTCAAAGTACGCTTCTGGAAAGATAGCATTCCTTGATGATGAACCGCGACGAAAACGTAGCCGTTACGATTATTCGCAGTATCATTCCGATCCAGAGCAAAGGTTATTGGACCTGCCGCCAGAGCAGACAAATGTTGCCCTCTTCCGACCCGAGAACAAGCATATACGTGATCGTATTCACCCGGGGCATACCTTTAGACCTCCAACTGAATACCCTATGCCTTCGGTTGGCTTCTTTGAGTCCCGTCAGTCATCTCAGTGGACATGGGCAGAGGATGATGAATTGCGCCGTCTCGTAAAGGAGTACTCTTACAACTGGTCTCTGATTTCTAGCTGTTTGACTCCTTCGTCGCAATTCACTTCTGGAGCGGAGAGGCGAACCCCTTGGGAATGCTTTGAACGCTGGATTGGTCTGGAGGGATTACCTGCGGATATGTCAAAGACACAATACTTCAGGGCTTACCATCAAAGGCTGGAGACAGCACAGCGTACTGTGTTAGCGCAGCAGCAAGCAGCGCAGCAACAACAACAACAACAACAGCAGCAGCAGCAGCAGGGCAATAACAACCCCCAGTCATTACCCCCGGTTCGTAGGCGAACCACACAACCCGTCCGGGTAGACCGTAGACGGTCCTCGAAGCATCTTGCTTTGCTCGATGCCATGCGCAAGTTGGCCAAGAAGCGGGAGACGATGCTTCAAAAGCAACAACACGGTGAGGAATTAGGAGGTTGACAATCTAATATACACCATACTAACTCTTTCTCAGCTTCACAACTAGCATCATTGAGAAAAGTCAACGAAGCAAACCAGCCAAAGCCCCCTATCTCCACACCTGCCGAGTTTAGTCGACTCAAGTATGAGCGGGAGTTAAAACTGCAGGAGAGGCAAGAACAATACCGGCAGCAGATGATAGCCACACAGAGGGTAGTTTTCCATCCCATGCACAGAATTTGAATTATTGCTAACGGGATTTTTGAAGGCGAACTTGGCAGCTCAGCGTGCTGGGCAAATGCCTAACCAGCAGCCAATGATGAACGCTCCTGGTCGAACTCCGAATGCTATGCCTCAAAACCCTGGAACTCCCTCTATGCCCGCCAGTACCCCTAATGGGATGCCGAATGGGCTACCGAATGGAATGTCGAATGGAATACCGCCTGGCGTTGGTGCCAACCAAGGACGGCCCCATATGCAAGCAATGTCTGGAAGCGGACCTGCGAATGGCCACATGCCTCCTAACCCCATGGCCATGAAAATGGTGCCACAGTCCGGAATGCAACAATCAACTGCCACTCGACCTGGAATGCCAATGCAAACGACTCCAGACAACACTCGGGTCATCCGGGAAGCCAACCGGCTCCAAGAGCAACAACGGCTCTTACAATCTAGGCAGCAACAGCCACACCCGCAGCCTCAACCTCAGCAACCCCAGCAGCAATTTCACAATCAGCAACAGTTTGTGGGCCAGGGTTCTCATTCCCCGACTATGAATGTACCCAATGTTAATGGGACCCCAAACAATCCCGCCATGATGGCTGCTCTCCAGGCTGGGGGTGGCATGCAAAGCCCGTCATTTCATAACGCTACTCCTCAAGGGGTCTCTACTCCCTCACCTCGCATGGGACAGCCTAACTTGTTGTCAAGCGGGGTTGTACCGACCATCAGTAGCTTGCAAAATCAGATCCAGAGAACGCACCCAGGTATGCCCGCAGAGCAGGTGAATAAGTTGGCCACCGAACGATTGCATCAGTATCAGCAGCAGAGAATGTCTCAGGTTGCAATGAATGCAGCCGCTGGAAATATTGGAGCCGTCCAGGCCAATTATCAGATGTCGCAAGATGGAAACTTTCAATCGTCTCCGAGCGGCATGAATGGTAGCCCTGGGATACAGATGCCTCAAGCGCAAGGGTACTCGCCCATGATGCGTGTTCCTCAAACTGCTCAACAAAATCGAGTGGGCGTTGGAAACTCGCCGGCCATGAATGGGGTTGTCCCTCAACCGAGCCGCAGCGCAACACCGCAGACTCAACGCAGTGGCAGTGCTCAGGGTGGTCCTATGCCACCTTCGAACAAGAGCCCGAACCCTCCACAAGCTCAAACCGCTAGCAGCTAAGCTCCTTGGACTTCAGAAGCACTGGTGGCTGTCAGCTTGTATCTACTGCACTTGTCCCTCTAATCTTCGTTTGTAAATATTTTTGACCTTTACCTCTTTATTGATTACCCATACCCTCCACCCCATGTCTCTACCTTTTAGCCTTTCTAACAACCGCGTGCAATTTTATGCTACCTTCCATACCCCTTCACCTCGCCTCTGTTTCATCACTCTTGCCTCTTAACTACCTTTTACTACCTTGCCCCGCGTGACGTTCCCCTAAACTCTTACACGCCTCTACATTCTAGCATTGACTTTGGTATCATGCATTGGCATACGATTCACGATTGGTTGGAAGCATATGCAAGCCACGATTCTGTTTCGTACCCTGTTACCCCTATTTTGTACTACATGTATTGATAAGACGCATACGAAAGTACACATACGTACTTGGACATTTGGTTGGCATGGGTGAAATACAATATCTAGAAAAGACATCAATGACTATGACTGTACGACTAGCTTATCTCATTTCCACGATATCCTTCATCGATAGATAACACCTGACTTCCGAAACGGGAACTTCAAACATAAGCGCGCGCTTAAAAAATGGTATCGCCACCCATACCGCTTTCTTTAGGGATGCGACCTCTCAACAGTCTTAAACAGAAGCAAACTGAATAGTCTTCCTCGCCGAAGATTTAAGTCACGGTTCGCGTCCCATCTGGTATGGGTTCTCGTCATTTTGCTTACCTGTTGCGACCAAAATAAAGACTCAAAACAATGGCTTCACACCCGCCGCGGGACAGCCAAGAGCGGTCTCAGGGCTCGTCGAAGCCTTTCTCCTTATCGCTAGGCGGGGGATCATCAGCGTCAAATGGACAGACCAAGAAAACCGCATTCAGCCTCCAAGGATCTATTCGGGGGACCGATGCCCACAACCGAACACTTGCGCGCCGACCTCATCATCTCCATGACGACGATGAATCCGACGAAGAAGAGAGAGCGCCAGTGCATGAAGTCGTCACAGAATTCGATACAGAAACAGGGACCGCCGTATCTGCAGACAAAAAGGATGAAAAGCGCGAGCTAGTTATACCGGTCGCGAGCAACAACAATTGGCGGAATCGACCCGGCGTCAGCCAGAAACCTAAGGGAAAGAACCTGCTCCCGAAGGAGGTCCAAGCGATACAGGAAGCGGCTAAGAGAGGCGAGATTGCCGGGGAAAATACAGAGACGGATAGTCCGAGCATGGCTTACGGTCTTAGTTTTGCGCAGCAACGGAGTACGGGGCAACATACTCAGGAAGAGGCGGGCGATAAGCCGATGGAAGATGCAGAGCTTGTTAATGAGGAGAAACAGAAGCCGCTTACGCAAGATGAGATTGCCCTTCGTGCACTTATCCGTGAGAGTAAAGGCGAGACAGAGGGACGGTCGGATCTTGTCATTGAGTCTAGACCGTTGGACGAGGAGGAAGGTGGGACTGGGGGACGCTACGATGAGACAACTTCGTTCCAGGCTGATATTGCTTCTCGGCCCGAGTCAGCAACATTGGATCAGTATAATGCGATTCCTGTAGAAGAGTTTGGCGCTGCTTTACTTCGAGGAATGGGCTGGAAGGAAGGCCAGGCTGTTGGAAAGGGGAAGTATGGCTCCTCCGCGGTTCTTGATAAACCCCGGATTCCCGAGCGTCGACCAGGCTTTCTAGGTATTGGGGCGAAGGACGCATCGGGCGGTAAGGGAGCAGAAGCAGAGCTTGGTGCTTGGGGAAAGGCTGCAATGCGCAAAGGAGCTCGGAAAAACGGTAAAGAAGGCGAGACCAGCACAGAGGGTGTTTATATGCCGGTTATGATGCGGAATAAGAAGACAGGCGAGTCCATAACAGAGGAGGAGCTCACAGCCTTGCAGAAAGAGGCAAAGTCAAAGAGGGATGATGATGAATGGAAAGAACGAAGGGATCGCAACCTTGAAAGGAGTGGACGTGACAAAGATCGGGATAGGGATTCCCGGCGCCGTGACTACGAACGAGACGATGATGATCGTTATGACAGGCGGAAAATGGGATCCTCTAGGAGAGACCGAAGTCATTCGAGGCGACGAAGATATGACGATGACGATGGCGAAAGTAGGGATGACCGGTCCTATCGGGATAGAGATCGCGACCGCGACCGTCGTCGCGATCGCAGCCGTGAGCGGGAGAAAGATAGAGAAAGGAGCCGCAGGTACCGGGATGATGATCGCTATAGTTCCAGCAGACACTCGTCCAATACATCAAGCAGACATGGTCGAGATCGTGACCGGGATCGAGACAGTGACCGTGACTCTTACCGGAGACGGAGGCATGATGATGACAGGTGATATTTCCGATCTGCGATACTGCCGACACCCTCATTTATATAGACTTGTTGAGATACAAATGTATTAGATACCTTGGATACCAACCACCACTGTCATTGCGGCATATAGTGAGTGATGTGCAATTTTACCCTATGTGAACACGACACAACGCTTCGTCTCCCATTCCAAGTACCAATGGTCATGATACCTTGTAAGTCGCACCTGATACAGCATTCTTGTTCTTGGTTTATGTGGAAGGGAAAGAGTAGTCTAAACTGGGCCCAAAAGACAACACTCCGTACTCTGAAGTACTTGTTAGAAAGTATCAATTACCGGCAACAAAAGGTCACCTCTGAGAAGACTTTTAAACACACTTTCCTCCAATAACGTATCAGATGTAAATGCAACAGTGCTCCAAGAGAATGCGCCGACATATCACAGTATTCCAAAAACAAATCATTTTTCTCTATCTGTACATATCCTCGTTCACGGAAGTGCAATTTTTATGCTCCCAGCATGATAGTGTCCTTCTCATGCTCAGGTACATCATCTGTAGCACTGTCAATAACATCCCGAGCGCCAGAGATGCCCAAGCCTCCGAGGCCTACGCCCCCATCCATTTCTCCCAGAACCCATTCCACAAGGTAGCTTTCGTCCGTAAGCTCTTCGATTCGACGGTAATGCCTTTCAGTATATGCAGACAAGGCTTGCAGAATGTCCTTCATACCGGCTGCAGTGCGGCTGTCACTGCGTCGATTAGCCATACTTGTTGTCGCGAGCTCGATGAATGTTGAAGCGGGATAGGACCTGAACAATGCAAACAAGATGCGTTGTGCAACACGGGACGTGCGAGCATTCGTGTTCCAATCACGTAAGCGAAGAAGAAGAGTACGAAGGTTATTGGAGTCGAGAGTCTGCAGGACCTCATCAATCGAAGGGTTTCCGGTTAGACTGTTAGCACGCTCGCTCTTTTCGGCATCTGTCGAGGACGGATCGTCAGCAGTATCTACTGCAGCTGTGAACAGAGAGAGTAGCCTTCCGGGATGGTTGAGTTGAAGGGCTAGTGTGATGGCTTCACGGTACGCTCCAGCCCTGATATAATTTTCCAATTTCTGGTCCTGCTCAATACGGGCAGCATTCGCACTAACTGTAGCGGTGTAAGTCGCGGATGTAGTGTCAGTCCAGAATGTGACGGTGGAGTCCGCAGAGCCAGAGGCAATGGCGTATGGGGATGAGAAATTATGTGTGCTGGAAGAGAGAACATCAGCACGGGAGCCAGAGGGTGTTGGGCTCGCTAGTGCCCAGACTCTGTCTGTGTGGTTATCTAGCGTGGTCTCGAGTTCTCCAGTGTATGGGGACCAGATTTTGACTAGGCCATCTGCAGCTGCAGACGCCACGAGAGGGCGCGCCTGTGTGGCATTGTTTTGTGCCGGCGCCGATTCATCTTCATCTTCATCTTCATTTTTCTTGGTTGACAAATCCGAAGGCGGAAGCCAAAGCACCTTGAGCACGCTGTTCGTGTGGCCCTCAAAAGTAAGGAGACAGCTATAGTCCGATAAACTCCATAATTTGACAGTTTTATCGCCAGATCCAGTAACTATCAGACCCCTGTTTGTACTGCTCTGTGCGCTGGAGCTAATGACGGGGGTGCCATGGGGAGAGAATCGCGCCGACCAGACTCCTCTCTTGTGTCCGCGGAGGATACCTACAACCGACCCTTCTTCAACGGACCAGATCTTAACAGTTCGATCTTGTGAAGCAGATGCAAATAGAGTCGATGTTGGGTTGACATCCAGAGCATTAATATCTTTGTCGTGAGCTTTGCGGGTGAAAACCGCCTTCGGGGTATGCGGTTTGGAAGAGCTGAGCGGAGCCAACTTGCCTATATCCCATCGCTTAATAGTGCGATCTTGAGAACCAGTGAGTAGGAATTGTGGAGGATGGTTCAGAGGGTCATTTCGTGCGGGTGTGTTTGCCGGTGGCGGGGCGCGAGGGAAACTTATGGCACCCAGAGACTCGGCGTGGCCTGTCATAGCAGCAAAGCAGGTATAGGTGGACGTCTTAGGATCAAGACGCCAAAGACGAGCTGTATTATCTTTTGCACCCGTCGCCAGCCAGTGGCCAGACCAGTCCACATCAATGCATATGATGATGTCGTCGTGGCCTTCAAGATGAGCGATATCTGCGCCAAAGAAATCCTTTTCTTTATCAGATGGCCGGTCTTCGGATCGTCCCACCGAAACCAGTCTAACACTCTCAGTGTTTGTAGCCAGCGCCAGCATTGATCGATCTGGGCCGACATATGCAAGGTCAATAATGTCGTCGTCGTTGCCCGAGATACGTCTTATGACTGGTAGGGGATCAAGCAAAGATCCAGGCTTGAAATCCAACAAGGGTTCAAGTGAATGAAGTCTCAAGGTTTGATCGGCATGCACGGTCATTGCGAATGGTATCCCCGGGGTGTACTGGATTGCCACGATGGCCTCGAACTCGGCTGCAGCTTCTTGCTCTTGGGTTACCTCTCCTCCCCGGTTGCAATCCCAGACACGCAACACTCCATTTTCACCTCCTACTAGAGCAAGTCCACTGTCAGCAACAAAGGCGGCCGCTTCCACGCTCTCAAGAACAGGAATGATTCTGCGAGTTTTAAAAGTGCGGACATCCCAAACGATGACCGTCTTGTCTCGGCCCGCTGAGAGCAATGCATTTTCTGCAGGAGAGTACGATAAACTGCGTACAACCGAGACATGAGAATCGAGCGACGCTATAGATTTCCGCTTGTTCAAATCCCATACCCGTACTTTGCCCTCCTCACTGCCCGAGGCAAGTCGAAATCCTCCAATCGACACGACAGGGGCGGCATCTTCCATGTCCTCATCCTCGTCAGAATCATCTGACTTCCTCTTGGATTTCTTTTTCTTCGAGGTGGACTTGCTTTCGCTATCCTGAAATGGCACCTGGAAGAAGCACAAAGCAGATATGACACCAGCATGGCCATGAAAAGTGTGCGTAACATAACCACCTCGAATATCCCAGACCTTGATAGAGCCATCAGAAGCACCGGTTGCCAGAAGCGTGCCAGTCTGGTCGATAGCGGTTGTAACAACGGGCGCAGTATGGGGCTTGAGGCTTCGCACAAGCTTCGCGTCGAGGGTCCGTGAAGAATCTTCGAAGGGAGTCAACGAGTAAATGCGCATAGACATTGATCGCGAGCAAACGACCACATGTGAAGCGGATGGCGTGACTAAGATATGGTTAGATATGCTCTACTTAAATGAGTTGGAATGTAACAGGAACAGCGCCAGGATGTAGAGTGGGCAACTCACTAGCCAAGCTGGTGATAATCTCTCCATCCTATAGTTTTGGTTAGAAACTTGCGACAATACCGCATATGAGCGAATGGGGGCAAGACTCACTCCTTCCAAGCTTGCGAGCTGATCACCAGTCTCAAGATCTACAATGAGAGCATCTTCGCCCACACAAGCTACTAGCAAACGTCCACTGGCATCTAGCGCAGTACTTCCTCCGGTGTATATGGGACGCAAAGTCCGAGACGCCTCGAAGGTCGTCTTAACGACAGCTTTAGACATTTTTGCGCGCGGATCTCAAAAATAGTGTCGCCGTGTAAACTATCGCGCCATCATATATCCAAGATAAATTGGAAAGTATAAGTGGGTTGAATCGCTCCAATGCAGTCGAAAGTACTGTCGCTCCGAAACTTTTGTTCTTTTTTTGAGACGTTTGTCTTGTTTGTCACAAAAAAGGCCGATCACAGCAGGCCGTGCTTTAGGCGCTACAGGCGCGACAGGCGCCCACGTGAACTTCGATGTCCATTCGATAACATCGTCTTGAACGTCAATATCTCATTCTCCGTTCCTGCCAAAAAATGACCTAGAGAGGCTTTCAAAAAGTTTGCTTGCTATTATACGTCATGGGGCGACAGGCGTACTTAAACCGATTGGCTTTGGTAGGCTCCCAGTTCTCTATCCGTTGCTATCCTCTTGGCTTGTGTTAGCTCTATACTACTTCTTCAACAACGAACGCTTTTGTTCATTGCTCCTCTCAAATATTTCCCCTCAAATCTCTCCGTGTGACATTTGCAAAAGCCATTTACTATTAGAATTCCAAACATAAAGCACCGTCGGCTGGTATAATCGCATACCTCTGTATAGTGCCACATGATCATATCATATTCTGCTATCTTATTGTTTGCTATGAATTCTAAGCTTCTAATAATTGACCATTAATATTCAGGGTCGTTCTCCATATGAAGCTCCTGAGCGCCCTGCAGATTCAACGGTGGACCTGGGCAACCCAACCCAACAGAGGGTATCTCCTCGCTATGCAGATGGGTATGTTCAACACTATGATGAGAGGGGGCATCCCATCAACCCTGAATCCAAGTCATTCGGGAGGGAGCTGCGGAGAGCTAAGAATGACATCCTCTCAACGATGGGTATCGTTGTTAGCGAGGACGGCAATGCGAGTGGCCTCAGTGAGCAGCAGAAAATCGATATGATAGCTGCCGAGAATGACTACGGACTGGTCATGGCTACTTTAGATCAGGTCTCGGTATTTTTAGGCTCGTGGTGGACATCATCTCTTACAGGTCGGATACAGGTGAGTTTAATATGGTGAAAAGTAAAATTTACGTTACCCAGAGAGTTGATCCATAAGCCTTATTCTGCAGACATTCAGAAGTTACACTCATATTCCCCTGATGGGTATCATGGCCCATGAACGTGCTTCATATGGCATATTGGGGTTTTACTTTGCAGGGATTCCAGCATGGGCTCTATCGACGTGCTTATCAATTTGCCGACATCATCCTCTTGAGCGCTTAATTTCCTCATTGCAAAGTAGATTTCCTGACAATGACATACTTTCGAAACTTGTGCGGTCATCATTTACAATTTTACATTCTGCGTGAGTGGATTCCAGAGACGTCAGATTGTGTTAAAAGAAACTAATGGTTGTGTAGGGCTCGGGGGACATTGCTTGTTCTTGCTATACAATCTTATGTGTATTCACTCTTACAATCCCTTCACCTCGTTCATCCGTATGGCTTCCCGGGAATCAGGTTCCTGGCACCTTTGGGAGAACTTACCACTATATTATTCCCACCCTTACCTGCAGCCTTCACCTTGCAGTCCGTGGGCGATGTCTGTTTGAACTTACTGAAAGCCCCTCCACTTCTCGTCTACCTTTACGTCTATCTTCGTCCAGTTATAGAGATAAGGCTTTACCGGCTAATTCGCCGACAACTACCAAAACCAACTCTTGCGGATGAGCTATCCATCAAAGTGGCCTTCGAGAATGACCTCATCGATTGGATGGCCCCAACCCTTGGGCGCAGATCTGAAGAAGAGAATCGTCGTAACAATCTTTCTTTGCTTGAAGATCTCATGTGTGAATTAAAATTTCTTCAGGGCTGGATGCTATCGTGGTTTGGCGTTAAGACGCAACGAACATCAGCAGCCCCTGAACAAGCTGTGGACTCCCGCCGCAGGCGAGAATGGCTTGAATCCTTACCTATGAGTGTCGAACAACTGCAAAATGAACGACAAAACCGAACTCGCCGGTTACAACAAGCAGTACCTCCAGCTCCAGAGGAGGTGGTCCAAGCTCATGAGGCCGCACGCTCTGGTCAACCCAGTACACCTGTTACTGCCCCAGTACCTGATTCCGGATTTGACTTCAGCGGTGACCGTGTACTATCGAATGAGGACGATCCGATTCATCAGTCACCAGCACAGATGAGCACTGGGGGTCTTTCAGAGATGGCTCCACTGGGTCATACAAGTGATTTTTCTCCCGCTGTTAATGGTTCTCCCGCCGTAAACACTGAGGCGCAAGGCGAACGTGATGCTCACGAAGGCCAGCGGAACTCGCGCTCAAACACCCTTTTCTCTCGACAATCATCCCCCGAAACGTCTTCACCAACATCTCCTCACGTTCGTGCTTCTCTAATTCACCAGAACTCTGATATCATTACTATGCAGCTGGAACTCTTGGGCAACCGTAATGCCCAGAACCAGGGCCAATTGCGTCCTCGGCCTGGTAATGACATTGACTTTCCTACTTCTAATGGCGAAACAGGCCATCGCCGCTCTATTACAGAGCTCCTGGACACAATCTTGGCTCACCAAAACCAAAGCCTCTCTACGATTGTCCATTCAGATGCCGTGGACAGCGATGGCCTCTCAAACATGACATCAGCTGCATCTCCTGGAAACGGGGAAGATGTGCTAGGCCTGGTACCTCAAGATCAACAACAAGCTCGAGGAACAGATGAGTTTACCGCTGAATCTCCTATTGAAGGGCCGTCGTCAAGCCTTGCCAACATATTGCCAGAAAGTGTAGAAGAGCCGCCCAGCCAGGAAGACACTCGTAATCATCCCTCCGAAGCGGAGCCAACTGGGGAGAACGATTTCGATTCAGGTATATACCCTCGTATATCTGATCCAAATGTGCGCGAAGGTCCTTCGGAAAACACAAATTCTTCAACTGCCCACCGAATAACAATCCTATCGTCTCATCCTGTTGATTCTCTTGCCTCTCACCTCGCGTCGATGATTACAACCGTGCTTTTCATTCCCCTCGAATCTCTCTACCTTCGCTCTCTTGCTTCATCCTATCTGCTATCTACTGCATCCTCCGCTGCTGATGTCCGCGCCCTAGGGGCTTTGGGCGGTGGTGGCTCTCGGTCCGACATGCTTGCATACATGGGTAAATTAGCTCTTATGATGGGGCTGCACGCTGCTGTAAATGCTGGTGTATGGGGAGTAATCTCAGGCACGGCAATTAGGATTGGCAGAAGATTCTGCGGATGGGGAACACTATGAGTAGTTTGTTGAAATACCCACTATAGATACCCACATATTTGTATTGAGACTTGGGCGAAGCAGTTCAGTCAGTTGAATCATATATATAACAGAACATAATACTGAAGCCTATGGCTACATCATCATCATCAATGCTGAAAGGCCCTACCGGATTTTATTTTTACATTACCTCGTTTCAAATAATGTAGAAAAGACCAACTACCCAAAGACTTTTTTTCTTCTATCATCATCATTACCTTAATTATACAAACGGTACCATGACACCAAGCCGGGAACGAACTTACATACATACACATCACATATTAAGAACTAACACCAGGACCTACCCACCTGTGGAGCTGGAATGTATTCGATGTGGATAATGAAGTCCCAACATCTATTTTGCTGGGTTCTTCCCCTTACGACCGTTCATGCCTGGGACCTTTCGCCGCTCCCAAACCATAAGATATCCCTCTCGGGTGAATAGGGTTTCGGTTTCTGCCTTCTTGACGAACAGATCCTGGACCTCAAGCCACTCCGGTCCTTGCTGTTCACCAGCGCGCTCGCTATGTTGTCGACTATTCTCTGCAGACGTAGCCTTGTCGTGAAGCTGGACCATCCAGGAAACCTTCTCGCTGCCCGCACCGGCGCCAGTTGATGATGATGCTCCAGATGCTGCGTTAACACCCTTATCTGCGGCTGCCTCATCGGTGGCACCAGGAACAGCTACAGTCGGGTCTAAGATAATGTTGGCCACGAGGTCGTAGAGGATCGGTTCACCCGGAGGCCAAATGTCTGGATTCGGTTCGACGTAGGGCGACATGTCCAGGGAGCGGGGTGACGGAAAGGTGACAATTGTCGGATTACGTTCAGATACGAATCTGTTCTTGCTGAATCGTTTGATATGGAATAATAGGTAAGGTGGAAGGGGGTGAAGAAGGCGGTGGCGGACTCGATGAGCCAGTTTCTCTGAAGCAGTGATGCCGTTGTACTTGTTTAGTAGTGTTGTCAGAGGAACATGGGGAATGATGGATTCCCGATTGGCGGATTGGAAGAGAGGAGTAGGAGGTAAATCTAACGTGAGGATGAGAAATGGGGTGGTCTGGCTTTTAATGTCGCCCGATTCCGTAAAGACTAGACGAGCGTTTTGGGTATCTGAGTGAGCGGTGATTGCTTGGCTTTCAATCCTCAGGTGGCCTTGGAATGCGGCCTGAACCACACTGGTCGGTGTCCTGGAAGGTTTCTTAGAGCCCCCGAGTGAAAGATGCAAGTTGTTTAGGAACCATGACAAAAATTCCACTGGGTCAGACTGTTGGGTCAGTGTGAAGCGCTTTGATGAACGAAGGGCAATCTCCTGTAGCAACTCGTGTGGCGACACATGGGATCGAAAAGCCTTTGGATTCCATAGCTTTCGCACTAGTGTGCTGAAGCGTAGAGCTAATTGAGGTGTGCCAGGTGTCGGGAACTCATGTAGCAGAAAGTAGTTGCGAATTGGAAAAACATGCGCCAAAAGTTGTACGACCACATTCAAGTAGTCGTTGGCTTTGATATTGTTCATACCAACGAAACCTATGTAATGGGTTAATAATACTCTAACGGAAAGTAATCTATGGTTAGGAGCATACCTGGTCTATAACGATTTCCTGCGAGGTCGAACGCATCATGTACCTCTTTGTCTAGCTTGGAGACCTCTTCCTTGCTATAGTGCGGGTCCACCACGTACTTGATATCATCCAAGCTCTTATTTTTCACTTCATAGCCCTCTGGAAGGACATACACCTTCTTTGTTCCCATATTTATGAAAACATGATGGCCGACTTCAAGCGCATGGAAGTAGGCATGCGACTTCGGGCCCCTGCCTTGAAAGTATTTACCGCAGACGAGACACGCATATACATTGATATTCGAAAGGGTAACCGAGCACAGTTTTTCGAAATCGAAGTCAAGAATTTCGCGATTAATCGTATCAAGATAAAGATCGCTATAGCCCTCCATAGGCGCACTTTGGCGCTTGGGAGCCGCAATTACAGGCCTGTCGTCGTCGGCATCATCAAAATCGGACTCAGCGCCATTATCTACCGCAGCTTCTTCCAGCTCTTCACCCTCCTGGTCCGCAGCAGCTAGGATATCATACCCTTTGCGTTCGTCCTCTTCTCTCTCTTGCCCGCTCGCCCGTCGTAACGGAAGGGCTCCATGGCGCGGGTCACCTTCCTCGAAGTCGTCCTCCACACGGGCCTTTTTAATGGCGGGAGAACCGGCGACAGTATCTTCCTCGAATGACAACTCAGCTTGCCTCTTGGACATCATGACTCTGTGTAAAGGTGAATTAGAGACGAAGATTCTGGCTCCGCGGGATTGAAAGCTGGAAGACGCGATGGGGCCGCGGAGTGCAAACACAACAAACACCCGCTACATACAGCGTCATACATGATACAGTGAGTAAATCCGTGTGGAGCATTGTGACAATACGACCGAAGAAGCAAACGTTCAAAGGGTCATTTCTCTTATTCTCTACCTAGAATAGATTTGTGGGCAAGACTACATTTTGGTCAAAGTCATGAAAATACCCTGCCATGCAACCGATCGTCTGAAAACCAAGTCCCGTAAACCGAAAACAAAAGACAAACATGGTATGATATACAACACCGCATTAAGCACACTTGACGATCTTGTCATTATCAAAGTCTACTTCTCTCACGCCATCTTTGGTCACGACCTTTACCAAAACCTGGAGAAAGCCAGTTAGCCAATACTGTACCAATTAAATAGGAATCTCCTTTAGCAACGTACTCCCTTGTAGTCAATCGGCAATCTACGCTTTAGCTCGTCTGTGCACATCTCTAGAAGCTTTAAGCCTTCTTCGAGGGAGATATCAGGGTGGTGGTGTTTATCGAGTGTTGAGAGACAGTAGTATCTAGAGTGTCTTAGTTCCGTGCTCCTCCACAGCGGCCGAACTGGCAGTAAAGAGTTGATCGTCAAAACTTACTGGGCATAACCATGGGCGGCATATGGTACTGGTGCCAAAGAAGCCAGGTAGTCTATCCAGTACAAATGAGGCTTCTGGGTGATTCCATCGACACCAGCGAGCAACAGGTTGACTGTGTATGGGCTCCGAGATCGCAGACTGCGCGCCAGTTCTCCTCGGACAAAGTTGGCAACGGCGTTCGGTCCGAGTTCGGTATCATTCCGCATCGTATATAGTTGAATGTTCGCCTGAATGTACTCCGCAAATTGTACTGTATCGGGAGCAAATTAGCTGCGCCAGGCTTACACCCCTCCATCTTCACATATGTAATCTCACGCACCGGTATCTCCTGCCTCTCCTGAGAAAGCCATCAGACTGTGTTTGTTGAGCTGCCGTGTCTTATCATCTTCAGTCTTAAGAATAGTTGGGCCCCTCATGGCGGCTTTGGACGCTGCCACCAGGACAAAGTCCTTGCCGGTGATACCCAGTAGAACCTCCCTAGAAGCTTCAATCAGCGGAGAGGATTCTCATCAACATACAGGGGTTCGCATACATTCTCAAGCTTTAAGTGTATGTCAAGAAGATATAGAGGTAAGGGAAAGTGCGAGAAGAAAATGAGATGGAAGGAAGGTGAGAGAATCAAGATGATGGATCAATCAAGCAGTACACGCCGCGCGGAGCTTGATTGCCTGGAGCTGTGCTTGCGAGCCTGAGGCGGAGAGCTGCCCGGCTGAGTCAGCAATTAGGCGTTACGTTGTTGCGCTTTCCACCTGCACGGGCCACCGGCAGAAAAAAAGTGAAAGTAAGTTGCGCATCAAAAAGAATTCCGAACAGCTCTATCGCTTCCACCCGCCCCAATCGATTGTGCGTAGCGTCGGAGGTCCTGTTGCGCGGAATTCCAGCTGATTATATTGGGTTATGTCGTCCTTTTTCACACTACCTGCTTCCCAGCGGAAGCGCAAGAGGGAAGACCGCGCCGGAGCCCCCGCGTCGAAGAAACGAGGTGTTGATGCAGATGGAGATTCGGGCGCCAAGGGCAGTAGAAGGACTAAGGGACGGGAGCACTCAATCTCGGGTAGTGACTTGGATGAGGATGATGTCGAGAGCATTGTATCTGGAGTTTCAGGGGAAGAGAGTGATTCGGAATCCGACGACGGAGAGACGGCCGCAGACCGGAGATTAAAGCTTGCTGAAAGATATTTGGATAATGTTCGGGACGAAGTAGATGAATATGGTTTCGACGCAGCAGAGATTGATCGAGATTTAATTGCTGAGAGATTAAAGGAGGATGTGGTATGTGCCCTCAGTTTTCACTACCCGTGAGATCAGCCAACAGCTGATTCCTAGCGCAGGACGAGTTCAAAGGACGCACATATCGTCAGATAGCTTCAGACCTGTCTTTCTCCGCAGCCTCGCATTCATTCTTTCGGGCAGATACTCAGTCGACGACCTCCATTGCCGTTCATGCACCATATGTTTATACGGTGTCGAAAGATAAAACGTTAATCAAATGGGAGCTTGCCACCCCCAGTCACGCAACCACAGATTCTTCAGCAAGTGGACAAAACAGCTCATCAAAACGCCCTCCGAGACCACAACGGAAGAAGCCTAAGCAGGTGAGGTTTACGCGGGGCTTGCAAAAGATTGCCGAAAGTGATGAGGAGCATGGCCACACTAAAAATATCTTGTCTGTGGCTGTATCGCCATCTGGAAAGTTTGTTGCCACTGGTGGAGAGGATCGGAAATTGATAATCTGGGATGCAGAGACACTGACCCCCTTGAAAACGTTTACACAGCACCGCGATTCAGTCAGTGGGCTTGCCTTTGCTCGTCATATCTCTACCATGAGCTCCGGAGAACAACTATTTTCTGGTTCTTTCGATCGGACTATCAAAACATGGTCCTTGAGCACCGCAGGCCATGCATATGTTGAGACATTGTTTGGCCACCAAGACCATATCTCTTCTCTCGCTGCGATGACAATCGATCAGTGTGTCAGTGTTGGAGCCCGCGATCGCACCGCCAGATTGTGGAAGGTCGTAGATGAGTCTCAGCTAATCTTCCGTGGAGGATCTTCCAAGCACTCCTACCAAGAAAACAACCTTGACTGTGTGGCACCTTTGCCTCCGAATCACTTCGTTACCGGCTCAGACTCTGGCGCGATCTCCCTGTGGTCCGTCCATAAAAAGAAACCGCTTCACACAATAACTCTCGCCCACGGTCTGGACCCTCTTCCTCCGCTCGATGAGCTGTCTTCCGAAGTCGATCCGAAGATAGCCGCGTCGAATGCCCGTCACATGCGGCGCAATCCTCGCTGGATCACTGCGCTGGCTACACTCCCAGGCACCGACATCGTGCTTAGCGGCAGCTGGGATGGATGGGTTCGCGCATGGAAAATTTCGGAAGACAAGAAAACGATCATCCCACTGGGGCCCATTGGCGGAGCCTCACTAGAACCGGATACCCCATCTCAGCAACTGAAACAGTCCCTAGCCTTCGACAACCCAGTCGACACAGACCAGATGGCCGTCGACGGACCAAAGCAAAAAATGGATGAGATCAAAGAAGAGGCCGAACCACTCGTCAAGGGCGTCATCAACGGTATTGCTGTTTTCGAGCGCCGTGCGGAGACCAACAAGCCCGGCCAATCCAAGCCCAAATCGAAGCCCACCGAACCAGAGCCCCGAGGTCTCTGCATTGTCGCAGCAGTGGGCAAGGAGCATCGCTTTGGCCGCTGGAAAGGCTTCGCGAACAATTACCACGAGGGATCTACACCCGATGGCCGCAATGGCGCTGTGGTATTCGAAGTCCCTTTCATAAACGGTAACCCTCAATCGAAGTGAGGCGTATTCATGAAATGGGACGAGGTTATTGTGACATGGCGTATGTATCCACATTTTTCTCTACCTTGTATTTTATTCCCGGGGCGGTGGTCTTTACATATCTTTTAGAGGAAGAAAAAAGTTCTCTGCATTGGAAGCTGTCCCTTGGGCTGAAGGGCGTTGGGCCTTGTACATAGGCGTACTGCAATAATTTTGAATGGGTTATGCTTCTAAAGTTAGCCACCGTTTGCGTTAAGAGCGTGCCCTAAGAGAAGTACTCCGTAAAGCATACATTAAGACCCCAAAACACTGATACTCGAAGATGACCAGTATAATAGTTTTAGCATAAATATCAGCTACAATTGGCGTAAACCTACTGATATAATCCCTGAGAAGCATACGTGGAGTTGTTTTGATAGAGATTCTCATCACGTTTGTCCCATGACGCAGCAATTCCTGGAGCCCAAACTAGTGATGTTGATACGTGCATGCTAAAGTTAGCATGGGGAGAAGCCCGCTAAGATAAAACAAGGAAATGACGAAAAGGAGAACCATAAACCAATGCACAAGGTAGCCAGAAAGGAATCGCGCAGAAAGTAGCTGGGGTATAGAATGGGTGGGGTCTTATTGTTTCTTCTTGGTAGTCAAATAGTGGATGATGAGCGAAGAGCCTTCTCCTTGCCAGTACCAGTTTCATGTACCTTTTGGGACTTAATGTTTCAAACCCTTCAGGTGTAATTATAACAGCTAGGCTTAGTCGGGCGTGATCGAACATCTGGACCAGAGTTATCCTTGAGCTAGTAAAGTCCAATACATGGATGTCGAGCTCTAAAACACACGCCCTTATGTGGCCGCACTAATGCAGCCTGTTCCTTTCTCTACCCTGCCCCTATCTGCCCTTAAAAGAAAAGCTATAGATAACGAGTCCTATAAGATCTACCTTAAAATTCATTTGGGATTATCGTCAAATCGTATCTAATTTAAGGGCAACAAGTGTTAACGAGCGGCATGCCGACAATTCCTTCGGAACGGTCGAACTGGGCCTTCGTCAGAATCATCGTCCAGAGTTATTGCATTCGAGGCGGAAGTTCCTGCCGTGTTTGTACTTTGACTACGTGATGCCTGCCGGCGCATCGCGTAGGGATCCACGTTCGGAGCTCGCGGAGCTCGACGCGAGAGAACAGGCGGATTTGAAGCCCCATTAGAGGCTAGGAATAGACGGCGCCGATTCCCGGTTACGGGAGGTCGGATAGGCTCATCATCTTCATCCTCATCATCCTCATCATCCTCTTCGCTATCTGGGATCTCGTCTAAACTACTCAAGCCATCATCGGTACAGTCGTCGGCCAGAGCCATGGTCATCTCCGAGCTCAGCTGGACTTCATATTGGTCCGACGAGTGGCGAGTTTCAGGGCCTCCGACCACCGTAGATCTGTCCGAGTCTGAATCCTGATCCTGGTCGATATGTTCATCGTCGTCAATAAACGAGTCCATATCTGTGTCATCCGAGTAGTCGTCAATCGATTCTTCAGTGTCATGAGCAGTTGAAGACGTTTCATCGTAGTGGCTATTGCGTGCAAAGACAGGGTGGTGTGAGTGAGGTGGGGGAGGATGATGATGATGATAATGGCGAATTATGCTGTATAAATGACGGGGAAGATCGTCAACCATCCCCTGAATAGGAACCCCATTCTGAAAACCATTCCAATCGAAATCGTCTAATTCGCCGAATCCATCCTCGAGTTCGTCATCCATGTAGTCCGTCATCTCAGAATTCTCCTCTGAATCGGTTATAATTGAAACGGTTGAACCTGAATCGGTTGAATCTGATGCATCTGATGTATCTGGAATATCCCATTCATCGTGTCGGTATCCACACTGTGCGCAATTTGAGTCTTCTTCCAACTCCCATGAACAGCGCGGGCAGCGAACGACATTGTCCTCCAGGTCAACGATCGGCTGTGCGACGGGAGGTTTTTTGTTGAATGTGCCACGGAATAATCCGCCTTCTTTGGGATGCGTGTTCTTCTTATCGTTTTCCAACTTTTCAGCTTCCTCACGTTGATGGCGCGTATGCTCGGTCGTCGTCTCTCCCTTTTCTAAAAGCTCTGCACGACTCGTGAATAGTTGGACGACCGCACGGACCTATACGTGTTAGTTACTAGATACATTAAATGAGGGTTTTATGGGCTTTCAAGGTGCCTACCAGGTATGCAGGGGCAGGTGGTGTTTTAACCGGAGCTCGGCAGTCGGGGCATGTTTTGTTGGATCTCCCACCAGCAAACCATGACGTTAAACACTAAAGCTCGGAGGGTTAGCACTCCAAGACGAGGATCATACATATCAGGGCCACAAACACTATAGCAGAATGTGTGTCCACAGGCAAGGGTGAAGGGTTCGTACAGTGGCCTTATGCAAATGCCACATTGTAAGAGCGCGCGGATATCATCGACATGTCCCTGTAATGTTTCGGAAAGCTGAATGAGAGGCAAATTAGTGACATTTCCTTCAGAAGATGTACTATTACGGCTCACCCCTGAGACATCATCTCCAAGCGTCGCATTTGTGTTGTTGGAACCCTTTCCGGACGCGGTTCCGACGAGAGTTGACTCGGACATTTGCGCAAAACTGTCGGAACGGACCCCGATAAGGGGAGGCAACCAAAAAGATTTCTTGAAATCGTCCCGCGAATTTCTCGTGAGGAAAAACTTGCCGGTATATTGGGAGAAAGAGATGTGTCACGACAGGTAGTGGCGAGATATATGGGCTCGTTCTTTAAATGGGGAAGGGTGTAGCCGGCATGACGGGGGGGAGCGGAGTTCGAGTTTACTTCGGAGCTGTGAGTGATAGGATGAGGTAGGTGATAAGAGACGGATGTATGAACGGCGCTTCTGAAGTCGTTTAAGTGTTTATTCACAGTAAGCTGGGGGTGAAAGTAAAGCGAAACGAAGAAGGAAAACAAGAAGTCATCACGATTGGACTGCAGGAGTGCATGCGTTGCCTTTTTTTTCTTTTCTTTTCGGAAGCTTTTGCGCAAACCGAACAAACAGTCGAGACGCTGGGTTTAAAGTCCGATCGAATTCCCCACCGGAATGGACTAAAGTTTACTCTAGTCCCTCACTAGTAAATGGAAGCCGATCAATCATATCTTCCTTCACTTCCCTTCTCTCAGCCAACAAACCCTCCAACATCCTCCATCCCGTTATCTCTAGCTACGTGGTACGCGCTTATACAGTCACCAGAAGATTACAACATAAGATTGTTGTCACCACTCCCCCTCATACCGTCATTAGAGCGCAATGGAGTGTCGAAGACAATCGAATAATTAATTCGTTTTCTCTTTTGTTCCGCTAGCTTCTCGCTACTCCGAGGGTGAAAGTTGAAACTCTGTAGACTACAGTTCGAATGTATTGAATACTACTAGCATACCTACGGCACTTTGAATGAAATGCTAGGGGGGAGGGAGCGGAGGAAACAAAAAAAATACTAAAGGAAATAAACAGGCTATTTAGGCCCCTTGTACTCCGTACTCCGTTGTCGATGGGAACATGATGGGACTTCCTCATCCCCCACAATAACCGCTGGCACAAACCCACCGCGACAACATCAACCGTGATTACCATTCCAATATCACTTTCTTTATTCCTTTCGTTTTTATTTTCAGGCTACTGCACTTCCTCCGCTCTCCAGTTTTGTGGGAGATTGCTTTGTCACAGACAACGTGAGATCATATTAGCGCTAAGAATGTTAGATGCGCGTAATAGTGTGATATCATGCAAGCTCGGCGCTTCAGCCGTAATAATGTCTTCCCATTTTATCCATCGTTAGCCTCCACCTCCACCTGACCACTTGCAGCCTACTCCGCTACTACGTAGTAGGTACTAGGTTAGTTCACTAGTTAGCTATTTGAGTCTTGATTACTCCGTACAAAGTTCTTCAATCGACAGCTCATCCGGTGGCATGCGAATCAGAGATTAAAACTTTCAGGGTGCAAGAGTCGCATAATATTGTTCATGGTAAGCACCATATCACGAGTGAGAAAATCAATTATAATCAGTATGGTTATTCCGGTTTCACAATTTCAATATTCTCGGTATCTTTGTACAAGTAAAAAAAGTAGAACTCGGAATTACTGCGATGGAACAGCATGACTAAAGAGATGCCTCTGCCAAGACCTTGAATTGTGGATCCAAACTTCTCCAGGAACAAACCTACAGTAAATAGTACTCCGAGTAAGAACCGCACCACTTTATCACCCATACTGGCTAACGCTGTCGCCTGTATCAATCACATACAATTGACTCCTTTTGTCCTCGCAATCATGGCGTCCACATCAGACCAACAATCAGATTCATCCGGACAAGACCATCCTAATTCTTGGTCAAACACGGAACGGAGATTCACTAAGTAGGTCGTCCAGCCATCTTCTACATTATCAACGCCAGAAGTACACTTAGAAGTGCTTCTTACGGATGTTCCTTATGTCAAAATCTTTGCATCATTATCATCGCTTCTAAGAGTGATCCTGTTTCAAACCCCCTTAAAGCCAAGCCACTCGTAGTCTCTTGAATCAGGGTCCACATGTCATAGTACCTGAGGCTTGATTTTTGGCGCTCAACTTTCTCTTTTTGATTCATTTGGACTCTTCTGTTCTCCCCTCCTTATTTTATACTATTTCCCATAGATTTACTGATGACATACTCCATATTCCAGCAAGAGTGCAAGCGAGTACTATGATCCATGCCAAGATTTCGCTGATCGGAGTTTGAAATGTATGAAGCGGAACAATTTCGACAGGGAAATGTGTCACGATTACTTTCAGTGAGTATTTAACCCTTCTATGTCGATATCGTACGATGCTATGGACCTAGAAGAGGGCCTCCCATCGGCGAGCTAGTAGTCTGGACCATTCACTACCAGAACCTGTAGCTGACTCAAATACGTGGCAGGGCTTACCGTGACTGCAAAAAACAATGGGTATGTATCTATATATCTCTCAAGCTAATTTGTGTTGATATTCCCTATCTATATCCTACCCCCGATGGCATGACCTAGTCCTCAGTAGAACTCTATTTTAGTCCTACTTTGCTAATGATATCACAGTTGACACAGAAAAAGCTTTCTGGGTAGTCTCACTGGAGATATAGTGCCAGGCCATCAAAATCCCCGGTACCTAATAGGATTTCTTTCTGGTCTACATCAGCATCGCACTGCACATCTCGGAGCCGGGCTGTCCTGCTGAAAGACACTGGTAAGAAACTGGGCAATCGAGCATTTCAAGTGGAAACATACCATTTGTTGGCACATAAGCTTCTTCTCCAATTGATGCAGCTTACCTTATTATCATGGATGTTCATCTCTTCTTGTTTCGCCTTGCTTCTTTTTGGCAGAGGGGGAATGATAGTTCTGGTTGTCGCGGCAAGGTTCTGCTTAGACGTCCTTGAGTCTGTATACTATAATTATGTTCTAAGCTACTGATTCTGAGAAGACGGGTCTTTCCGCTCTATATATGTACCATAGAAATCCCTAAGCGATCGCTTCTTGTAAGATGTTTACCACATGTTAGATCCTTACGTTATCATCTTAAGATTTGGTGTATATAGCCTTCTAAACCCTTGATGTACGTTGAGGACAAACCCAGGCTGTTGTCCAGGTTTTGTTTAATCATTAATTTATTTTTCATTATTGATTCTTTATGCACTTTTTTTTTTATTTGATAAGTCGATATGATAAAGGCAGCACTTGAAATGCAGCGCTTGAAATTGTGGAAAATAAGCGCCCTATAATATGCATTGATCACCGCCTTCCAGTTCACGCCCACCACGCCCGAACCTGGGGCCAAACTATTTTCAACTCCTAAGAATTCCTTCCCCTCATTATCCCGCCGTCCTATCTTCCCCGCACATCGTGTGCTGTGCTTGGTTGCGCAGCATACGAACACTAATCTATTACTACAAATAGGAATCCACGTCCAACCACTGTCAGGATTGATCTAGAGTCAGATCTGATCTTCTCTCGCTCGCCATGTCCACTAATGACGCCGTGTTCTACCGGCGAAACAAACAGATCCAAGATGCCATTGACGGGCAAAATCTGAAACAGGCCCTGCAGTTGATTGACAAGCGCATGAAGAAGGGAGAAGATACAAAGTTTTTGAAGGTTAGCACCATATGAGACCATTTATAATGATATATTCTGGACCTTTTCGTCTTAATACTAGTACCCATGTTGTTGCGCATGTCCTTGGGGTTACAATCGCACATAATGTCCACATAATAACATGTTGCTAATTTGATTGCGTACGCTCCGCGTAGGCATGGAAAGCTCATATATTATATCGTCATGCGGACGAAACCCACCGCCAACGTGGTATAGCGGAAACCCTCGATTTGTGCAAGGCCGAGCCACCAGCTACCGACCTCGATACTCTCGACATTCTCTATCAGACTCTGAAACGAATGGGCGACCAGGCGGAAACTACGAGGACTCTATGGGAAAGAGCTTCAAAGGCGAAACCACAGGATTTAGATCTACAAATGAGATGGTTTACGTATGCATTTGAAGGTGACGACTGGAAGTCAGCGCAAAAGGTCTGTAACCTGTTGAGTCTGGGTGTCGCATAAATCGAATCTAATTCCTCGAGATTGGATGACAGGCTGCTATGACTCTCCAGAATAATTTTCCCAAAACGCGGAAATACTATCTCTGGGCAATTTTCCTCAGTCATCTCGTCGCTACCGATCAAGCCAGTTCAGAAACTGACCGTAAACTTTTTGGAACTCTGGCTTATCGCATGGTTTCTAAAGCTGCTGACAGTGTTCCTTCCGATCCAGTATGCCCTATGTGATCCTGATCCTGGTCTTTGCAACTGGTTGTTGTGAAACTAACATCTACAACAGAAAGAGTTGCTGAGCCCTCCTAGAGCCATACAAGGCCCAGAGGAGCTATTGCTACTTATTAAGATCTTCGAGTCTCAGGGACGTCATGATGAGATTGTAAAAATTCTTGATAGCGAGAATCTTGGACTAAGCTCGCGAGTCATCCAGAATGACTGGTCCTTCGTTGGGGTGAAGCTGTCCAGCTTGGAAAAGGCGGAGATGTGGGTGCAAGGCTTATCCTACGCGAAAGAGCTACTTGCAATCCCTAGTAACGAAGTTGAGAGAAAGGCTCTCCAAGAGCGTGACGACTGGGCAGTTTGGAAACTACTTGTCATTTCAACCCGCAACACCAATACCCAAGAGTAAGTTACTCCATCACTAGAAGAAGAATGAGGAAAAGGCAGCACTTGAAATGCACTTACTGACTATCTTCGAAGAACCACTACCGGGACCCTGAAGTTCATTGGCGATTTCCTTGATGCCGTGCCCAAATCTCGTAATGCACAGCTAGCTCGCCTAGACTTGATTCATTCGGGTGTTCTCGCTGGCACTTCGAGGACGGAGGATCTAGTCTCTACTTGCCAAGAATATTTTGATAGTAACCAAAACAAGCTTTACTGCTTTAGCGACCTGCAGCTTTACTTGGCAGCACTGGACAATGAAGCTGTGTCAAAGTTTGTGGAGTATGCTTCCAAAGGTCAAGAGGAGAATGTACGTTCCAGACAATGTCCATGCCCTTCGTTTCCAAGCTGACATACTCGTGAAGGTGAAAAACGACCCTTTCAAGGGTGTTACGACGATCAATGCCCTTAAACTTGAATACTGCTTCGTATTGTCAACTAACGAGACGAATGTCTCTAAATCACAAGTCGAGAACTTCATCTCGCGTTGTCTCCAAGTCTATCGTGAGACAGATCGTCCAGAACGGAGCTCAGCCCCATCCACAATCGAAAGTCAGCCTAGTGATGATCTGTGTTTGCTAGCTGCTATGAGCTTGATACGCTTCAGCGGAGCATGGATCTCTGGTAACCATGATCAAATCCCAGACACCGTCCTCATCCGCGCCGCTGCTATCCTGGAGCGTCTCTTGTCTGATTCTCCTCATAATTACCAAGCGTTGCTACTCCTTGTGCGCATCTACTTGCGTCTCGGGGCTGGATCGCTCGCTCTCAAGGCCTTTAGCAAGCTCTCTGTCAAACAAATGCAGTTCGAAACGGTTGCTCACAACCTCTTCACCCGCCTAGCAACGATCCACCCACACTCGGCGCCCCCAATTGAGGGTGCAGAATACAAAGACTTCGACCCACAGTCTGCATTTGTTCAGGCCCTGAATTTCTATCGAACGGCTGAGGTCACGACAGTCAGGCACCGGTCGAATGGACTGGACTTGGGCAGTTACGTAAACATAGAAGGCACCATAGAGCTTCAGAGGCGTCTAAAGTATAGTGTCTGTCGCAGGATGTGGGCATTAGACGTCAGACGGATGCAGAGACTCGTCGGCGGTGATCCGATGGGTCGATATGACGAAGTTGGTAGGTGTAACAATACTTCATACAATGGACTATCCGCTCACAATCACTCTACAGCAAGGGACCCATCCCCCTTGGCAGACCAGCGGGTATTTGATGCATTCATGAACTGTGAACCCACCAACCAGCCAACTTTCGAGGAACGGATGCGCTTGGGACCGCTTCCTCGGGTACGTTTGTCCCTAATCAGCGGTGAGACCTCAGGGCAAGGCTAATAGGAAACAGGAACGATGGGTGACGTCTGCGAGGGTAACAGACCAGTTGTTTAGTACCCTCAAGAATATGGCTGTTCAGAAGCCAGTGTCTGTTGAACTTAATCTGCCCAGTCTCGAAGATATCGTAGGGTCGGAAGCATCTTCTGAGATGACCCCATCAGAGATTGAAAGCGTCAAGATCAATCTGACTCTTCTCAAGGTGGTCTCATTCTTGAATGGCTCGAAGTCTGTCGCCTCTGAAGAGGTCGACAGCTACTTAACCCAGGTGGAAGAGTGGCTGAGTTCCAAGTCAGAAGATCTTGACTTGAACGGTCCAAAGATCTCCCCCCTTGTATCAGAAACTGCAGTTTCCTTGCGGCAGCATGAATCATCTATCCCAACCTGGAGGTTCTTCCACAACTTATACCTGATCATTGAGTCGCTCAAGGCGCTCTCACTCATAACATCCATCGCATCAAAGAAAACCTCCAAGGCTGTGAAACTCCCCAAGGATCGTATACAAAGATTAGCTGATTCCACCCGTCAAGTCCATGAAAGTATTCGGGCAAACGCTCGTGCGCTAAAATCGGCTATCTCTGAGCCGGGTGTTCTCGGATCTTTGATTGACTTGGTGGTGGGTGGCTCTGGCGATGGTGAGGATGGTACGCAACTTCGGGCAGAATTGGATAAAACATTTGATATGGCTGCGCTGGAGATGTTCTGCGGCGAGTTAATGGAAAGCTGGGAAGAAGGGCTCGATGGGCTGCTGCGCGTGTCGCTGTGACAGTGGGCCAAGATATGATTGAATTAGATCGTCGACTGTGTACGACATCTGCCTTACCCAAGGACGGTGTACGCTGCAATATCAACTATATTATGCTTACATACTTATAGAGATTCCTACATAGATGGGTTGTATATCGATACAAAACGTCTTGACGAGGCGAGCGGTCCAGAGACATACAAGATGCAATTACTGCTGCTCCAAGGTTAGGCGCATAGCTTATAGAATAAATGGAATGAATACGAGGCCGTGGTGTGGAATGTTGATCTCCTTCTGCAAGGGTCCCGACGAGGTCCTACGCACGTTCTTTATCCCTTGGTTCCCAGTCAGCCTGGTGCTTGTCCCACTACTACCATGGGATTCACACATACCCCTCCAGCTGTTCGACGACACGGGTTTCTTGGGTTGCACTACTGCTACCAATAGGAGCATTCCTCTCCTGCGGCTTGTCGACCCTTGCCAACGGTGAAATCTTACTGCATTATTCCATTGAAGCGGATGTTTCATCGAGTCATGGGTTGCTGCAAGTAAGCGGCGGTAGTCTCCTTACTTCCAGGGCAGATAATCTCCCCCACGCTATCACGGCTGTTTCTATTCTTACAGTGCTGGTGTCCTGTTATCTACATTTCACACACTGTTAGAACTCGGCGTAGGTATTTGATCAACATCTGGAACGGACTCCATATCCATGTCCGGCTTCCCTACTTTTCCCTTTCCTTTCCAATTCTTTCTTTCGCCTTTGGGTGCAGGCAACGGGTCTCCAATGTCTGATTAAGGCCCATAACTTGCTGTCATAATTCATTCGCTTTATTGTGCATGATAACCCAGGTTCAGACATGAACCCTACATATGATCACAAACACTCGCCGCAGCGATGGGATGTCATTACCGAGGTATTATGCCTCTCAATTAGTACCTGTTGTGTCTGTATGCGCATGTACACAAAGCTGTTGATCACCAAAGCTCCGGGCTGGGAAGACTGTACGTATCCCAAGACAAGGTTTCAAATAGATCGGTATTCACTAACTGTCACCCGTAGTTACTTGTTTCTTTGCCTGGGTACGTGTCTCAATACGCTGTCTACAAACTCTGGCTCTCGGAGAATCACCTGCTCATGAGAGACGTAGTTAGGATTAATAGTCTATGCTGTCATGACTTTTGAGACAGGCAAGCATGGCAGTGGTCTCCACCGGTGGGAAGTATCTCCTTCAGATCTCCGTGAATTCTTGAAGGTCAGTGGTTGTCTCATCACAGGAAGGACCCAGCGTATTGATAACCATTAGCTAGCAAATGCATGCCAAATCATATATGGACCGATCATCTTCGTCACCAAATTATCTATACTCCTTCTATTTCTCCGCGTATTCGCACTGTCTTGCAGAAGCGTCACTTACTTCTTGATTCAATTGCTCATCTGGCTCAACTTCCTCTTCTACTTGGCCGACACGGTCGTCAAGATCTTTGAATGTACACCACGATCTAAGATCTGGGATGAGCATGTCCCAGGGCACTGCATCAATATCAACGTTCCCATCCTGGCTGCGTCGATCTTCAACCTAGTGTCCGATTTTCTAATTCTCTTACTGCCAATTGTCTGTGTATGGCGTCTGCAAATGACCTTCAAGAAGAAGATATGTACTTCTGCTGTCTTCGTTGCGGGTATCTTGTAAGACACCCTTCCCATCACTGAACACCCAAATGACTGACAGGGTGAATACTTCTGAGTAAACAGCGGCTGCATATCAAGTGTCATGCGCCTTGTAGTCAGCATCCCAAATAGCACGGCCACCGACAACACATTTGTCTGGTTTCCAGAACTCTTGTGGACGTAAGTGTAAATTCGGGCTACATCCCGTACTCATTACTGATGTCGATAACAGTGCCGCCGAAATTACTTCAGGGATCATAGCAAGCTGTTTGCCGGCATTACCTACTTTCCTGCGACATTTCTTGAAGAAAACAAGGTACTTCTTCCCGGAACCTGTCATGACTGGTTCCGGCTCTAGTATTCTTACTTCAAAGAAAACGGTAGACGCACAGCGTTTTACAGCTCAACCCAAACCGAATGTTAGCCTTACAGATTTACTTCCGGGGAGTAACTTGGAGATGCTAAGCCGTGGCAATCGCAGCGGGAAGACATATGAAACGACGTGCTATTCCACGGTCGAAGCCAGCCCGGTAGAAAAGGGCCGAGAGGACCATTCCAAGGCTGGAGAGAACCCCAATCAGGGGATAATGAAGACCGTTGAGGTGGATGTGGAATCAGGGCCAGAGCAGACTGATCAGAAACAATAGTTATGTAAAGATTGAAACATAACGATCCAGTAACCACCTATACTTCAAGGAGAGGATTAAATGTAACCCTTATCAGAGCACTGATAGGGATGATAATAAACACCTCAGGCACCAACACCCGGTCATCCAGCCCAGACAAAAGAGGGCGCTAACCCAGACCGGTAACAAGCCCTAAGCAAAGCCCTAACACTCGCTACGCACTGCCGTCTGAGCCAACCAAAACCGTGCAAAGTCCATCGCGCTTCTATCCGCACCGAGACGCCCATCGACTTCGACACTCCCTCACCAACCACGTCGCCAAACCAGTCCAACCGTCGAGATGGCCCAGGAACGCTCCGGAATTGTGGTCGGTCTGAACAAGGGCCATGTGGGTTCCCCTATCCGTGCTATATTTGATTTTGAACGGATCTCAGTCGTCGAGTGGATGCTGAATGGCTGGATATTGCTGGGAACGGGAAAAAAAAAAATTCGATGATGCAGGACGGAAGTGCGAGAGGAGAAGAGAGAGGAAAACTCGGGAAGATAAAGCGACATGGGGAGATTTTACGTGATTCGGGAGAATACAGCTTTCAGCAACCACTCGACATCTGAGAAAAACCGACTCGATGTTCCAGATACATGCGGAGGAAGACAAGAAAATAAGACTAACGGATATTCTGCGTTATAGAAAACCACCCCCCTCAACACCCCCAGACCCGTGTCAGCCGCACCAAGGGCCAGTCCTCCCGCCGCACTGCCTTCGTTCGTGACATCGCTCGTGAGGTTGTCGGTCTTGCCCCCTATGAGCGTCGTATCATCGAACTCCTGAGAAACACTCAGGACAAGCGTGCTCGTAAGCTCGCCAAGAAGAGGGTACGTTCGATTCCGTTATCATGCTATCAATTCGGCAGACCTTGCTCGGGCCGCTTTGGCTTTGGCCGGATAGTCTCGGAAGTTATCATCGGTTGATCCTGGGGTCGATTATGGTTTACTATCGAAATTACACTGGGCCAGAGCGGAAGGAAACCGGAGCAATCTGGAGATCATCGTCCAAAGCAGAAAGGCTAACACTCAACTACAGCTCGGTACCTTCGGCCGTGGCAAGAGAAAGGTTGAGGACATGCAGCGCGTCATCGCCGAGTCCCGTCGTGTTACTGGTCACTAAATCGTTCCCATTCAATCCGATAAAGCTTTCTCCTATTAGCCAAAGAAAAGAATGAGATAACGAAACGATGAAGTGAGTCTTGGTGGCCGATCACATGGAGTGTGGGGGAGGTTCTGTCCATATGGGGAGGGGAAAATGACAACCCGACCTACCTTCTTTGCTTCTATCTCTCCTGGGATATAGGAATGGAGGCAAGGGATATGATTCCATAGGCGTGGACAATTGGACAAAAAAACATAAATGGATCTCTGATTCTAATGCAATACCACTGGGACTTGGTTTCTTTCACCTTCAATCTCCTTCGGAATATTCTCTAGACTGGCTTGTGTAGGTCCATCTCTAGCCTAACGGCCACCGATTGATTACCATGTGGGATGCCGTTGGTAGCATCTGGCTGGGCTATCCTGTAGAATGCTGTTCAAGTAGCCGAGCATGATATATACTTCTTTCCAGAGCTCGACGGTGACGCTGTCTATGCGTTGAATCTACCGTTGACTACAGGACATCAGGACCGTTATCACATTACTCATAATCGTAAGTTAGAGGACGTAACATAAAAAGGTAACACTTAAGGTACCAGCATATCTTATCTATTTCTTCCCGGGTAGTTTCAACCACTTGGGTAGGCTTCCTGGTTTGCGCCCGCTTGACTTCTCTCCTTGACGATCAGATCCCGACTTCGGCTGCACCGTATCCTCAGAGGTGTCCATGACATTTGCTGGTTGTTCAATCTTCAATTCCTTCGCTTGTGTCCGTAACTCTGGTCTCAGGAGGTCTCTTCGGCTTTGCCGAGCAGCTTGGGAAGCGGTTGCGTCCCAAGAGAAATTGACAAGCACACGGCCTACCATACCGAGGTCCTTGATCAGTAAAGTCTGATCGGAGTCCGGAACCACGTTATGTAGTTTCTTTCCACTCTGGCCACCACAGGGGAAAGTCGTGACGATAAATTTCTCTCCAGCGAAAGGACCCGCCAAGCAATTTCGTACAAAACTGTAGAGTGACCTGCCCGTATCTTGTTGCCCGAATTTCGCCACAATCTGACTTTGGTCCGGCAGTCGGATTTTGACGTCCACCTCCTTGACAGCTGAAAGCTTTTCCTCCTCTGCTGCGGCTTTAGCGGCGATCTCTGCATCAGATAGGAGGCGTTTATTCTGGGACGCTGCGTTGAGCCGACGTTGGTGTGCCTGCGCATGATCTACGGAGAGAACATAGTCACTTTCATTATAGGCGGTCTTTGCGGACTGCGGCGTATCACTAGAGGGAGGGGCAAAGACTGCTACTTGTCGAGAGGAAACAGTTGTGGGTTCGGAAGGTTCCGCAGGGGCAGATAGAGTAGATGGAGCGGTTTGATTTTGAGGTTGTTCAGGCAGAACAGGTGCAGGCGGTGATACATCTGATGTAGATTTTAGCGGCTCTCGTTCTTGTTGACTGGGTCCATCTACTGTCTGCTTCTGTTCTGCTGGGGCAGACGACTCCTGTGACTGGGGGACCGTGTCGTCGGATGACTTGAAGTATTCTTGGATCTTGCTCATAGCGACTTCTAATGGGTCCTCCGTCCGCCGAAAGCTCAGTCTCAATAACACGTTTCCGCTGTTAAACCCTAGTTGAGCTAGCGACTTCTGCAAGTCAGTGAATGTGGACATCTCCCGTTCCAAAATTTGGATCACCGGCGTCTCGTAGAACAACCGCCCTGATCCATTATTTCCGTTTCCAGTAACGGGAGCCCCTCGCGCTGTAAGGTTCCGAATAGATGCATTCCCAGCAACTCCAGCTTCAAATTTACGCAGTATGAACCATAACGACGTTGTACTTGGGAATTTGTCCAGAAGACGGCCGTTGGGCGCCCCACGGGCTTCGGATTCCGGTAGCTGAAGTGCGACAGTGACAACGGATGGCGACCGTGAGAGTTGGACCAGTTCCAGCCTTGCGCCAGAAATGAGCCCGGAAAGACGAAAAGATAGCGACAGGTCGACCTGTTTACCTTTGTATCTTGGACCAGAGTTAGTCCTTAACTAGAAGCTTGATATTAGGTTTATGGGAGTAAATGCTTACTTCAGTCCATATTGGCTAGCATCTACGCCTAGTTTTACACAAGCCTCTTGTAAAACGTCAGTCAGGTACTTCCCTGGCGTTGTCTTAATTGTAGCCCTTCGAGCTGTCGAGTCGAGGACCACGACATGAGCGCTCATAGTCGGAATGTTTATTTTAATATTGCGGGGTTGGAGTCAATGTTGAGGATGAAAATGAGCGTCGTTCGCCTTCAAGGTTTCTTGCCTGTCTTATACCTTGGATATAGTATTAAACAGCAAGTAGACTAAGACGAGAGAAAAGAATAGAAGTACACCGAAGGGGTTGATGTCCGGAGATTAGGGTAACGGACGAGGTGTAGTAAATGCGGGAAGATCAGTACTTAGGCAGCGGGCGCATCGTCATCGGCAGAAAGCTCGGCGGCTCCACGCGTGCTGGCAGCAGTGAGCTTCAACTCAACCATTCATCAGTCCCTCTCCTTCACCACCTCACGCTTCCCCCCAACCCTCAGTCCTCCACATCTTCTTACTTCTCACTCATCGAGCTCTTTCACTCCTCTAGTTTGGACTTTGTTTTTCTTTACTCTATCAAATTAATCATGGTATGTTTTCTGTACCATTCTTCTTTCCATGATTGAACAAGCTGACAATCCCTCTAGAGTTCACCCTTCGATATCAGTATGTCATCTTCCTCGGCTCCTGTCTGACTCAAGTTTAACATATTAATCTGTCTCGTTGCAGACGGTGGCGCCTGCGTCGCCATGGTAGGCAAGGACTGCGTTGCAATTGCCTGCGATCTCCGACTCGGCATGCAGGCCCTGACCGTCTCCAATAACTTCCCCAAGATCTTCAACTACAGCCCATCGACCTTCCTCGGCCTGACCGGCCTGGCGACTGATGTCTCGACCGTCTCAGATCTCTTCCGCTACAAGGTTAACATGTACCGCCTGCGTGAGGAACGGAACATAGCACCTCAAACGTTGGCCAACCTGGTCAGTTCGTCACTGTACGAGAGGAGATTTGGACCTTTCTTTGTCAGTCCCGTCGTTGCGGGTATAAACAGCACAACTGGCAAGCCATTTATCTGTGGCTTTGATAGTATTGGATGTATCGACTTCGCAAAGGATTTCATTGTCAGCGGGACAGCTAGTGACCAGCTGTTTGGTACCTGTGAGAGTTTATGGGAGCCGGATCTGGTATGTCTTGCGCGTGTGGGATTCCAATCGTGATTAGAGGTAATACTGACGGCTTAGGCCCCCGAGGACTTGTTCGAAACCATTTCCCAGGCTCTCCTCAGTGCTGTGGACAGAGACGCACTCTCCGGTTGGGGTGCCCAGGTGTATATCATAGAGAAAGATAAGGTGACTAAGCGGCTACTCAAGGGAAGACAAGATTAGAATAGTTATGTTGGCGCTTTTTTGTTATGTTATTCAGGTCTTTAATATCACGCTCCATTGCCACGATTGCAATATTTCCAGGTTGAAAACAGCTTTCGGCGTCTAAGGTCTCCACTTAATGTTACATATCATCGATGAAGGCGAGGCGTATCACAGTGAGGATATGTAGAGGACAAGAATACGGGGAATTAGAATCTAAATCTCTGCATACCGATTCACCGTTCTAGTTCTGTCGCGTTATGCCTGGGACCTCGACCATCTACGACCTAACTCTTATAGGATTCCTTTCAGACTGCATTCGATAAGTGGGTGGTCAGTATCCATCCTTTCCAGATACAGCTCTGTACGCCTGCCCATTCCTTCCCAGGAAATTTCTCAGGTCGGTGGCCAGGAGCTCCGGTACCTCCCATGCCGCAAAATGGCCACCGCAGTCAAATTGATTGGCTCTAACGACAGAACCGGCCAGGCCGGTCCACGACATGGGTACTCGGATCAACTCTTTCTTAAATTGAGCCACCGCGAGTTTAACGTTACCAGGAGTAGGTTTCGAGATAGCATCAACCGTGGACATTCCGGGTACAGCGGACGAAGAATCATTCCGTGCCGCTTCGTAGTAGATCCGGACTGACGCCGCGGGTCCTGCTACCGAAAAGCAGTAAATGCTCACCCAAGTGAGAATCTCATCGTCCGTCCACGGGTAGCTATCGGTCCATGAGTGGAGTTTGTCGTAAATCCAGGCGAGCAACGCCACGGGGCTGTCATGAAGGGCGTAGCCTAGCGTTTGCGGACGAGTCTCCTGCTGACGCATATAAGCATTCCCTTGCATCAGATAGTCCGAGGTAGCTGACAAGTGAGCCTTGTCGTCTGATGAAAAGGGAATGGTGAGGAGGGATCGAAGAAAGACTAACGGACTCCGCCATGGATAAGGCGGAGCCACTGGTAGAAAGTTCAGGTGAACGGCCTTGATGGAGTCAGAGTAGCGGTTGGCCATGACACGAGCGATGATACTGCCCCAATCACCGCCTTGTACAACTATAGGGAGGTTAGTGTTGAATCAGCCTGGTGAGGGAACGATACGGCAGACCGTAATCTTTGTAGCCCAAAGCCAGCATTACATTGTGCATTGCTTCCGCATATTGAACTAGACCGAACCCTTTCTACAGGGCGTCAGATTTACTTCGGCCAATGCACCTATGAATGGAATATATCTTCAAACCTTTTTTACTGCAGATGAGAAGCCAAAGTTCGGCAATGAGGGCGCCACCAAATGGAACGCAGGGTGAGTCTCGTCACCTTGGGTCAACAATGGAATAAGCTTCGTTGCTTCCAAAAAGCTTCCAGGCCCTACAAGAACACCGATCAGCTCCGCGGTGGCTTTATTGGAAACTAGCATCGGTCAGACCTACAGCCATGGATGAATAGTAAAGGAACGGCGTTTGGATTTTGGCTGGTGTGGTGCAGGCAATGAATATCCAGGCCTCCGAATCCGGTGACAGTTATAGGAACGAGAAACTGATTCAAGCTCTCGTTCAATTCTTTTTCCTTTTGTCGCCAGTTGAAACCATCGTGCCAGTAAGTTACCAGCCTTCTCATCTCATCCCGAGGCACACCCATGTCCCACTCCGCATCGTCCAGTTCATCCGGCAAAGTTGCCGTTGTTAACTTTTGCTGGAGATGATCCAGCTGAGCATCTGGAACGGAGATCTCGAAGGGTCTAGCCATTGTGTTCTGACGGAGTCTGCAATCACTTTGTGGTTGAGAGTTGAGATGGCGTTTATGTCGGTTGGTCAACGATGTCATGTAATCGGCGTACACGGGCAGTGGTATCACAACCTCGGTCCACGTGAAGCATCATGGGGTTATGGATGTTGGAGGTCAATTTCTTAGGGTTATGCCACCTTGGTGGTAATATTTGATTTCCCCGTTGTACTACTTTCTTTTGTATAATCCGGTAACACGGTAGGCTATGGGAGTACGCCGAGTGCGATCAAGATCCGTGAGGGTTTGATGTTCTATAAATATATTTCCGTACCAGCAGACCATAAAATACGGAGGAGTACCCATGTCAATAAAGATGCGCCATGCAGCCGCTATTTTTGTTTAAAACCAGGTTTACTGAAGAAACGGTCCGTTTTCGAAAAAGAAAAAGATGATGACACAAGCAGAATATATACGAACCCACTAGAGGACTTATCATTCTTTCCAAAGGGACATTCTAGACTCCCAAATGAATCATCGTCACTCATCGTGTGGATTTAAGCCTCCCCGCGTCTAGACCGGGCGATCGGTCCAAAATTGGTCCCATACGAAATGGAGACGATTTTCTGTTTCCTTCAATTCCCCTCCTCCTGCACCTGACCGACTTTACCCTTTTCTCTCCATCCTCCCACTTCTTCCTCATTTTGGCCTGTGGGTGGGACTGTCGAAGTATATCCCATTCCATCGTCGGATGGTCCCCTCACCCCGGCTATATTTTTGAGAACTGGATCTCTCTCCGCTTGCGTGGTCAGTTTTTGGGTGATTTCTGCCGACCATCTCTGGCCCAGCAATTGGCTAGTGCCCTCAGGGAGAGGAAACAGTGCCATCCATCGACCAAGAAGATAACTTTCAATAGCTACTGGAAGGCTATCGGAAGAGGAAGGATTAAAGGAGCAGAATATAATCCCTAGTCGATTCGTTTCGATTTATTTTGCCCACCTCGTGAGCAACAACGCATTTACTCCGCGCTTTCGCTTTCGCTTTCGCTCTCTTGCTTTTTATCCTTTTTTCGCAGTCATAGAACACCACCGATCTATATCGCCAGGATAATTTGTCGCACGATTTTAGAAGCGCTATCCCAGTGCAGAGCGCCGACCATACGGTGTAGCTCGACCAGAGTTACACCTTCCCATCATTTGCCAAACTGGTGTATGTGCCCGACAAACCTGTCTAACATCAAGAGCGACTCGACCTTTGACATCTCAAACACCCTCCATTTTGCCCATGACGAAGGTTGATCACTAACCAGGTCCTCTGCGCTCTTTTCCCAGACCGAAAGCCATGCGTTTTGTCCTGCCCAAAGATTCTCCTCGTGATCGGGCAACTAATTTGAAAACCCCAACGTTATTTTGGCGCCCTCCTATACCCTAATAAAGCTTCGCTCTTGGGACTCGCAGTATCAGCGACTTTAAACGAAGCGTGTAAGCCGTCCCACACCATGTCAGATTCAGTCGAATCCGAATGGTCAAAAACTTTCGTATCGGCTGGCCGTTCGAAATCGTTCCTCCCATGCAAGTCTGAATGTCTCTCCGGAGATACCTCAGCTTCAACATTGCTCAACGATGACCCGCAGGCCGACCCATTGAATCACACACATAGTGGCGGTCACCAAAGTATGGCGATCGAACAACTGATGAAGTTAAAGCAAGAACTCCGAGGCCTGGACTTGGAGTCCTTCTGGAGCCGACTGATGGAACATATTACCTCGATCTGCAACGCTCAATATGGTTTCGTAGCTCGGAGAGTTCGAGACGATGAGACCGTCAGCAATATGGGGGAACATAAGCCCCGCCTGTTTGGTACAGCCTTCTATTACAATGATGGACATCAAAATGTGGGAATGCATAGACACCGGTACTTTGCTGGAGGCAACCCTTTGTCTCATATGGACCATGGAAAACCTTGCTTGATTCCTGAGAAGTTAGGATCCCTCATGTTATTCGACCAAGACCAGCTCCCGTTCGCGGCAGAGGGCTACCTTGCCATTCCGCTCTTCTCGGAAACCCAGTGCCTCGCCCACTTTGGTTTGATGTGGTCGGAATCAGGATTGCAGAACCGTAACCTTTCGTGGTCTTTGCTGGAAATGGTTCTGTATTCACTGGAAGATCTGATTGTCCAACGGATCCGAGAGGATACGACAAAGACTGATCGGCCTTCCAAAGATATCAAGAATCCAACCAAGGGCCACAAAATCGTCGACGATGGATATTTGAATGCTTTATACGGGCACCCTGATTTTTCATCTCAACCCCTGAAGCCTTTTGCTCGGAGCTTGTCTCATGAGTTGCGGACGCCGATGCAGGGGATCGTCGGAATGCTGGACGTTATGCACGCTACTGTACGGGAAGCCATTCAAGGTAAACCGTCTCCAAGGGCAGGTTACGTTTTCCAATCTCTCAAAGAAAGCATTGAAATGGTTCAAGGTATGTCATAGCTGCTTGCTATGCCGCTACTCAAAGCTAACCCCATACAGATAGTGCAAGACGAGCAGTTGAAGCTGCTGATAATGTTGTCCACGCCTATGACATGAACATGCAAGTTCCAAAAACACCCCAAGTTGAGCGGGACAACGACCTATTCGGCGGCCCCGTTCAGTCACCAACCCCAACGTGCGAAAATCGGCCGAGCATCTTAGCTGATGGTACTAACGTTGGAATCAATCCATACAAACGGCGACGAAGCAATCCGCCAGAATTCACCGTGGGATCGACGCCGAAGCAAAAGATGCCGCGTGTTACAGCAACGAAAGAACTATCCCCTCGAACCGAAGAGGTTAAGAACGCGGTACTTGAAAGTGACAAAATTATTCAGGCCACCCCAGCACATCAGATTGAAGCTGTCATGGCCAACATGGTGGACCCCCGTCCATCATTAGCAGTACGACGGTCAGCGCCACATCTTCTGCTGGAAGGCATCAATATCAACCTCAAGAGCCCAGCGCTGCGAGTTACAAAACTCCGTGATTTGCTCCGTCTGGTCATCAATGAATCACTTCATGTTGGTGGTCGACCTGACTTTGCGGTGACAAATGGAACCGAATTAGGGGAGAAAATCGAGCTTCGCTCGCGGTCGTCTAACGGAGAGGTGTTTTCTAAAACGATAGACTGGTCGGTAGACACTGCGCTGCCAGATACTCTATTCGTGGATGATCGCGACCTCGCAAAATTGATATCATGTGTTTTTTTGAATGCGGTAAAATTCACAAATAGCGGTGTGATTACTGTCTCTGCTACGATCGGCCGCAAAGTCGGTGATATTTTGATTAACGTTCGGGATACTGGCTCAGGCATCCCAGAGGCTTTTCTGCCAAATCTCTTTAAACCATTCGCTCGGGAGGATACATCTACGACTCGAAGCAAAGATGGTTTGGGGCTGGGACTTCTCGTAGCTAAAGGCTTGGCCAGGAAAATGGGCGGCGATTTGATCTGTGTTCGTTCCGCGACTTCAGGTCCTGACCGTGGTACTGAGTTCGAGATTAGAATTCCTATCACTCAGCCTGAACCATGTACTAGGCCAATTGCCCCGGCGACGAAGCTTCTAACCCCTCCCCAGCTCAGCGATCCTTCAAGGATGAGCCAACAAAGCGGCACAAGTCTGGATGCACTATTACCGCCCGCAATGCGGACCCCAATCCAACAACCGTCTCCCAGTCTCACGGATGAGACATCTTCGCGAACACCTACACATTCCCGCTCTGTACCCGATATCAAGTCATTTGGGGGCTCCATAAATGGAGATGCTTACGATAACAAACTGGGGGAGAAGCATCCCCTGACGTTCCTGGTAGCAGAGGATAACAAGATCAACCGACGGGTGCTAGTGAATATGCTAAAAAGACTTGGTTATCGGGATGTATATGAGGCGTGCAATGGGAGAGAGGCTGTGCGGATTATGCAGGATATTCTGACGTCGCAGCGCCCTGAGGAAGCCACGAATGGCTCTCACGCAGTCACGAACCAGAATGGTGGCTCAGACGATCGCTCAATCCTCAAACCACCGCCAAAGTACCGTAAGAAGTTTAAGCCGGTGGATGTCATCCTAATGGACCTTTGGATGCCAGAAATGGATGGTTACGAGGCTACCTCAAGGATCCTGCAATTAGTGGACCAATACCACGGTCAAATTCCTCCTAATCCAGGGACCAGCCAGCGTGCTACGGATTCTCATACCGCAAAGCATGCCCGGACCACACCACCGACGGTTCTTGCTGTTAGTGCAGATGTCACTGATGATGCTCTGGGGCGTGCATCGAGAGTTGGCATGAAAGGTTATATGACCAAACCCTACAAGCTGACCGATTTGGAACGGTTCATCATGAGTTTCTGCTGCGGTGATGATACAGCAAAGCAAAACAATGACTCAATGAAGGCATGAAATAGTTGGGTCGAATAATATTGACCGCCATTTTTCTATATTTACTAATCTCTTATTTCATTTGAAGTTCCCGCTATATACCACATCATGTTTGGGGTTCTTAATGCATATACAGACGTTTTTGAGATTTTTTTTGTTTTTTTTTTTTTTCACCAAGTGCTGGTCTGATGTATTTAACGAACGACATACCGTCAACAATAATGATCATGACTTGGAGAGCCAAAGAGACCAGAGAAAGCAACAAGAAAGAAACACAATAAATAGAGGAAGCATAAGAGGTACATACATAGACACATACACGACAGGCTCAATGATAATAGCAATTGGAAGCCATGTTAAATAAAATCGCTATGCTCTATTGTTTTCGCTTGATGCCACCCTAGACCGAAACCCGAAACATACATGGGATAGAAATACAAGTAGGGTAGGTCATTACATCCATATCTATCAGTCGACTCATTTGCATCATACAATACTAGAAGGGCAAGCGTAATAGGCATATCCCAGTCTTTCATATCCGACAAGCCATCCCAGCAATAAACCCGAGCCTACGGCCAGGAACTGAGAACAGCCATCCAGCCAACAGATACATCCAAATTGTCATGAAGTTCCATTGATATGTTTCGGATGAACCAAAGAAATAGACGATCAAGGGAAGAATGAACTCAAATATAGCCCCATATACAAAGTACGCCGGACAACAACTGCGTTCTCTTTTCCCTATTTCCCTTTCTCCAACCTTTCATCCCTTATGTCAGCTTCTGCTTGATGAAGAATGAGCGGAGGTGAGACAGTTGCCAGGCGCAGGCAGCGGACAGGACAGCCATTTGAATCAGGGTCCACCGGACGACACGGGAGTTGGTAGCTTCAGACTGATCACGGAATTCGGCCTCACGTTCCTAGATTGATTGAGAAAAAGCAACCGGGTCAGTATCGTATACCACTGGTACAGACTTGGAACCAATGGAATTGCATAAGAGAACATACCCTCTGGAACACCTGCTCTCTCCGGATGTCCTGCAACCGACCGTTGAGATCCTTCACCTTCTGGACGATGTCCTGGATTTTGCCCTTGTCTTCCGTCTCGATCTTGCTGGTCTCTCCGATGGCCATGTCCAGAGTCACCTTGACAGCACCCGCGGGGGCACCCGACAGCCAGCCGCCGGTCGCGGCATTCGTGTCGGCGGTCACACAGATCCTGTGCTGGCCGGCATCAGCGGCGGAGAAGGTGAAGCGGCCGGAGTGGCCATCGCGCTTGGAGACGACCCGGTGGTCATTGTCGAAGGTCTCGTCGACGGTAATGAGCACCTTCAAGCTGGAATCAACGGAGTACGTGTTCGACTGTTGGTTGATGACCTGGGTGGAGTAGGTTCCTGTCCGTGGGTATTAGAATATCTATGACACAGCCGACGCAAGTTCACACGGAACCAATTGGTTGGTGACATACCGACAACCAATGTGTCCTTGGGAAGCTCTTCGAAGAAGCATTTGGGTTGACGTCCATCGATATAGAAGTAGAGGGCGTTAACAGGCACCGAGAGACACAGGATGGCGCAGAAGGCCAAGAGGGCGGATAGCCATGAGGTCGAGGATGTCGACGCCATCATGAAGGAGATCCAAATGGCAGGAGTTCTGGGATTCTGGGGAGATCGAGGGGAGGGGAGGTGAAACAGTGGAAGAAGAGGTGGCCGAATGTTGATGCTCGATGTGGCAGCAACGGACGGAAGTCTTGGCGCGAATTGAATTCTCCATCCATTCATTCAATCATTCACTCATTCACTCCCCCTTCTCCTCATGACTACTACGTCCCTCCATCCTTTCATGCCCCTCTTGTTTCTCACCTTCTTTGTTTCTGTTCCTCGACAGCTTTCCCTTCCATCGTCAACCCATCCCCACAAATTTTAACCCGTGATCTTCCAGAGCTCGAAGCGTGGTGGTAACCCGCCATGGCCGCCGCCGATGTTCGCGACATGTTGGATTTGCCCGCGGAGGGCCAACCCCGACCGCATAAGAAACAGAAGGTCGTCGAGAAGAGGCCCGGTTGGTGTCCCCCAACTACGCGCCAGTTTTAATGCAGCTTCTAATATTCTCATTCTTAGAGGGTATCACTCGTGAACTGTACGCCTTGCTAGGTGAAAGAGCACCTCCGATCGCCATCAACGAGAACCGTTACAAAGGTCGCCCGAAATGGATGAGCAAGCTGAGAGTTCGTCCATGGTATGTTCTCTCTAACTTACGGTGTGCGAATTTCTCCTGACGGCCACTCTTCCTACTAGGCGCATGGATCCCTTCACCAATGAAGCTCGATCAGATGGACTCGTTCTACGTCACTGGCAAAGACAAGGCGATACCGCAAAACCGGCGCTGGAGGGACCAGAGACAGAAGGTGAAGAACAGAAACAGGATGAAGGTGCCCCGCAAACCCCAGACCAGGATTACCTCTTTGCGAAATACAACGTCAAAGCTCGGGTAGCGAGGCGATACACAGACGAAGAGTACAACCGACATCTCAAGAGCGATGACTGGTCGCGTCGGGAGACAGATTATCTGATGGATTTAGTCGAGGAGTACGATCTACGATGGGTGGTTATTGCCGACCGCTACGACTTCCAGCCACATCCTATCGATGCGGGAACAAACAACAGTGCGCTTGTACCGGCCAAGCAAGTCAGAACCATGGAACATATGAAGGCACGGTACTACTTTGTTGCTGCATCTATGCTTGCCCTAGAACACCCTCCGTCGGAAATGTCCGAGGCTGAATTCGATTTGCACGAGAAGATGATGAAATTCGAACCCGAGCGCGAGCGGGCACGGAAAGAGCTTGCCGCTTTGCAGTTGGAACGTACTGCTGACGCAGTGCGTGAGGAAGGCGTCCTGCTGGAAGAATTGAAACGTATTACTGCAAACGAGCAAAACTTCATCGCAGAGCGCAGAGAGCTGTACTCCCGCCTTGAGGTTCCCATTAGCGTGGGCAACACCACCATGTACCAGTCCAGCCAGGGCTTGTCTCAGCTGCTCCAAACCCTTCTCCAAGCTGACAAGAGCAAGAAGCGACGCTCTATACTTGGTCCCGAGGGCGCCGCACCCAGTCCGGCCGCACAGACCCCAGCACCGAATGCAAACGCCCGTGACAGCCGTGGCGAAACCCCAAGCAACGCACCAGCAGCGCCTACAAACAAGAAAGCCGCAGCCGCGGCCGCAGCGAACAAAGATACTCAGCAGAATATCAGAACGCTCACACCGTCTGAAGAGGCCAAATACGGAGTACAGCATCACGACCGTCTGGCTCCAGGCGTACAATTCCGTAGCGATCGTGCTCAGAAACTGACGCAGGCCAAGTCCAACGTCCAGACCCAGAAACTGGCTGCTGCACTTGCTGAGCTAGAAGTACCGCTTCGGCTGGTCATGCCTACAGAGCGGGTATGCAAGGAGTTCGAGAAGCTGATCCACTCGGTGAACTTATTGCTTGACGCCCGCAAAGTGGCAGAAAAGGTGGAAAGTGAGATCCGCGTACTGGAAGCCGCTAAGCAGGAAAGAGAGCGCAAAGCAAAAGAAGCCAAAGAGAAAGAGAAGCCCGAGGTAAAGACAGAACAAGATGATAACCCGGCCCCAACAGCAGATGTGGCTACCGAGTCTACCGGGGCTGCGTCTGCTGCTCTACCTTCCGCAGAAGGCCAAGAGGAGACGGCGGATGGTACAGAGGACAAGGAGGCAGAGGACAAGGAGGCAGAGGCCGGTGGTGGTAATACTGGTGAAGCGACAGCGCGAGAGGGCACCTCGCAAAAGCGTTCAGCCAGTGTCCTAAGCAACACCAGCGATAAAAGTACCAAGCGGCAGAAGAAGTGAGCCTTACGTGTGACCTAATGGCGTTTTTTTGTGTGTATCACTATACCTATGTACGACTACATGAATATCCCCGGGGAATCTTTTGGGTAACTTTTAATGCATTCAGAGTATTTTTATTGCTTATTAATCGCTAGTTCCATATCAATGACCTTTTGTCAGGTGACGAGGCACTGAGAGTTCCCAGGCCAATTTGAAATTGAACTCCAGCCACGCCAGCCCATGTTTTCACAACCATTAAATAGATCACCCTGGCTAGGGCTGTTGATCAAGGTCATCTATTACCATCGCATTCTTGATCACCTTCCAATTTCGCGGAATTGATCGGGCACAAAGAAGACATAGTTCTACTGTTGATGCGTGAGTCTCTAATCAGGAATAAGATGGACCTCCAGGCAATCTTCATAGGCGTCCGCCAAGTCAGTGTCCGAACTATTTCGCTCAGTTACTTGCAAGGCATCTTCCCTTTTTTCAAGATTGCCTGCACTGGGTTTATGGCTCTCTTCCACTGGTGAGATTGCCGAGAGGTCATGTTGCTTAGGACCGGGGAAGATAGGCTTCTCCTCGTCAAGGCTACTGCTGATGGCCTTCTTACGGTCCCAGTTCCTGAGTTTAATAACTCGCGTCTTTTCCCTCCGTAGCCCGGGATTCTGCTTCATAGATATTGGTATCTTTGTTGTGAGTTTTGTCTCGAGGCAGTGAACCCTGTCCGTTACCGCGCGACCTTTAGTCCATAGGCTTCGAGCACGATGTAGCCCCGTCTGCCCTTTCGACAACTGCCCGTCTTCGTCGCTCACTGGGGGGACCGTATCTCTGCGCGGGGTTAGTGTCCCATCCAATGCTTGGTCCAAGCCAACTCCACAAAAATGACTCCAAGGGGGTTTCTGATCTACATGTGTGTCGGGCTCATTTTGGCTCTTCCTCAAGAATCCGAACTTTCCCCATAACAGAGATGTGACTGACGTGTTACTTGACCCCTCACCGACTTTATTCGCTCCGGGGGATGTGGTTGCACCGGGCCAGTGATGGAGATTTAGACGGTGCGTCATAATATCGAAGATTGGCACTCCTTTCCCCGATCCCGCCGTATTGTCTTGCTCTATACAAGGCTGGTCAACAGCGCTTGCAGATCTTTCACCATGACCTTTCCCAATTGTAGATGCACTTTTTAGATCACATGTCTTTAATGAGTAGGTATCTTCTGGGGATAAGTTGCCTCCTTTGTCGTCTGCTGATACCAGCGTGTACCCGTAACCAAGACGGCGACCCCCAGACATCCATCCAAGGCTGACCTGGCGCGATGATGAAGCAGCCGTGCCTGAGTTTTTCTGAAGGTTAGCTCTAGGAGGTGCAGCCAATGGATCGGCTTCACATGGCCCTGGGGATTTGTTTTGCTGAGCGCGTCCGCTAGTATCACAAGGACTCGCAGCAGTGGGGGTGTTTGGACTGGCTCCGGCAGTTTTTTGTGATTGATCAGATGTGTTCAGGCTAGAGGCACCGGTGTAGGGATTCTTCATTGGTTCTCTCACCGACTCTGGAAGACTGAAAACCTTTGTTTCGAACTGGTATTTGGAGAAACCAGATGAGAAGCTAGTCCTACGGGAGTATGACGACGACTCCTTTGCTCGCGATAGTGCCAGGTTCGATTCTTGTACATTCTCGGTCGGTGCTTGTGTTGTGTCTACAGTAGGTCGATCAGAGCCTTGATTACATGGGCTCCTCACCCCGGTGGTTTTGTCGCGCACATTGCCATCAAATGATGACTTGTCAGATAAGACCCGAGGCGATATGGAGGGAGACGCCAATTTTTTCGATATATCCATGCTACCTAGATGAATCGAATGACTTTCGGATTTCAGCTCCCTCGGAGGTGGCTGTCGCCTCTTTCGGATTGAGAGTTGAGAAGAGGGTCCATATACCGAATCGACAGACGTTGTGCACGGCATTGGCGAGATAGGTATACGTCCTGGATAGCCTAGGAGACGTCCACGGTTGGCGGTAGAGGGCCGGCCGGGATTGTCAAAGAATCCAGTAGTATAGGGGCTTCCGACTCTCTTACGAGCACGCTCATGATCCGCACTGTGAGTGATAGGTGGCAACGGGCCCCAGTGTGGATAGTCCCGTGGATGCCATGGCAATTGGGGCCTCTCCATCTCACTTTGGCCTGAGAATGGACCATCAACTAGCATGCTGCTCTCTCCCACCAGTTCTTCACCCGGATCGTCCGGTTCCGTCTCATAATAGGGCTGTGCAAGAGGTGATACACTTCCCCAAATGCTGGGACAATTGTACGGTCGCTCTGACGCATCGTTGACATACCTTGAGGTGTCCATAAATTGTGCATCGCTATCATAACCTCCGTCGCTCATCAAAGTGCTTGGAGAGCCATTTGAAGTGATTAAGCCTGTTCTGGGATTTGTAGGTTTGGGTGTGAATGGGAAAAATGTGCTTCTGGCCTTCTTGTCAGTGCTTCTGGGCCCTGCATTGGTTTCTCTCGAGAATCGTCTGCGCAATCTCTCGGATAGATCAGAGCCTCTTTGGGGTTCATAAATACTCCCATTTTCCGCCGACGAAGGTGCGCCTGTCACTGTCAGTGCTTACATGCACGGCATTGGCAATCAAGCATCGAGTTATCATCACCTTCGGCTTGTTCCTCTGAGGAAGTGGGAGACTCTACCCGAGTCATTTGATAGCAAGGCGTCACATTGGGCGCTGCTGAGTGCTTCCGGCCCCATCTGAGCCAAGGACAGGAGAAAAT